CAGATAAATACTTTCTCTTTCATCACATGCAGTTGAGTTTCTCAATTTCAAAACATACTGCTCACACGCGCCAAACACAAGTCGCCCCTGCTATGGATCAGATACAATATAAAGACGCCTGGTGGTTTCTCTTTCAATCACAATCGCTCAAACTTGAAAAGTTTCTTAAGCTGCCAGTGCTGCGATGGCCCAAGTTTATTCAATATGTGTTTGTTGCTCTTCAAAATCATTGAATTAAAGGGTTTTGCAGCACACGTGTGAAAAAGGGGCGAAACTCACTGAATAAATAAAAAGTTGAATTATTGGTCTCACATATGTATAACGCTATCCCACCCAAATCCTCGGAATCGCCTGATTTTTCCCTACGGCATGGTTTGTTTAAATAAAATTTCTCCTATGCTCATTCATTTTAATAAGTCGTGTGTGGAGGATTTATTCATCTTTTATGTCGCTGCCCCATAAAATTCACTTTCCTAAAAAAGCCTGCCCAGAATAGACGCAGTGTGAAACATTTTGCTGGGAAAGCTCGTGCGCTTTGCGTGAGTGAGCTTTCAGATGAAATACCGGATAAGCAGGAAGCATATGCTCGTTGCCTGAGATACACTATCAATTGCACCCTATGTCACAACCATTATGCTCAGTCGTGACTTTACGTTATCATGTAATCTCGCCTGCACAGCGGTTGCGATGTCATTACTGTTATACACCCGCACACGACGTAGATTCCTTTGTAAAGTGAAATTAAATAGTCATAGCTTTGTCCTATTAACTGGGAGAAATTCAGTTGAGGATAAGGTATTTGATTTAAATGGATTGTCACGATAGAAGATGCTGAAGAGAAATCTTTATCTTTCCATGCTCATGCAAAACTTCCTTCGTGGACAATGCAAATTGTTTAATGCAATAAAACCCAAAAGTTACATCCAAGTTGAATTTTGTTTCGACAAGTCTGGATTTTGGAGTAAGTGGCAATTCTCTTAAGCTCATGAGAACTGTGAAACAAGCACAAGAGGATAAATTTGCAATTGAATAGGCAGCACTATTTGTCACCCAATAAATTGTGATATTTTTGATATGAAAGTTTTTGCGGATTGGATATAAAATGTTTTTAAGCTGTGAAAATTCGGAATAGAGAAGTTTTAAATACTCGTTAAATACAGAGAAGTCAGTTTATAATCCATAATATTTGGAGCATATGTATGTCTATATATTTGCATATGTGCATTCTGATAAATACATACCAGAAACTCCTATCATATATTAATTATAGTGATACCTACTCAAATTACTGAAACACCTTCAGAGTTTAACATGCATTATCTGTATTTACACACTGAAATGTTTTCTCCTAAATTATGTGCTCAGCTTTTAATGGAATTATGTTCCACTTTAACACTTTATTAGTCAAAGTTTTCATTAAGATTCTAAACAATGGTATTCCCGACAACAAATCTTGAGGAATTATGTGAAATTAATTACTAATCGAGTTAATAATATCTTCTGTTCGCAGGCTTGCATTCATCATGCTGAGAATAGTAAAAGTTGTCATCATTCTGGTTTTTATAGGTGAGTACCACTATTTTATGTATAATAATTACTATTATATTTGATTCCGCAAACAGTAGATATAATATTTTGTAATTCGAGTGCTGCCTTCAACAAGAGAGGTTAAGATTATATCTTGACATTGAGAATGTTTTTGTGAAAAATATTTGAAAATTTGTCATAATGTAGTCTTTTCATTTGCGAGGATTTACGAAGGCTTTTGTGTACCCACCACCTCCTTATCTTAATCATATCTGGTGTAAAGCATAGGGATTTGGGTAATGTGCTGCTAATAAGGAGAGTATTAGACGAATTTGCCTCACATCCCGCAATGACCTTTCCATCCTTTTCAGCAAAGTTCAGGCCTCAAAATTCGAGTCCTGCTGAAAGCACGTGTTATGTGGGCTTCGGAAAAATGTTAGGCAGTTATTTACTGAATTCCCCACTCCGCAGTCGAAAAGGGATTATTTCCTGTGGGAATTTAAGAACCACTCTTCTATCATGGCGTGAGCTTTTGTAAGCACTGTGCAGCATATATAGATGTTTTTTTTCTGCAAAGCTGCAGATAGTATCTGTTTGAATCGTGTTAAATTTGCAGCAGATTTATTTTTATCATGGGTTCTGAGAGACCATATAAAGTGGATTATAATTTAGAGCAGACCAAGTCTCTGCAACTGTTGGCACCTGGCAAAACAATTTGCCGGCTAGACAACTTTTGCTTGTGTTATTCTGTAAATCTCTGCTAATTCTGAAAGTATTTCATAAGGATATTACATGTGATTCGGTTGTTGGCAAAATAAATTTGTTTATATGCGAGGCCGGCTGTGTATTCAGTGAACTTGTGGGGTGAACTATTTTGACCGGGACTATTATGGTGTGGTTCGTGCCACACTGAGTCCCGAAAGGGTGCTCACAAATTATATGACCGCAGTTGGACTATCCTCAACTGCTCAACATGAGAATCTTTAATTGTTATCTCAATCTCTACACGCTCTTTTCCTGCTATCGAGTGCTTTTTTAGCTTTCTCTCTGTGCCTCTGCTTCTGCCTCGTCTGCTCCTTTTCCAATACAACCTCACTGAATTTTCCTCGAGATTTTCTCCCTCCCACTCGCCTCATCTCTCCAATAGAGACATACATTATTATGATATTCTTCAGTTACGGAGATAAGAACATCCTCAAACCACCCAGCATGGGTTATTACCCCTCATAATATGATGTTTTTGCCAATTTTGCAAGTGAAATGGTATGCGGCAAATGACTCCCACATTTGTGGACTAGGATAGTTTTCTCATTACTCTTCCACAACAGGCAAGGCATATTACCAAATAAAATATTACACTTGCGTATCTCTATAATTTAGCAATAATTCCAAAATAATTTACATACAAACCGGAGAGAGATTAATTAGTGTTTTAAAGTATATCCACATACCTACGTATATAGCGGAATTATTGTGCATATAAATAAAAAGTTTTATCTCAAAATACATTACATATCTCCGCATTTAATTTTGAAGGAAGGAAATTAGGATTATTAATAGTCAGGTCATTTTGCTATACATTGCCATACATGCGTATGTATGTATGTCACTAATGTTATGTAAGTCGCTATACATGTATGTAATATCTCAAAGATTTGAAACTTTCTTTCTGTATACGCCTTTCGCCTATATTACTGCCAGGGTTGAGGATATAGCTTCGAGCCATTTTCGACTTTCGATATAGTCAAGTTTGTTTCTATGTAGTACTATTATGTGTGCAGATAAAGTCATAGAGTTTCTTCTTCGTCCTCCAGATCGCTTTTTCCATTAAAAAGAAGCGAATCGGATTTACATGGCAATAAACTCAAGTAAATCGTTTATCTTAATATATGTAATACGTAATCCAACCAAACTTTTATGGATACCTATATTTTATATAACACTTTCCCAATGAAGTTTTTTTTCCTCTCCTTTCTGTATCCTTTCTCGCACATCTCGTTTTCGCGATGGTTGGGAAAATTTATATCCTTGGCCAAATTAAAATATCACTCTGCTCAATCTTGCAATAATGAAAATTGAATTGAAATGATTACAAAATAGAGAAAAGAGCATACATTTTGCTGAAAACTTGTACAATACAACCTACCTATAGTATATTATTATGTTGTACGCATATTACATATCACTGCAAAGCTAAGGCTTTGCGTGATTTGAACTAGCATAAATCAATATTTGGAGTGTTTTCAACAATTGCAAGTGACACTGGCGAAATACACCTCGGCGACTGGTTGGAGCTCAGCGGAATAGTAAATTTTATGGTACACCAACACCCGCAACAGCTCAATTAGGAATATAAGTGGAAATTTAGTATTTCCACACGTTAGAAATCTATATTTGGGAGAACTAACTCTATTTATTGTGTTATCTCAACTATTTCAAGAAGTTCTGATTGTTTAGCTGGAGTTATGAGATTCCACCGGAAACATCCCTGCAGGGCCTGATGAAGTTATCCGTATATTCGGTTAGTGTAAAAAGTAACCGGCATCATCAAAATCTTTGACAAGTCAAGAAGTTTAAGGAATAGACTTTATAAGTTGAAAGCACACGTGATGTAATATTGTTGCTTTGTGGAAAAGATTTTTTTTTCTAAGTGCTAAAACTCCTGAAGCTTCGGACAAAGTGTAAAAAATCGTAATGTGTATAAAGAGCGCATTTCTCTTTTAAATTTGTCAAGCATTCAGAGGAAAATCAGGTTGGGAAAAGTTTGGTTAGAATATCCTCTGGGGATAATTGCTCTTCTGCTGAAAACTTCGAGCACCGCTACATCGGTTTTCCCACCGAAAAGGGATAAAGGTAAACTCATAGCCTGCGGAAAATATTGTGTATAAAATAATTTTCGCCAAAAAGTCGAAGTAAAAAAAATCGATTTTCCCGGTGGAAAAAGGAAACTTTGTTGGGCAAAATGCGCTTTGTGTGTGGAGAACTATTCAATTCGGCGGACTATAAAATCGCACATACTTACAAGAGTGTGAAATGTGTTTGGGCGAGGGGGGCTGGAAAAAAGGGTATAACTCTTGCGTCTGAAGGGGTTTTTCTAACTTGTTCAGCAATTACAATCGCTAGACCCTTCTCATGCGGGGCGGCTGGATGGAAAGGGATAAGGAAAAAATGCGCTGCAGACATACAGTTGTCCCTCTCTGCTCCACGGCCGAGTGGGGCCTACCGATTCCCCTCTTTTCGATATGGCTCCCCAACAATCGGAAGCGCCCGTATACAGTGACTCTGTTCTTTTCAACATGGCGACACATGATGTTGGGCCAAAATGAGACGCATAGTGCTTTTGCGGGGAAATAAATGTTTCCACCAGAGCACATACACACTCGCACACAGATTTTCCATATCATTTTGCCCGACGAGAGTGTGCGAGTCACCCTTCGGTGGAGAGTGTTTGTCAGCGTCAGTAATCAAAAGAACGTAGCACGGGAATAATCAAACGAAACTATACATAAAAAGATTCTAACATTAAGGAGGAGAATATAAGAAGAAAATCAATTTCATTTCCCTTAACACTATAACTAATAAAACCAACTTTATACCGCGAAGAAAAGATATTCTAAATATTTACACTTGATGTGTCTGAGAACAATAAGATTTACTATTAAATAGTGACACTGTGTAGGCTTAATTGAACACAAAACTTGCGTCTCATACAAAATGTCGTGATGTGAAATGTAAATTTAAAAGCAATACTTGATGAATTTTGCCGTAGAATGTAGCGTCAGGATATGAAAGAAAAGTACTTGATGTTATCCCACCATGTTACAGCTTGATTTTCATGTTGGTTTGCCGTTTCTTTTTCGCCCTGACTCCAACCATCAAATCGATAAATAATTAAAATTGAAGTTTTTTCTCCCGTGTGTGTTCTGGGTGCTGTGCTTTTTAGCCAATCACTCGTGAAGTTCTTGTTAAATATTTTCTCTTTACCCAGTTCTGTGGATGGTGAATGGCGTGGAGAGAAAAAGGGAGAAAAGAACATTCATATTCGATTGTTTCATATCGTGTTGTACATATTTATGGGGACACAATCTCGGTGCCTCCGCAAGTTGAGTAATAATTTTCATGATGGGAGTAGAAAAAACCCGGTTTCGGATCACAAATCGATAGATTATGTCTATTTTGTGCAAAAAACCTACAATCGACAAGGATAAAACCCTGCCATATCGCTCACTTGACATTTGTTTATTTTTGTTTTCTTGCAAGAAGACTATTTGTGGAAAATGGATAATAGAGGAGGAACGAAAAATCCATATTGTGAAAATAATTAAATGGGTACAAAAATCAATGCACTCCACTTCACGGTTTTTTTCATCGCTCCACCATTCACAATTTACATATAGCGCGGCTTCGAAAATAAGAGGTGAAAAAAAATCGACATAGAGCTTTTTTATTTAACACTCTCCCTCTCTTCTCTCTCTCGCTCTTGTCCCCTAAAAATAATAAAAGCAAATATGAATTATAATACAAATTTCCCATAAATCTTGGGGGAATATTTTTTAAAAAATATTTCTATGAAAAAATCACCCATTATACATATTAGATGTGAATGATTATGATATATATAATAAATTCTGAGGGTATTATTTGTATTCACGAACGCAATACATACATCCACATTTACTGACGTTCACTATGTATAGTGGTGGTGTTTTATATTTTGAAATTACACGAAACAATATCGTGTTAGAGAAATCTGGGCGTGTAGTGTTCCCCTTACAGCCGTAATAGTGTTAGAATTACAGAAAAAGGGTCTCTAGTTTTTCCACTCCAGATTCAATTTCACTGAATAAAATTTTTATGGTACATTTTTATGCGAGGAAATCTGTGGTATGTTTTGTATATACACAAAAATCCACCCGAACCGCTCTGTATGTGGAAAAAAAAATCAAATATCGTTTCTCTCTTTTCCGGTTTTGGCGAAAAAAAGAAGCTGAAGAGCGAGAGAGGATATTTTAAACACATATTTGATTAATGATTAGCTATTGTAGTGAAATGTATTTCGTCTTGAAAAACGAAAAAGAGAGGAAGGAGAAGACGAGATGGGAAAAATCTATGCTCTCAACTCGGAAAAGTGATGATAACGATGTTTCACATTAAGTTGTGATTTGAGCTGGGATGGCATAATGGTTCCTAATATGTATTTTCGAGGAGGGGATTCATCTCCCAGAAGTCACCTTAGAAATTTCCTCTTCTGAGCATTTTGTATTCAAGCTCGGAAAATGTTATAGTTATCGATTTTTTGCACCCAGAGAATTAATGACCGTCCATTTTTCATTACCGCGCTGATTTTAACTTTACTTTCACCAATAAATCTTGTTTTTTGCCAACCATTCAAAAAAAAAATAGGGGAAAACCTTTTTTCATCATTAAATTTAATTAAACTTCTACGCAATAATAGCGCTTTTTTAAGTGCGTAACTAACATTGAAAATTTACGACAGGCCAGGAAAATTGTGTTTGTCATTATTTAAAGTTACTTTTTGTCAACTGGGGAAAGCGCAATTGAAAAAACATCCAACTATTTTGTATACATTCAGAAAACAGTGAATTCGAGTGGAAAATTAGAGTCTATTTTGAACTCCGTTTCGTCCCAAACGAGTGGTGCTTTCCTCTGTCAGAAGTATTTCTAAACTTGCAGATTTAAATGCTAATGCAAATTGCCCCAGATGACTTACAATTCTTGGTCAGAGAGGAGATTTGAATTTATATTCATTCATCCTTACTGTGACTCTTCGAGAAGGGCATCATTCCTATTTGTTTTCGAGTGCAACCACCATGAAAATCTCGAGTCTGACTAACGAAAAGTACACCCTCTTTCCCACCAACAGTAACATCATGAAACACCGACTATATAAATATGACAATAACTAACTGATAATAGTACGAACTCTTGAAAAAGATGTACGTGAAAATGTATTTTATAGTGTTATGAATTTGGGCAATAACGAATTATCCAGTAAGATTGAAATGGATCCAGTGAAGATGCAAGGGACCATATTATTTGCCTATATCGCATATATTGCAATTAGTATGGTGAATTATGCCGAAAGCAGTGAATTTCCAGAAAGAGAGTGTTGTGATCCAATTTATCCACCGATACCAAATCCGGAACCTGTGCCTCCAGCACTTCCAACAACAACCATTTCACCATCGTCGCCTACACCAACGGGACGTTCAGGTAGCCGAAACAATACTTTTTCCTTCTTATCACATTCGGAAAACCCCTCAGACAGTCAGACCGTAAAATTCAATTTTCCTCCATATCTCGATCCCACAACTTTTCAAAACCACGTACGTGCAAGCTCTTGAAGAGTGTGGAATATGTGAAGCTTAGAAATTAGAGCGCAATGTGTGATAAATTCCTCGTCAAAATTATTCATATTACGAGTGCAAACCACTACAATATTCGATTTGTCATTCATCCCGTTTGTTCCTCGCAGGACCCTTGAAACAGTCAAATGAATACTCCTCATGTGAGCATTTTGTACATACTATACATGCTCTTATACATGAATATAATGTGCAAGATGTGCAAGGCGAACGAAAGGTTTCAAATTAACCAGTAATAAATTCGAGTGCACTTGCAATTCAGCACACAATTTACAAAATTCTACATCGCAATTTGAAGCCTTTTGTTTGAGGGGGCTCTCAAATTACCAGAAATCGTCTGAAATACCCAAAATTGAAGTGGCAGGAAGTGTTGCGAGGAGAGGCAAATTCTTCAGCGCACATAAATATTAGTAAGATTTCTTATAGCTACTTATGCGGTAACTGAGAAAATCCATTGTCAAAATCAAATCTGCAAATCCTCTAAATCTTCGTGACGGCATCCAAATGTGGGTCTGAGCTACTGGCAAAGATTTTAATCACCAAACCACAATTGAGAACAATCTACTGAACAAATTACCTCTGAGCTGCTCCGAAGAAGATGGATGAAATGGAAATGTTCATTTGAGCTGGAATCAATGCGAATTCCTGAAATCAAGTGTAACAGATTCTGACAGGAGGTATCGATTTGCCAAGACGGCAGACATTTCGACAGAGTTTTCCTTGAGCAACGGCTGGGTAATTGGATTTATTCAAAATAAGCCAAAATATGAAATTGTCAGGAGGGTAGCGCACACGGCAGATAAATTGTGATGGTATTTAAAGTGGTAGAAAATTTAAAAGGGGTTGTCTCTGTATGACGGGTTGGGTGAATGAAAATATGTGACAATGTGATTTAACACGCTCGAGAGAATGTGTATACACACGGCGAATATTGTGCTTAAAGACGACAACATTGTATTTGCGAAGAAATGGATTTGAATAAAGATAATGCGATTACCCAGCAAGGAAATCAAATCTGTTTGTGCGGACATAGCGTAGATAGCGTCACCCCAATAGCAGATAAGCTTTAATTCATTGTGTGATAAAATCTCACCACAGCACGACAGTAAATTAATTAGATGACTTTTTATGGCAAATTTCCACAACTTGAGGACATATTCGTCCAAGTTTCTTCAAATGAAAATGTCGCGATGTCTGCAAAATTGAAAATGTGACATTCGCCCTGCGGGATGTGTTAAGCAAATGACTGCTCATAAGCGTCTGTAAACCATAATGGGTTAATACAGTTTCTCAATTAGCAACGCTGAGGATTGTCGATCAATATCGTAACCAATGGTCAGTGTGGAGTTGGAAACTATATAAAACTCGCCTCCTATATAATTTATATATCGTGTAGGCAGTGTTCTGTTAGTCATTTCACTCATTGCTGTTTGCTTCACCGCTTTGTGTACCTGGAAATAGACTCCGATAGTGTAATTCACATTACAAAACACATGTACTCGAGAGAGCGAGTGAGATGCTAGTGTGACACAAAAAACGATATAATTTCAATATTGATTTAGAGTGACATCACAACTTCAATCTTAAGGACATTTTCATGCTCCTTGTCGCGCGTAATGAACCGCCAAGGTACTCCAAATCTTGGGGTTAAATTACCGCCTCTCAACCTCCCACAGTTAAAATACTCCCTTCAATCATATCATAATTATGCTTTCAGGAGTTATACCGTCTACATTCGGGCAATTTGCATTGTAAATTCAACAACACGAAAGGTTATTTTTAACACTAAAAGGCATGCTTATTTCAACAATGAACGCATTTCTAATGGCGACGAATCTCTGTTTTCATCGTTTTTACACAAATTATCTTTGATCGCGATAAAGGCGAAATTTCCAAACAATGTTACAGTTGAAATAATTGTACCCGTTTAATTGAGTACACCATCAGGAATTACGGTGGTTAAGCATGGCGTTTGGTTATTCCTGCAGGAATACAATTATATTCACTATCCATAATGATGGTTTTGCTATTGTGCTGCGGAAGGTGAGAGTCCTTTGGCTGGACTTGCATAATCGAAAGGTTAAAAGTTGTGCACACAAAGAAACAATTCATTGTGTGAAATTTAATTCACTTTTAAACGATTTACAACCACTAATTGTGAAATATGTGAAACTAAATGAGAAACTTGTATATTACTATACATTTTCCGGATGAGTGAAATTGTTTCTGAAATAATGTTGGCGGAGAAAAGATGAAATTTAACTCCTCTATGCAAATTTGGACTCCATGAGAGCGTATACACGGAAATATCTCGTTGCAGTATCTGCAAAAGTTAACTCTCTATGACAGTGTTAATTATATACATTTGAGTCTAATTGGTGCTCCACAATCTCACAGTATTCTGTCCTGTAGAATTATTCATCCCCGATATGACGTGATTTACCATAAACTAATACACTGATTCTATGTGTGCTTCTCTGTTGCAGGACCAAACATCAAAACAGCTATTGCTATTTTGAACTGTATTTTGGCGAGGCAGTTATGTTTCGAGGATCCATCATGTTCAGCAATATTAGAGATTATTCCGAGAGTATGCGGTCCAGTACCAGGTATTGAGCATTTCCTCAATCATTCCACTTTTTCACACGCACCCGTGAAATACAATTGCCAAGGGGGTCAATCATCAGAGATGGAAATGCAATTTTCACTCATTGGTTTAGTTTGGGTGTTTCCCATTGAATATTCAAATGCATGGGTGAACCAGGGTGGAAAATCTCAATTGATTGGAAAACACACTCAAATTCATTATACTCATTGTGTATGATTCTCGCACACTCGACTCAGATTTCATTTGCGTGTAAAAATAAACAGAGTGTCTTAGCATGAGAAAATGATCTGAAGGGTTTCTCCTGTGTGCGATGCTATATGTATTTATTTAATACATATGATTTCACACATTTCGGGTGCCTCAAATATGTTTACCAAGGAGTTTCACCTTTAAGCTGTGTGTTGTTATTAACACCTATGATCGCTTGTGTAATAGCATGAATAAAGACTTGTACAGTCCTGTTGATGCGGAGCTGTGCTGCTGCTCTGTATAATATGTGCTATGTACATACTTATGTATGTATATGTGACAGGTATATCCCAAATATTTGCCAAGTTCAAGAGAAAGTTTCTTTATTAATGCTAAATATTCTGCTTATTGGGCTTGTTCATGTTTAAAGTCGTATGGATTTTTAAAAGCTTCATTTCTTCTCCATTACTTTATGGGGAGCTTGTAAAATAATAAAACAGTGGAAACATTGTTGTTTCGAATAATCCGCTTACAATTCCACATCAGCATTATTGAACCCTCTTATGTGATATGCATCTATGATTGTATTTATTTGCCAAGAATATAAATTCAGGGCCGTGTGATTCTGAATCAGCATATGGGACTTGTTTTTCATGCGATTCCATCTTATTCTTCGAATGGTTTAAATTTCCATGCTGTGATTTCTTATCAATTTATCTTATGAATAAGTCAAACTGTGCGAAACCTTTAGTCGAGACATAGCAGCTTTTTTGATGAGATTACACTCACAGGGAATTTTAATACAACTCCCCAGCCCCAAAACTTCACAAGAAACTTCTAAATGAGGTGATATTTCAGACTTATATTATTCCTCTCGAATCGATGGGACAATTTAAGACAAATAGAATGGAAAAGAAGATTTCATGTGGTATTTTCCACAAAATCGAACACTTTACCAAGTATTAAAGCTTCAACTTAAGCTTCTTTTCCCTGATGTTCGAGGTATGTTATATAACGCTCATTTTACCACGTCTTTATGTCACAACACAAGATAGTATAAAATTGGATAAACCCTGTCTGAAAGCGTTAAAAATTCTTGTACGAACATTTAGTCACAAATCTTTTTATTTCCAAGAGTCAATATATTTTTTAATCATAAATATCCATCATAATATTGACTATAGTGAGTAAACTTTGTTATTCCCTATGAAAAGCGCCCCTCGAATACTTTTACGCCTTTTGGAAAGTAAACATAAAATATCATTCTTTGACGGAAAATCCATGACATAAAGGGCCTCATTAATGAGAGATAATATTTGAGGTGAATGAAAACACTTTGAATTCTGAGATTTTATCTCGATGATAATAGCTTAATAGATGCTCAGGAGTTTTCCTGTTGATGTTTACATAACACAGAGGCACTCGAGAGGAATCTGCAAGGAATCACATTTTCTGATAAAGCTTTATCTCGATAATTTCGCACTGCTATCGAGTTTTATATCTTTCGAGTAGAAACTCGTGCTTGGCACAATGTTTAACCCTCATGCGATAGAACCCTTCTTATTAGTTGGGGCTTCCTATCGCACCCACTGTTTAAAGCAGCTGGATTGGTGTCAATTTTTGGAATGGTTCGAATTGAAGATTCACTCTTTTGAGATGTGCGCAGAGAGAAAAAGGGAATGCTCCACTTTTCTGGAAGGTTTTTCTTGTAAAATAGCCTCCTCGAGTGGGTGAGAAATGGTTTTGGTACAAATGTGTGGCACAAATAGAATTCTCACATATGTATCTCATTGTTGAAATACCATTTTCACTTTATATCCATTACGATTTTTTTCCGTTGGATGGCATCCTTATAATTTTTTGCTAAAACTTTCTTATTTACTCACTGGGTGCGAATAGAAAAATGTGAAACAATTGGAGCGAGAGTATTTAATTGCATTCTGTCTATACTTTAATTTCAGTGTCTTGCAGTACAGTAACTGTTACAAAATGTCAAGCCGCCCTGAGAACACTACAAGCATTTCCCTTCTTTCGACCAACTTGCTTGTGCAAAGAGCCTGGAGTTGATCCTGAATGCAACTATTTTCGAGACTTCCTTTTTGATCATCCATGTGGCTTTGTACAGAAGAAAGGTAATGACACCGCAATCCTTTGCACATGCAAAATGTTAATTCATACCAGCGTCCCGGTAATATATTGAGCACGTCGGTACAGAGGCGTGGTGTTGCTGGATATCCGGCCAAACAAGTGTGAAAATGAGCACTTTAAAGTTTCGTGCCAGGACTCTTATCTATATTGCTGGGAATTTTTATAAACCCTCTTCAGTGTCCTTTTCATATGAATCTTTAAAATTTCACGCTTCTCACTTAAGCTCATCACAAATATATACAATTTATTATTTGTATATACATGTCTTCTCCAGGGATGAATTTCAACTATTTACTTTGAATTTCGTGAGCGGTTTCACGAGTAGGGGAATTCCTTTTCAATTTTTAATCATCACTCATAAATCTTCGTATCTCTTATAACGTGTGTTCTTGTGACTCTCGCCCATGATTTATTGAGAATCGTTGAAAAAGACATTTCTGGGGTGTTCCTTAACCTGAAGTAATTTCCATTGTATCTTCGTGTGGTGTAAAATGCCGAGAAAAATTCTAGCGAAAGATAATTCTCTGATACGACGAGAGACATTTTTACTGTTCAATATATCGCTGGATTGCTGGCTATGTACAATCTCGTTTTCCACACTCTGAGAAAAGCAAAAATGCTTTCAAATGACACTTAGTCAGTGAAAAAATATATGGTGTTTTTTTTTTTGTTAATTGTATATGTATTTAACTTAAAGGCGAGAAGAATTTTTAGCACATAAACGGATTTCTATTTTTCATAAAATGCAAACTTTGCGGCATTTTTCAATCTGAGAGTGATGTATTCAGACAGACTAGACGAGAAGTGATAGCCTGAGGGCAGAATATGAAATTATGAGAGAAGACTGTCAAGACAGGGAGTCATTTTGAGCTGAATTTGGTGGGGAGCAAGAGCAGACATCTCTTCTTCTGAAGATTACTTTGAGTGCATCAATTGAATCGTAAAATTCCACCGAGTATAAATTCTATGACTCTGTGTATTTATTTTAGTGCTGGTTTTATTACGTGCAAAATAGTTTAAATCTATGCGATATTTTTTGCATAACCCGCTAAACACATTGTATGTCTCGCTCGCCATCACGTCGAGCTCATGTAGTTGCATAGGAATTCATTGACGATTTTCCGAATAGACGCCTGGTGGTTTGCCTATGACGTAGTCCTAATAAAACGAATGCATGTCATTTCTCTGCTTGCAGAAAAAGATCCATATCCCATTGATGCATTGCCAACGTGCAATCATGCTTTGTCAGTATGTCAACAGGAGAGAAAGTGCATAAAACTATTCGAGGACTTTAAGATACACTGCAAAGTTCGTGAGAACAAGTGTCGCATGGAGGACAGGTAAATTGCTCCGGGGGTGGTGCCTTTTTGTATTTACTCAAAATACGTGTCCTCCCTCAGGGATCTGTGTCACGAAGCCTGGACAAATCTACGCTTATCCCCGATGTTTGGCTGCATCTGTCCCAACAATCACATGAAACGGAGGTGCGATCGAATTTTCAGTATGGTTAATCACAACCCGTGCGTGGGTAAGTAAATCACTGTACGTAGAGTCTGTAATTGCTCCACATATTGTCTCTCTCTCCCTCCCGAAAATTTGAGATTTTCACCATCATTATTGCTACACGAGCGCCAAGTCTGGGAATGAAATTAGGCTGTTTGATAGAGCAGGCAAATTGTTGGTGTGCAATTAAATTCATACATCATTTACATTTGGCAAAGGCAATTCGCCTCCCATCATGATTGTAATATATATACATATATATTTTTTTTGGTTTTCTCTCCGCCCTACTATTTTCTTCTCACATACAATATATTTCTTTGGAATATTTTTGCTCTTCCACATCCTAACCCACCTCCTTGCTCTCTGCTGGTATTGAGACAGGGAATTGCTGTGCTTTTTCCCTCCTTGAGTATTCATAAATATACAACTTTGCATTTCAAAACAATAAAATAAACTCGCTTGAGTGAATTTATACCAGATACTGAAAAATTTGGAATTTATACCAAATACGCAAAGAGAAAACTAATGGTTTGGAAAGAAATTTAATTAAGTATGGAGGTTTATGAGGATCTTTGGTGTATTAAGTGAAATTAAAGAAGTCTCTCGTGGGAGAGTTACACCATCGCTGTGGGTGTACTCGGAAATGAGGCGGTGATGAAGGAAAAAGTTGATTGCAGACAAGAAATTGTAACACTTTTCCAATAATCTTGTCACCGGGGTGTTCACTGTGAGCCGTTGAAGGGGATTGGGTGAGCTATTTTAGGATTTATTGGCGTGAAAATTGTAAATGAAGCCAAAACGAAACCAAACGAAATACAAATTATACTATTAATATTACTACGGACTAAAGTAAATGAGCTTCATTGGCTTCCAGGATATTCAATGAGTTCCCATTTGGAAAGCTTGTGTAATGACGTACATTTAAACTGAAATATTCAACTCACTCAATTCTACAACGCCACCCAGTGAATAACCTCACTGTTCTGACCTGAAGCGGCGAATTTTCGTCCTTAGCCATATAATTCCATGTATAGCAAATAAAATCACACTTTAGAGCACTTAGTTGCACCCTTGAGACACCTAAAATTCACCTAATTTGTAATCAAATTATATACACACACGCTGATAAATATATTTACTGAGTTGTAGTTTTTACAGAAGAATTACTAAATTTGTGCACTTTACCACACCCTCTTTTTCAGATGTTCTAACCACTGCACATGATCTGTCTTACGGCACACCCACCAATTCAATAAATATATCTAATTTTAAAGACAATATCGAACCCTCAGCCACCACTTTTCCTTACACCTTCCCATACTTTCTCTATCCCAAACGAATCCCTCTTGCTCTCGCATCGCATCGTCCTGCTATCGATCAGCGTCCGCATTCCTTTGAATTTAGCAATTATTCCACCTTCTCTGAATTCGGCACCAACATGAATGTAGAGCACAATAATAGGAAAAATTTTGTATTGCACTCGCACCTTAATCATGAACTTGAGCACACTCATCTACCGCCGAGGAGTGGGGTACATGAAAATGATGTTACCGAATGGCATCATCATCATCATCACCGTAATCGGCATGAGGAGGAACATCATCAGATTCACGACAAGCAATCGACCACATTACTGCAAGAGGAAATCATGGAAATTGGTGAGATTTGACTCAAGACAAAAATCATCCTATTTGCGGGGAGGGTCTTCGTCGCTCATGTAAATTTCCCTCTTATCTCCTCTGAACAGTAGTTATTCAAGGCTTCTACACTATACTGCACAGTGCACTGCATGTTTAGAGTAAAAGAACGTCTCCCACTAAAGGTCTTCTCCGACCACGGCGTCTAGTAGGCCTCCGAAGTGGCCCCGGATATTAATAAAATTAACATTTTGATTAGAACCTCGGATTCATGTTGTGCTAGGCGAATCCTCAGACGTCTTTCGCAAGAAACGCGCGTTTTCAAAAACCTTTTCAAGATGTTTTTTTCCCGTTAATTAAGGAGCCAGTAATATACACAACAACGAAGGAAGATGTTCAGTAATGCGCTCGTCTTAGGGGTCTCTTAAATTATGTGTCTTGTGTTGCTCTTAATTCTTTTCATTTCAAAGTTACATTGTAAATTCTTCACTATCATCAGTCATTTTAAAAATCGTCTTTCCAAAGTGAGTAAAATTACCCCAAAGATTTCGTTAGTTTTCCTAAACATGTAAGAAAACCTCAACAAACCTGTTTCAAATGCGATTTAAAAGGCATTTTCCTTCGTCTTATCCGCAACGCAAATGTGATGCATTCGTTTTCAGTTCAGGAGGGAATTGTATCCCTCGTGGCTAAATTTCTCAACGTGTGGAGGAGAAAGCCATAAATTTTTCTAACCTGACACTTTACATTTGGGACGCCAATTAGAATGTGATAATAGAGAATCTCTCTTCTCCAATCAAATATTATATTATGCGGAAAAAGAGTTGCCTTTTTCCCAGTTGGACGGAAATAAAATACTACGAAGGCGCTTTTCAGTGCTATAAAAGAGTAAAATAAATTTTTAACGACTCTGCATCGAATCGTCATTCTAATCGCGACAACAAACCCCTCGACCATTAACAAAGCAAATGAAAATTGCTGTAGCGCAGGAAGATGGTCGTCGTATAGATTTTCTTTCTATTTTTATGGCAACTGGGATAGAGTAACTGCAAACTATTTTAAATATGAAAAATAATTCAAGGCGATATGTTTGAAAGTGGAGATTGAGTTCGGGTGGTCAATTCTGAAAATAACTTTTCTGTGATGAAAATAAATTTCTAGAAAAAATAACTCGATTAAATGAATTGGTTTAGTTTGATTGCATTATTAGACTGAATAAATGCAGTCCGCTGTGATTCATGACAATGAATTAATTTTATAGATATTTAACTTGGTAATTAGTATTTAATATTTATATTTGGGGTGAAATTTTCGGAGTCATGTTTATGTATACATAAATACATTTTTGCCATTTGCTTAATCTGCATACTAATATGAGTGTTTATTCAATTTTCGATATTCTAGTGAGATCGATGGGAATGGATGACAATTTCCATAACAGATTATTTGATGAAAATATGGTATTGGTTGATACTCCCTTAATTGCACCGCCAAGCTCTCAGTACTCCAACCTATACACCGCCGGAATATATCCATACAATCTGACGGCATTTCAGAGTGGCTCCTCAATGTCATCAATGGAAAATATGTTGATTGATACGATGGATAATTTAGAGAAACACAGTGAGTAAACGACATTATAGAGAACATCAGCATAAAATATTTATATTCTTTGCTTCTTCTATCATATAATCCTTTTATCCATGTGATTATTTACCTTCTAGAGCTGAAATTATCTTAGATTACCGATCAATTGGTGATAAAAACTGTACTTGATGAATATTGTCGAACTTTCTAACATATAATGAAGATTTTCTTTCAAATGCGGGAACAAAAATTATTACTCAGCTGACTCGAAGTTTCTTATGATAAATGCGCATTGAGTGTTCTTTGTCGCTTGTTTTAAAAGTTTCGAAAATACGCAGTTAAATTGACTATTCTGATAATATATTTTATATTTATATAACAGGCAATATGGATACCCAAATTCCTGAGTCATCAGTCCCGGAATTACTCAAGATCCCCTTTCAGGTTGGATTTGCCAGAGTGTCTTGAAAATTGTGGATATTGTCTTTAATATAGAATATATTTGATTGCCATAGAGTACATGTCACATTGTTCTGGAGGCGTGCAGAGAAGATCCTTCTTGTTCATCATCATTGCAACCAGTTCTTTTGCACTGTGAAAACCATCGGTGCAATAGGAATGCTTGCATGGAAGCTCTTCAAACTTTTTATCGTGCTCAACATGAAGATTTGAGTCTCGACATTGCATTTTGTCTGTGCAAGTAAGATAAAAGAGAGTCCATTGATTTCTTATCTCCCTCGTGTAACATTTCACAACTTTATCCCACTTAATTTTTTTTCCACTCCACGGAAGGCTCTCTGTGAACTTTTCCCATAGTCGGCAACTTTTAATTTTGCCATCCTCCTTTCATGACTTCCTTTTCGTTTGAAATATGCTTGTTGATTTCACTTTGCAAATTGCAAGTTATGCGGCAATCGGTGGAGTCAAATGGCTCCACTACTGCATATCATATGAATTCCTTTTGCCCGCAGGAAAGCGTCGAGTCGGCAGGATATATGTCTATCAGCTCAAGAAAAATTGCATCCAATTTGCGCTCAAAAGCCCCCAGATAATACAAATACACAAACCACAAATGGTGTGATTTATCAATTACCACCAACATGCCATGCTGTTGTGGATTTATGCAAAGAAGATGCTGAATGCAAGTGAGTAGTGGAATTTATCAAATTGTGCAGCCCATGTGTGCGTGGGTGTCCCTTTGAGAATACATAAAAGTGAACCCCTTTTCCTCCCTCGTTTTCATGAGTGGGTATCAATGAAAAAGCACACTTCATGATTCCCAAGCGACAAATTTCTTATCGCATAGACAGTCTATTTGGTGTTGTGCCAAAGCGACCACACAATGAGAATCCTCGAGATTCCTTTCAGATTTTATTGACAAAATAAGTGGTGATATTTCTGTGTGCAGAGAGACATGAATTTAAGTATGTCTGCAAGGATGGTCAAACACGTGAGATGTTCACATTTAATGAATTATCGACAGTTTAAGCTCGTCCCTCCACACGAAAACTATATTCGGTTAGGAAGGCAGCGGCACTGAAAATCGATTGACCACTCAATTTATTTTTCATTCGGGATTTCGTCTTTTGGCCGCGGAAAATGTGTGAAATGGAGAATTTAAAAATTTTCTCATTTCCATTATGAATAATAAAGTGAATTAAATTAAGTGCAGAGTGCACAATGTAGTCAATCATTTCAGATTAATTTCGCCCACTTAAATCTCACTCGAGAGTTCTTTGGAACTGGCGCTATGGCCTTAATATGAAATTCAATGGGGCTAGAATCCGAGGAGTAAATAAATAAATAACTTCAAATGGATATATCTTCAATATTGTATGATTTGAATGATTGGATTGGATGTTTCCCGTGATGTGTCGCTTAATAACATAAAAACAATGGAGTCGAATGCATTGTATTTTCTAATTTGCATAAAACTAATTTAGCGATATTTGATGGTGGCTTTTTTGTCATCACACAGAATACGATTGGAGCAATATGAGCAGGCGTGCGCTATAGATAGTGTGACGCGAAAGTGCGCCGGTAGGGCCAACATTTGCCGTTCAGCCTTACTTGGAATTCTTGGAACATCTCTCCGTACAACATGTAGCTGCCAAGGGGCAGATTTGCAGCAGATATACGAATGTCTTGGATGGCACAAATTATTGTGGCAAAATCCCTGTGTCGGTATGAAGCATTATTCTTCCGCCGCTTAATATATGGGCGATATTTCTTGAATTGCAATGCAAAGATTTGAAAATGGGAGCAAGTGGATGGAGGAGGGCTTATATGACTTTTTATTGTCGCTTTTACAGTTGAGTCGCAGAAGGACTTTCACTTGAAGCGCCTGGCTGAGCTGGGCTTGTTGACAATACCAACCATGCCCAGCATAACAACAACCACCACGGTCGCTACCTTTGTCGGGATAACCGAAGTTGAAATACCACTTCATCCTATTCCGCCATTCAATTCGGTAAGTTATTCAAAATTGGCCTGGATGACGTGATATTAAAATGCAATAATGTCATATTCATCGTCATATCTGCGAGCGAGAATACATTATTTTGCTACTTATCCCTCTTCATCCCCTTCAGTACTTACCCACCGAAGGTCCATTCGAGACAAACTACATTGAGGCATCAGAGTCCTACTCAGACTCAATAATGCAGCAGCATGGAAATGAATTAAATTCCTCCATTGAAGTAAAGAATGGCAATTTGTCTGAAGAGCAATTATTTGTCTTTCTGACGAGTGAAACGACGGAGGATGATACAACGATTTCCACAACTACAACACCAAAGCCAGTGCCGACAAGTAAGTAGTGCATGAATGATAAGATTAAGTGACGGGAAAAACTTCTTGTGAACTTGCTACGTGTCTCTCCTGTCTTGATCATATTATTCACATTTTATGCTCAAGACAATTCAAAGGGTGCCTGTTGATTTTGTCCTCGCAAGTTCAACAGGATGTGTCGTAAACACTGCGATTTGCTCAATATATGTCACGTTTATTAAATTTCATGAGCAATTGGCTCTTGTCTGATTCCGTCTCAATTCCCGCTCCATTTCGCACCACCCAAGGATACTGTCTTGTGCAGCGAGCGCATCAGAATGATCAGCAAATACCAGAAGGAAAGAGCAAGCGGGTAAGTGCATTTTATTCCTTCCAGTAGGTTTGTCCGGATATGTGTATGGTATATTGAATATAACTCTGTCGCTGCAGCTGTACTTGCTCGACGACCCAGAGTGCAGTGAGCTCTGCACCTGCTCCGACGGAGGAGAGAACCCGACGTTGTCCTGCTACGCCCTCTGCGTGCCCCTGGTCCCATGCCGGACTGCCCTGGCGTACTACAGCCACGCGTCTCCGGCCTACCAGGCGTTCCGGGGACGCTGTCTCTGCTACTCAGGGCGCTTCATTTGCATGCGCCCACCTCCGGGCGAGTACTTCCTTCCAGGTAAGTTTAGAGGCAGTGGCGGAAGAGAGACAATTCTATAACAAACTGCTTCTGCCTGGATCAGGTGGGGTATTTCTGTTACTGGGATACAGCTCAACAGACGAAGCCCTCCTGCGACCGCACACGAATCTTGGCATTCAAGATGCCGTGAGAGCACTCCAGCAGTACATGGTGGAACACGTAAATAATCAAGTAAGTGACTTCATTATGCTCTAAATTAATAGCAACACGACCGCCAATTGGGTGAAAGTCTGTATCTTCAATCAAAATGTGCTAATTTCCATTAATCTTTCCACCACTTGGTATTTCAGACATCATGTACTCTAACCTTATTCAATATGACTGATGAGAATGTTATAATATCAGCAAGACTTCCACACGATCCGAAAGTAAATCCTCTGGAGCTTCTGCGGCGGGAAAAGGTTTGTGTGAAATTTTAAAATTTATAGTGTTAGGCCCTGCACAATTAACAGACTATTAGGGATGCTGTGCTCTCAAGCCACAGAACAAGAATTAAATTGGGTCTATGAGAGATCTTGGACCATATCCAAACCCCATGAGATAAGTGTCTATTATTAATGTATTTCAAGGTGTCCTTTGCTATTTTGCTTATCATGTGGTGGAATGTCATAAAATATCTACCCAATTCTCAATTCAGACAGTTGTTTCATATTGAATTAAAGCCAAGAGATGTTGATAGTGATAGTTTATAGGTGAATCACACAAAGTGAATTTGATAATTATCTAAACTGCTTTCTGATTTAACATTTGTCATTTCAATATAAATTGATTCGCAATTGGTTTGTGAAACAAAGTTTACGTGCTAAATAGCTACATATACATATTTTAATATCGTTACAGCTACAATGTGAACTTGGGTTGTGCGCTTGATAAAGCTCTCGTACATGATTGAAATTCCATTTATTCGTTACTATAAATTTTCATATTCATAGTCCATTTTCCAATATGTGACGGTCTTTGTCGGGAACGGAGCGATTTATTTTGATTTAGTGTAATGATTCACTGTAGCATTTTGCAATCTTCTGGCCTGATTTTAAATGAAGAACCTTCGTGAATAATGAGTGATTCGATTATTTCAGGCTCAGTGCAAGTCCATTCTGGAGGCAATAAGCCATCACATAAATACCCAGTACACAGAATTGTCATCCGATAGGCTACTGAGTATATTTAAAATGGCTGAAATGCAAGTAATTATACCAGACATCAGCGGATCAACACACACCATCAATTTCAATTTGAGATTACACATATTATTGCCGGTCTTCACTGTTCTGCCCACCATATTCAAATTGTACATGAGTATTTACCATATTTTATGACATGGCAACTACTGTACAATATGTTGAGGATTCATTTGTAAGCATAATCAGTTATGTGTAATATTAAGGCAGTGTTCTTCATTGTAAATGAACCCTGATTTATATACTGTATAGAGAATCAATTACGCATGTTTTAACATGATCTGTTGTTGTCTGTATCTCACTCAAGAGATAAATGTATTCCAAGTCCATCGAGGAATAACTATGAGGATTTGCAATAATAAGAAGACAAACGTATTTTTAATAAGATTCTAGTTACTCGAACAATTCTCTTGAAAAGAGTCTCATTGAAGTTAACTTGGATGGTACAGTGAGTATAAATGACTTAGTTGGTATTCTTTCATGACATATAGTTGATGGCAATGTGTATATATAAACCCTCATAGGCAATACATTCTACGACAAAGTGGAGAGGATGACAAGATAAGCTCAAAATTTCATTACATAAAAAGACACTGAAACATTCTTGACAAGCAGAATATCGGATATGTACTGAATAGCAAAAGCTATATTAAATATTATTATGTATATATGTTTGTTGCGTTGCACGTATAAATTTGATTGATTTTTCTCATGAAATTACAAGAAATATTTTACCAACATTCACCGCTACATAGACGAAAGTATCTTCCTTCAAGGCAAAATTAATATTTTGTGCTGAAAAGTGAATAAAATCTATTACTAAAATACATATCATTTTTATTGATATTTCAACAATCACAAAATATATACCAATGTCTTTTAAATTTTATTGAGTGTATTTTATTGAGTGGAAGATAAATCTTTAAGTATTTTGGAATTTTATACGGATATACATGCATGAGATTATTTACAAATAATCTCTATATTGTATTTTTACACAAATTTTATTGACGACATCATTCATATTTGTAATTTAATAACATTCGAGTGTGAGTCCTTTTTGGCAAAAGTCACAACAAAAATATGATGGCATATAAGAATTATCCCACTTAACTTTCCGTTTTATGACTATAACACCATATCCATTAGCTTGACCGCATCAATGCTCATTTTGAATGTCATCCTAAATGGCTTGATATTGTAAAATGCACTTAGGATGTATGAAATATTCGAAATCGAATTACTCTCCCTAATAGCAAATGAAAGTTGTAGTTTGTAGAGATAAAATCACATATTTTGTGCACATTTAAAGTATTAGAGAGCTTACCAGATGAGAGAAAATAATAATGGAAGTAAAGAATACTTTAAGGTAAAGGCAAGAGAATTATAGTTTTAAAATCACTATTTGACAATATGCAACAATTAAGCATAACTTACAATGAAATAGCTATACTTTCACATTTAATAAACGCCAAATATTATATTTTTGTATTAAAACGAGTATGGAATTTTTCGTTGAACTGTTTAAAAAAGATTGTAACTATACATTTTTTAAATATTTGATGGGAGGAAAATGGAGTGGCAATAAGTTTTGTAAATTGTTGTAATGTATTTAAAAAAAAAAAGAAAAGAAAAATTGTCAAAGGAGATGAACAATTGGAATTTAAAATGCTTATGAATTGTCCAAGTCCATAATTGAGCTTGAAGTTTACGTTGTAGATTTTTGTAATAGCGTAGATTAAATTGTCTTTCGCTTTCTTGATTTCAAAATGACATTACTAAGCATACTCAGTGTGGCCAGTTTACACTGAAGTGTCTCGTTATATTGGTATATTTTCCAATGAATGTTAGATGACCATTAATACGATGTATGGCTCTAAGCAATAGATAAAAACATTAAAAATTGAAGGGGTTTCACAGCATGTGTAATACATGTCAAAGTATAATTATTTCGTTGAGTGTATGCTTAAGATAAGGAATTAAATTCTAAGATGGTGTATAAAATGAATAGGTCTAAAAACTAAAGAAAATATACTAAAAAAAATTTATAAATGTGTAAAGTGCATTCTGAAAAGGTGTTTCATTGAAAACAAGTCATGTAATGCAACACTTTGTATGAATAATTTCTGTTGAGATTGTGAAAACAGATAATTTATTTGTAATATAGTCTGGATTGAAGACTGATCTGTAGAATTTTTTTGGCTGATATTTTTGTTTTTTGGAGATTTTAATGGAAAAAAAATATCACGTCAAAATTTGCACTTGAAAATATGAACTTTTAGACATGTTTGTATAAGAAACACATTTTCTGCTGATAGCTTTCGAGACGTTGGTGCAATATTGTAAAGATCTAGAAATAATGAAGAAAAATGTATTTTTAAAGGTAAAAAGTGGTCCTCAACCAAATTTTCTCCAAGACTTTGCTAGTTGATTTACCGAAACTTTCCGCAAAGCTCTATTACTCTTGCATTTCTTCAGCTGTATCAATAGCGGTATGTGGAGTATGAGTATTTCTGTTGATTGTGTCCCAAGGCAAGAATGATTTGTTGTGCAAAGAATTTTAATTAACTGTAGCTTGTTACATGTGCTTAATTAATCACATAAAAGAAAAATAAATAATAGCGAAATGGGTAAAAGTAGAGAGACAAAGTACATAAATGTAATAGGAGTCGCATGAAGATGGTTAAGAGTCAATCATGTTTAATCCAATATTTTATATGTGTTCTGATAAAGAAAAAAAAAAACACCTCTTTAAAGTAATTTGGGCTATAGTTTCCCCTTTCTCTAAAATGCAAATCTAATTTTGTCGATGATAAAGTTGCGCAGCACATTGCATAGAAATTGCAAACAAAAATATATTGTCTATTTGATGATCTTCACACTTATTCTTGAAACTCTAAGCAATTGAAAAAAAATTTAGAAGTAGAACCCATAAAGGGCAAATACATATCGTCTAGTCTTCCCAAAATGAAATAACATATCAAGGATAAATAAAATTTTAAACGCATAAAATAACTTTTATTTACGAACAATTATATGAAGAGACGTGCAAGGAGAAAATAATATATATTATTTAGTGAGAATTGAAGGAAAATATTATTCCTTACTATTTATATATAATCCAGAATAAATTTATTTAATAGAAAAATGCTTTAAAAGAAACTTTTGAATAAAACAACACACAGAATCCACTATTGAATAAAAAAAAAACATTACAACATGCATAAATGTACTCACAAAATAAAATAATTAATCAATATTGAACGTAGCGCTCTATTAGATGAATATCCTCAGAGATCTATTCATATGCTGAATGGTTGAACAATAATAGTAATAAAATACCTAAGTTATTTTAAATTGCATCTGTTTTATGTCACCCCATTGCAGGGTTGTTATGGCTTTGGGAAATTGAAAATTACATACTAACAGCCAGAGATGGATGGTGATGAAAATGTCCTGATGTGATAAAAGAGCCCGGTAAGTACCTCCAAAATAACTAAATTACCTACTGCCTGCGTGTGTGGACAAAATGCAAATCATTTATGGCATTACTGGAGCTTTAAAACCAGCGCTTGTGGGGGATAACGTTGACCTTTAAAAGGTGAAGGGGAGCAGAATATGAGGTTAGAGGAGAAAAAATGGTAAAATGGCAGCTGTGGCTCTGTAGTCAACGAGTTTGACTCTCGATGAAGTCGTGTGTTTGAATTCCACCGATTGCAAATGTTCAAACACAGAGTGTATAAAAAAATTAAGCCTTTAATGGCAAAGTAGAGCAGCCCCATGGGATTGCTGTTGAATGTTCCAGCCGAAAGATACGCTTCACTGGAACTGCCTTGCGCGCTCTGTTCTCGCCAAGGCGATTGGCCTGGAAGCGTCTGGCACCTCACTCGGGTTGGGTACAATAGGCTTCTATAGTCGCAGTGCCCTAGACCATATATACTACATTTGGTCTACCCGTTTCCTTGTAATAAATAATAATTCAATAAATTCTCATAGTTATTGTTTTCATTTCCAGGTAAAAGATATTCATGTGCGCAGCATTTTAGGCTCCAGTGGAGGAGAAACTCATGCGAGAATTGTATCATTCATAGGTAAAAGAGATATTCAGAGAGCAACTTCTTCGGGTTCCTGTGGATATGATTCTCATGCGGGATTTACGTATTTCATAGAGTCCACAAAAACATTGTATATTTATGGTACTTTTTAAACAGAAGTTTATAGGGTTTCCCTACGAAAAGAACCGAGCGAAACCACATTATTTGCTCTAAAATGCCATTATTATTTAATGTACCAATTGTAGATATAGGGCATCGGTGAATATTCGCGGAAATTGGAGGCCAATCTATTCCTGGAATTTGCACAAAAGGGCCAACCTCTATACATAATTCGATTTCAGGAAATGATTTACTGCAAAAGCCTCCTTCGCAGCTGCGAACTTTGGCCATTGTGAATGCATTCCTGGTCATATGTGGTCTATTTTGCACACTCTGGCTGTTCCTACGAAGTCCCGTACAATTCCACGGAGATTTCGGGATGTGATGGAGAATTATGGAGCATTTTTCTGTTACCATGTATTGCGATTCTGCGCACTGCACGAAGCCTATGTACAGTGTGTCGCCTCCATTATATTCCTTTTCGCACAACTCAGTTGCACTTTCATTGAATTTCCAATCTGTCAATTCATTCAAGACCCATTTGCGGGGGACAAGTAGTGCATCTGGGGCCGAAATCGTGTCCATTGTGAGTGTAGTCTGGAGTTGAGGGACTCCTGGGAGGTTAGTGACGTTATCCCAATGATAAGAGTGATTATTCGTGGTCTTGTGATAGAAAATCAAGGCAAAATGTTGTGTATGGTTTGTTAGTGTAGAACGATTTGATTTTTGCACCACAATCGTGCTAAAAGTCCACTCAGCTTGATTACGGAGATTAAATTCGAGATTTGGTGTCCAGTATTTGCCTAAAACATAGCCGCGATTAAGGGTAAGTCGCCAAGAGCGTAAGGTCATAGTATTTCCCCGTGTGGGTGTGAGGAGCCCTAAATTTTATTCTCTGCTGAATAGTTTTCTTCACGTAATTCAGTGGAGTAGAAATTTTCATTACATTTGAGCATTAGTGAAAATTATGGACCGTCTTATGTATAGGGAAAAGAATGTATGACGATGAGTATGTACAGCATGTCGAGAAAATCAATATTTTGAATTCTAGCTACATTATGTGGTGATGTGTCAAAAGAAAATAGGACAATATACAGCTCGTCAGCAAGACGGCAGCATTTTTCCAAATGTCTGTGAATTAAGCCATAAACAGTATTTAACAGCCGAGCATTTAGCTGAAAGGATGTGGCGCGATTTGCCATGCAGAGCGACCTTCCGTAATTGCTAGACATATTGGAAAAGCATTGTGTAATTCAGTTTTTATGCTCTATCTCTCTCTATCTGCCTCGCCACCGCAAATGGCCCTTGATATTAATATTGAAAGTTATATATAAAGAGTGGCGGAGATTGCCCGAGGTCTCTGACAGGATTTCATGTTCGTCCTCAGAGGATGAGACGAGCACGGCGAGGTCGTGTTTGGCACATCGGGATACTCTTCTTGATCTACTCATGCCTCTACGTGTACTCTGCGAAAATTAAGACATCCACCGAGGAGGAAATCAATGAAGAGCAAACTGGTTCGCAAATTGAACTCAATGTCTCACCCAATCCCACATTCGACACTGAACTCTACACCACATCGATCGGCAAGGAGGTAAAAGCGTATTACATTTCTTTCCAATCTTGTCCGTCGATGCGAGTAACGTGTAATTCCGCTTCGCCCCAAGGAGACAGATATGATTGAGTTAACAACCCGTGAGTCATCTCACATTACGCATCATGCTCATCCCACTTGGCGGCCAAAGAGGCAGAACTGTACTCCTCCGGCCATTGAGCAGTTCCCACAGCCTCTCATGGGGCCAAATGCCAGAAAACACGGCGGTCTTGTCATCCACGTCATTGTGGCGATCTTCACTTTCCTGGGACTTGCCATCGTGTGTGATGATTACTTCGTTTCCAGCTTAGATAGGATTTGTGAAGGTAATAACATTTTCAATAATCCCCACAATTTGGATTGTTCAGCATTCGGCTCACCTCCTGGTATATCTAAAACAATTTTAAATAATTACATTGCTTTAATTTTCTCATTATATACGTACATAAAATGATCGGGAACAGTTTGTGCTGGAGTTAATATTAAACAATATTGTAGTTGCTTGATGAGTCATATTTTTTTTTCTTCAAATTGTCTGCAGAACTCAAATTGTCGCCGGACGTTGCTGGTGCTACCTTTATGGCAGCCGGAAGTTCAGCACCTGAGTTGGCAACAGTCGTGATTGGCGTGTTCTTTGCCAAAGACGACATTGGCGTTAGTGGCGTGATCGGATCGGCCGTCTTCAACATTATGTTTGTCATCTCGGTGTGCGCCTTGTGCTCGGGCACCGTTTGTCAACTAAACTGGTGGCCTCTCGTCCGGGATTGCTTCTTCTACTCAGTCTCAATCCTCGTGATGCTCATCATAATTTTCAATGACACCATCTCATGGGTGGAGGCTCTTGTGATGCTGATCTTCTACGTCTTTTACTGCATTGCCCTGCATTTCAACAATGCTCTGGAGCGTTGGGCTCAAACATGGAAACTGCCTATCAAGCTGCCAACGCGTGAGGAGCAATCGGCTCTGGTGACTTACAAAAACGTCTCTGACCCGACTTACACGCAGAACGCTCAAGCTGTGACGAATCTGTCGCAGGAGCCGCCGCAGGAGCAGCCAAAGGTCGATGAGTCTTATGATACGAACACCAGCTGGGATCCGAATGCTGCATGGGGCGACGAGACAGGGGGTGGCAATAACTATGGGGCCGCCACGACCACGACCGCAGGTTGGGGGGATGCTGGGCAGCAAAATGCCGATTCCTGGGACACAAATAATGCCTGGGCGTCTGGCGAGGGGCAGCAGAATTATGGGTACAATCGTGACGGTGCCGAACAGGTGGGTCTCTTCTATTTAAAATGAATTTCGAAACACCCCGAATCGTTATTAATTATGCACTTTGAGTTTTATTTCAAAGTCAAACTCTTAGAAAGTACAAAATGAAGCTGAATATTTAAAGTCTTTGATGACTTTTCTCGTGTTTCAAAGACAAACATATAATAATACTTTTGGTAGCAAAAACACAACATTCTTAATGATGAAGCTCCTTCTCGGAAATGGAAGCTTACCCAAATCTCATAGCCATTTCAAATATCTAGAGTTTATACGGTGTGCTCTTCCACAGAACATACAGGAAGCGGGCTTAATGCCTCAGGGCAGTGCAGTCACCGGAAATGTCACGCAAACTCAACAAATCTCGAGCTACTACAAATCAGCCGACCCGAAGAATACGGAGCCAATAAATCCACTGGAGAAACCCACGACCGGAGGCTTTCCCGGACTGGTGGCGTGGTACATTGTCTTTCCCATTCACTACATGTGTCGCCTAACAATGCCGGACTGTCGATTGGAAAAATATCGTAATTGGTATCCGTTCACCTTCCTCATTTCCATGATATGGATATCGTTTTACTCCTACTTTATGGTCTGGATGATCACCATCATTGGCGCCACCCTCGGCATCCCGGACACTGTCATGGGCTTGACTTTTGTGGCCGCTGGAGTATCTGTGCCGGACGCCCTCAGTTCAATAGCCGTCATCAAGGAAGGCTATGGCGATATGGCTGTGTCTAATGCCATCGGCTCCAATGTATTCGATATATTGATATGTCTTGGCCTGCCGTGGTTCATCCAGACGGCCATTATCAAGCCAGGCTCACATGTCAACGTTATATCCAAGGGTAAGGAAGCCAAAATAAAGCCTCGAGTCTCATATAAAATCAATTCATTATACACTTATATGCAGGTTTGGCTTACTCAACCCTATCACTACTCTCAACTGTGCTATTCTTGCTGGTTGCAACCCATCTCAATGGCTGGAAACTGGATAAGCGTTTAGGAATAATCCTAATGGTTTGGTATTTGGTCTTCATTACCATCGCTTCACTCTATGAATTGAATGTTTTTGGGCAACTCAACCCACCAGAATGCGCAAGTAAGTACACTTTTTCACTACCCGGACAATTGACCACAGAATTAAATTTATTCAAAAAACAAAAATTTCAGGTAATTACTAAGCTGTGGGATACCCCAGAAGGCAAGAATTTTATTTTTTTAAATGCAAAAAGAATGCTTTAGTTTTATATTTTAGTCAAGACAACATAAATGTTATATTTTTTAATATTTATAATTGTTTAATGAAAGGTTTAGAAGAAAAGTGAAAATTTTATGGAGGTACGTGATGCAATAATGTGTTACCAAGTCAGCGTATCGGATGATATCTGATGTGAAGAACATAGTCTCCTTTTAGTTAGCTAAAGAATAAAACCCAAAAACGGTCTAGTTTGGAGGTTATAGTTTTACTTAAGAGACCTACTGAGAATGTATAAATAATATACTTAGGAATGTTGCAATAACATAATACCAAACGAACCAAACAGGAAAGATTGTATAATTTCCTATTTTCGCGAGACAATGTTGTGAAAGTTTTGATATGTAGTTATTAGAGAATGAAGAATCTCTCCCACATATGATTCAAATTCATACCTCAAATTCTATATTGATTCTCTTCTTAGCCAATGTTACCATTGTTTGGACGTTGATGACTTTTTGTTAGCGGATCTTAAGCATTCTAGCTAATTATTATACCTTAGCATACATTGATCTTTGCTAATGCTTTAAAAACTCCAAAGAGTAAACTGTAGCTAGACAATCTCATTCGAGAAGATTTATTTCAATAGAAAGAGTATTTGAAGTAATTCGGTTCTTGTTTAATGTTTATTTTAAAGCACAAAAAGTTAATGAGAATGTCTGTAGAAGAACATTAATGCGAGAATTGCTCTTTTAAAACGAACTGCTGTAAATGCTTCTCTTCCAAATAAACATAACGCGTTATTAAACGTTAAAGAAACACTTCTAATACTTCCGCTACAAGTTATCCTATAGTTTATAGTACCTCATTTTCTAAAGCGCTCTAGAGTTCCGTTAAATATAAGACATGCTGTAAATAATAACATTGAAAGATAAAATTCAACACAAATTAAGCATCACAGAACATAATCCCGAATTTCCCAAGCGAATGCATATTAAAGTTACTGCTTTCAGATATCATTAAGAGAGAAAAAAATCGGTTGGATTGATTTGGAAAAGATTAAATAAATGTGAAAAATAGGGTTTCTTGTGGTCACGAAAGATAACATTCAATTAAGCTTTTGAAGTCCTAAAATAAATTTATTAATTGATATTTTGCACACAATACATCGAAAAAATTTGTTTCAAGAAAAAGAATAAAAAAGAAAAGAGTAATATTGTGATGGAAACATCAAAAAATTAAAGTCTAGCGGTGCCTGAGAAAAATAAATTTTGTTGTCATTCCTGACAAAACTGATGGTAAATTACCCCAAAAAGAGAACAGTAAGCAAGAAAATAATAATGAGAAAAAAAACATGTAAATGTAGTTACACAGATGAAAGCAACCTTATATATGAATAATGAAATTTAGCAAATATTGATAAAATGAAAACAATGATCAATTATATAACATCAATTACATATATTGTTATCAATGTTGTGTATACTTAATGACAGAAACCTCATCTATGATATGACAAATTTAACAGCAAAATTTGACAATTATCCTAGTGACAGTGATTGAGTCAATTATTTAATTCATTGCAATCTGTTAAAGCAAATATTTCAATAGACATTCAGCAGAAATATTTTATTATTTTCGCAAACAGGGTTACAAATTCAGCTTCAAACACATTCATTTTCAAGCAAAATATAATCATAAAGCAAATGCTCCCTTAAATTTCTGGGCAATTCTATACTTTACACATAAATATATAGTCTTCTGTATTGAACTCTTCCAAGGATATAGAAATATACAAGCCTTAGGGCATAAACCCTCCGTAACCCTACTGGAATGCTCCTAATTTGTTTCAAAGACAAACAAAAGTTGTACTCTGTTGAAAGCCATAGTATATAGAAAGTGATGTTGAATCCTAATTTCAGTCAACCTATCATATTTGGAAATTTATATCAGTGTACTAACTTGTATTTATCAATTAAAATATATCTCAGAGACAATAATTTTCACATAAGATTCTAGTTATTTCGTTCTTAGATAATATTTAAATTTTCTGAAAGAAAAAAAATTTGAATGTTTACATAAATTGTTTAACCCCAAATGAAAGATATCTATCTATTCTTGACTCTCAAGTAAGAAGCATTTGTGTTCAGATTGTAAAAAAGTTATCATAATGTCAATGAGCATGAACTGTTATGTTATATAATAAAATAAAAACGTGTTATGCTACTGAATTTATTTTATGCCTCAGCATATTCCACTGCCTTCGAGGATATGTTCTTTTTTTCACTTTGATTTGCAGAGTGCTTTTCAATGACCTGCAAAATAGATGCGTAAACTAAGTCCCTAGCTTCTTCTCCCCAGCAAAAGTCCATATGTCCGAATTTCTTATCAGGCACTTCGATAATATCTTCCAACTTGGCCAAATACGAGCCTAGCTTCTCTACATCTCGTATATTCACAAATAAATCACTTACTCCTGTATAAAGTGTTACAGGGATTTTCACGTTGTCTAGATTGTAGCTCGGAGGCTTGATCGACGCGTACCTTTGGAGATTTTTCTTTGGTCCAAAGTCATACTCACAGAATCTCCCGGAATTAATTTCCTGCGCAAAATGAAAAACTTGATAGACTGATGCCGGTGCTGGACTCAGCTTGAGAACTAGAGGAACTACGGGTTCACTGATCGTCTCAATATTGCATCCTCCCAAGGCGCATAGAATATTTGAGCAGATGTCTTTGGAGAAATCATTACTCTGGCATATGACCTTGACGATTCTATTGAAAAGATTATCTCCGGCAATCACTTCATCCAGTTGCAATGTTCGCCAAGTAAACGTCATCACGTTAACGAACTTCGCTAGTGAGCGCACCAACGGGTTTTTCACATGCGACATAAACACCGCCGGAGCCAGCGCCTGCATAGACCTCACCTTGTCATTGAACTCTGGAAATGAACTCATCATCACGAAGAAGACGGTGGAACCTTGCGAATGACCTATGTAGTGAAGACTCGGCTGCTTCGTGTAGTCAAGTATGAAGTTGATAAAGGCTGGGATGTCGTAAATTCCAATTTCATGCCAACTGAACTTCCAATAGGAGCGGTCAGTTACTGAAAGGTTAGTGTGCCTGGTGGAATAGAAACTTCCGCGATTATTGCCCATCCACACATCATAATTGGACTCCATCAGTATTGCAACAAGAGACTTCTGACCGGTTACGCAAAAATCCGCACAAGAACTGAGCAATCCGTGCTGCAGGTAAACTACAGGACCTCCTTGAGCTCGACTTTCATTCCTGACATGGTAGAGTTGCAGTATGTAACCATCCTTGGTGACGATGTCAAAATCATCTACTGTGTAATTCAGCGGTTCCAGAAATTGTGCCTATTATTTTTTCATTTCTATTACTGCGTGATTCACTTTCCGCGGAGATAGAAAACATACCGGGTGATGAATCCTTGAAAGTTGTAAGGAAGACTCGAAAATGCAACACAAATAGAATACAACAGACACGAGAAGCTCTTTTCTGGCCATATTAAATGCACAAACTAAAAGAATATGTAATTTTAATATATGGAACACTGCAGAGAACAATGACGGTATGCTTCAGCTTTAATTGATTAAGCACCTGAGGCCATTTGTTACATGTTAACCAGAGTTGTTATTATACATTTGGGGCTCTTTTTACACACATTATTTACATAAGATAAATTATACAAATATTCTGAAGAAGAGCTTTAATTGTTTTCAGCTGTAAGAACTTATGCCACATCTTCGGATGATAAATACCTCATTAAATGACCTGTCATGCTTCGCAACAGATTATAATAACAAAAAATTCATCGCTTTGTCTACGCAAAATTTCCGAAAAATTGTCAAAATTCCAACTCACATGTATATCTAGAGCAACAAGATAAAATGCCGACATTTTCATTGATAAACTACAAATTTATAGCTTTACTTTGTGCTTTACATCGAAAGCCGACAGTATTCCCAATTTGTAACTAAAAAAAACCCTTAAAACAATATTTCACTATTTTTGGCACAAGTTTCTAAAATCGCTGAGAATATCGTGAACTCATTCTTTGTCTCTCATGACCCTCAGTATCAGTGCACGATAAGACATTCATCACTTCTTTGTGTATCAACTAGAAATGTACAGAAGCAATCGAAAGTGTGACATAACAAATTGTCTTCATCGAACTTTCTGTATTTTCATGAGAATCAGTCTGAAGATCATTTCGCCTGTTTCGCCTCTTTTTCCGCCACTGATATGCAATTTATTTCTATTTACACTCTTCTTACGCGCGACTGACCCGCGATGGAGGGGAGACCTTATCGGGCTCCCCAGTCGCTCGGCCTGAACGCAACACTGACTTCGTCAGTCTCTTGAGATCACGAAGTCAGTAACAGTGCAAAATGGATTATACTTGCTCTTTGTCATCTGAGTGTTACAATTTTGCAGAGGCAAACCTAAATGAGACACCGAATGAACGTGCTGATGCTCTGGCTAAATTGTGCACGTGGATAGACGAGAACGCAGAACTCAATGTTGAAAGAGACACGGTGCATTTGCTGTATTTCCTACGTGGGGCGAAGTTTAATATCGAGAAAGCGAAAGACAAAATAAAGAGGTAAATTTTACGCTTGACGCAAAAATTAAGTTTGCATTATACTGTAATTCGTCAACTCGAAAGCATATGTTTCGGTCATTATCGCAGGTGATAAGTCAGCATTACTTAAAGTGTTTTCTTTTTAGAAGAGTGTCATTTTTTCTATACACAATAGCGTGATTGAACTGTTTTCTTTCTTGCATTTCACACACAACGACAAGCAAATAAATATTAAACTTCGCAAATTGCGGATTATTTTATAACTTATGTATAATCGTACTCGACTATATATGTAGGTTATGCATGTAAATAAAAGCAAAACAATTCTCTTAATTACAGAAACGCGCCAAAACATATTGAATAATTTTGTTAACAAATATTCAACAATGAGTAATTATACAAAACGCCATTCCCATTCCAGATTTTATCGCATGAGAGCAGAGAGATCTGAGTGGTTTTCCAACCGGAACCCTTTCCACCCTGAATTGGATGAACTCCTGAAAATCGGCGTGTGCTTTCCCCTAAGAGAACGCGATGAGCACAACCGCCTTGTTGTAGTGATTCGAACGGGAGCTCACAATCCTCGAAAGCAGACCCAAAACGATGTTCTGAAAATCTGCAAAATGCTCATTGACTTGGCGATACGTGCAGATGAGAGCATCTCGATCTATGGAGTGTCTGCGGTATTAGACATGACCGGAGTTACGCTAAGTCATGCTCTGCAGCTCACACCAACGATCATAAAACGAACCGTCGAGTGCTGGGAAACATATCCCTGCCGTGCTCGTCGCATGGAATTCGTCAATGCTCCAGCTCACGTGCATGTGATCCTGAACATCTTCCGCAGTTTCATGAGTTCCAAGCTCAAGGATCGCGTCTACGTCACCAAGGGATTGCCCAAGAATAACGAGAACCTTCCGGCCAATTTGGGCGGACATGGGCCCAGTTATCAAGAACTGGCCGTTTATTGGCGAAAGAAAGCTCAAGATAGTGCAGACTGGTTCGCTCGAAATGAGCAATACAAGATGACAATATAGAGCTCGTGGCAATTTATCCGTGTGTTATCAATTCTCTCGAGCTCGCATATTTCTCACCACGTGCTCGTGCAGCAGAGTCCTCTGGTTGATCGCCCAAACGAAGTCCAAGTGGTTGAACTCCATCATGGACACCAAGTGCTTCACCCTCACATTCGGCAGTCGCCTGAAGAGGAGATCAACATCCTCCGGAGCGGCCAGCCAGTCATTGAAACTGTGGTACATATAAACGGGGGCTGTGACGCGCTGCAGCTGATATTGAGGAGGCGTGAGTTGTCCGTAGTGCACTTGGTTCATCACTGGACCGTGATCATACTGGCGGAAGATGCGGGATCTCGTCACTTGTCCGAAGTGAATCATTTGTCGCGTTGAAGCACCGGCTGGAGAGTGTCCGTTGATAACAGGAAGCATTGTCTACCATTCAGAAAGCAATAGTAAATCATTTATGATAGCCAGACAATTTTTTCAACTCACTGTGTTCAGTTCGGCGGAATTGTATCCTGCCAAGAGGAAGATCTCATTGTAGCACATCGACTGAGTCGGAGCACCATCGCGACACTCATCTTGTCCTCCGACTCTGTTCATCTGATCCGTGGGCGCAAAATCGTGCACACCCATGACTTGCAGAGCCATCGTCGTCGTTGTGAGCCACATAACCAGTCCGTTGACGTAAGGACTTCTCGTGTGATGCATATAAGCAGCTGGAGCCAGTGCTTGCATGGACAAAATCCTACTGTTATAGGACGGCACTTCTGACGCCATCACCCAGAAAACCGTCGTTCCTTGCGAGTGGCCAATGTAGTGAATAGCACTGCGACCCGTAATCTGCACGATGTAATCGATCTTCGCTGGCAGATCTCTTGTTCCGATCTCATGCCAAGTGAAAGCCCAAAAAGTCGACAAATTGGGATTCAAACTGGTGTGACGTCGCGAATATCTATTCCCGCGAGCGTTTCCCATCCAAACGTCGTAGCCCAGGTCATGAAGCATGTATCCCAGACCCACATTAGGTCCCATCAGAATCCAATCAGCGGAAGAGCTGAGCATACCATGCATAAGAAACACAACATGCTTTCCCGGGTTCGGGATGCGATGCAACTCCAAAATGTATCCATCCTCAGTGGTTACGATGTGTGTCTCTGCAGGGTATCCATATTTCCTTAGCAATTCGGTCGTAGTTAAGCGAGAATCTTCAAGAATGTCATCACAGACCACAAGAACACTCCCGAATAGTATAAGAAAGAAACTCAATTTCATGTTACCTCACTGACGGTCACTCATTTAATAAGTCCATTTCTTATGAATTCGTCACAATTTAAGACTGCTTCTGGCAAATAAATCTGCTCATAAATATCATTCTGAGGGACTTAAAATCAAGCTAGGGCAATAATTTAGAGAGGGAGCGAAAGAGAATGACTTTCTTTATCGTTCACGTGAAGTTGGAACTTTGATCCAGCACACTCCGGGAGCACTCCGTCCTGCAAGTAAAGGGTGAGGAGGAGGGCTTATCATGTGTTTTCGCCAGATACTGGAAGCATTTTCACAGATTTTACCTTGATAAGAGAATTGGCCTGATAGCAGACTTGATGTTATCATAGACGCTAGGATTGATAAGCTCTTGAACTTTTAGGATACTGTTCGAAGCATTCAGTGGCCGCGGAGAAGAGCGAATGGGAAGACTGCATTGGGTGGCAAAATCCTCCAGAAACCGTTCACGAACGTAAATGAGAGGTTGGATGACTCTGACAGCATTATCACTGTAAAATTCAATGCGTAGATTAATATTTAGCCACAAAGTTTATAGTAAAGCCACAAAATTACCCAGAGCAAGGGCGCATCTCAAAGGTGTTTAGCTGCCCTTTCGTCAGAAGCGACACGAGGAATTCCTCAGCCAGATTATCTAACGTGCTGGCCAGGGCGATCACGTTGTACTTGCACTTCTGAGCTGTACTGCAGAGTTTTGAAGGGATATCACTGGCTTCTGTTGAAGAGTTTAGAATAATCATGCGGAAATTGCAAGTGTTGCAGAATTTCTTTACCTTTCTGGTCGTAGATGTAGTTTATGCCCAAGTCTCTCAGATACAACATCAAGACGCGAGGATCAATTTCTGAGCTACCGAGAGTACAAGCTGCAATGGTCAGCTTGAGATTTCGAATCTCAGAGAATTGATGAAGAATATGAAGAAGACACAGCGAAGCACTACTTCCAGAGACTCCCACTAAAACCTGGTCTCCAGCCTTTAGCATACTAAAGTCCTCAAGAGCCTAATAGACGCACAATAAAAAATTGATCCAAAATTAAATGAACATACAATCGTGGGAAAAGATTTTGTTGGGTTTAGAGAGGGAACAATGCGGTTAGAAGTCAACGCAATTACAAATATTACTTTATTCAAATATTACAGTCAAATTTAAATCCATACATTTATTTTGGCCAAGAAGAAGTGTTAATAAAGGGCTCTACAAGATGGACACTGAAAATATCAAAATATTTGCGGTATTTGCAAGGTACAATATAGCTTGGAAAGAAGACATTTCTGAGTTTTTTTCAGCAAGAAATTTACTTATTTACTCTGTTATTTCTCACTTTAAAAAATATTTGAAAAAATCGCGTATAATTTCTATACTTTCCAATATCAATTTAAAAAGAAAATAGTCTACTTATAATACTAAATTCAATTTTTCACAAATATTCCTTCAGTGAAATGATTTTTTTCAACAAAAGAAGTGATATTAAATTAGAATTCTATCTACACTACACAAACTACGACTCAATATAATTATAGTTTTTGGGATTATTTGTACCTAAAATCATTTTATAGATTAAATCCTACAATTTGAGCATGAAATGGTAAGCATTTGAAGAACCTTATAATTAACAATCTTGAGCAAGTCAGACTAGTTTTTGCTCCTCATTTTGGCACCATCGTGTTACATATTCACTTCCAACGCTATGTCTTCATCGGAAGGTTGGGTGAGAAATAGATCTACGGCAAAAAGGTGTTATTAATTGGATTCCACTTAGATTGGCATGCTCGTAAAGCAAACGAGAATTTCAAAAATTGCATTCTTAGTGGCGAAGCTGTTGGATTAATTCTAGACATTTCTAAAAAAATAGTTTGTGGTTATTTTCAAATATTACAGCGATACTCCAAGAAAAAGGGGTTAACATTTATCTAAAATTTAGGATTAACCTCAGCTGCTGAAGTCCAAATCTCCTTTGGCACATGATGCCACTTGTTGTCACACTTGTGATGGCCATTGGGTCTCTTGGCACACTTTTCATAGTCAGAATTTGTGGTGGAGACATTTGCTGGAAGCTTTATGTCCAAATTTCTTAATTTCCTGCCAAATGTTCCCGGAGGATTTTCCATGAATTTGAATTCCGTCTTCTCAGGCACATTTGCTGGCACGGAATTAGTCCTAAGAGTTGCAGATGAAGAAAATTGATGACATTCAAATATACAATAAAGTCACGCAATTAATCTCCCTTACCTGAGGCCTGTTGATGGATGACTGTGTCTCACGCGGATCTCCTCAGCTTCGGTGAAGCACATGTTGATGCCAGAGTCATGAGACGCGGTGTTAGTGGGATCAATGAGCTTGGAAATCGTTCCCGTGTAGGGACAACTGGGCGTTGAGGTCTCAGGACTCGAAGCAGTCGGCTGATGCCACCCAATCGCCGAATTCGGCCGTGGGAATGACTCGGATCGCTTCTTGAAGCAATCTGTGCAGAATTGATTATCACCACCACTCGAGGCGTCGCTCGCTTTGCCGTGGACGCCTTCTTGAGAGCCTTTCTTGCGCATCGTCACACCAGAATCAGTGTGCTCCTCCATCACAGTGTTGTACGCTTCCCTAATCTCCGACTTCACCTCACTGGCCATCTCCTTGGAGAATTCCTTAAGATACTCCGTGACATCGGACACAGACACCGAATCGCTCTTAGTGTGTTCTGAGCTCGAATTGTACATGGACACGCTCAGGGAGTTCATGTCCACAGATTCCGAACTCTCCAGGACGTCCTCCACCTTGGAAATCACCTCTCGAATCTCTGATTTGATTTCTGTCGCCAGCTCTTCGGTCACCTCCTTGACATATGCCTGGATTTCTTCAGTACATTCATTAAAGCTATAAAGAGAATGATTTGAAATTTCAGTTCTAGGAATTGCAGAATATCACGAAAATGTCTTATTTATCTCTCACACGAGATATTTTCCATACTTATGACCTTAATTTCACATCAGAATAAAAGTCAAGATCATCATCTTGTGCAATATCATCACTCATTAGGTTGACTACAGATATCAAAAATATGCAGACTATTTACAAAAGAAATCAAAACGCCTCAAACCATTTTAGTTGCGTTATAAGCAAGATTAACTTAAAACTCTCTAAAAAGAATGCATTTTGAGACCAATGTGCAAACCTCATCGGATTAAGGGATTTCCTACCATCATTCTGAAATCCATTAGCAAACAAGTGCAGGGGATTTTCGCAGAAGAGAAAATCACATTTTAATATCAATATGAGAGCCTTTAGCATTATCTAATGCGGCAATTTTCACATTCATCACCGCACTAACTCTGTAATCTCCATCCGTGAAATATTTACACTTGCACTTGAGCTCAATTAATACGTGACAGCGATGTTATCTCACCTTCCACTCTGCGACAAGTTCTGAAGACTAGGTGTGGGTGATGCATTCTCTGATGATGAAGCTGTGTTAAATAAATCTGTTTGACTACTGCAAGAGCAGACACGCTGACGTCTCTTGGCTCCATTTGCCTGCTGCTGGTCGGGCGCGAGGCCCAAATGAATGCGCGTCTGCGGGCTCAAGGCAGGCACAGATCCCCAACTATTACATCTACTTCATTATCACATTTTGCGAATGAGTGAAATGGCATGAAAATAGAAGAGTCATTTTAGTCACCAAAAAATTTGTCAAAGCCAAGATTATTTCTATTTAGTCACTTTTCAATGGGAAATGCTCTGCGTTTGTGAATAAATCGTTAAGGCTACAATTTTTTCTTCTTCAAATTCTACTCTACTGCGCTTCAACCTTACAAAAGTGCCTCCCCCACCTTTTCTATGTGCTCCATTCATGCTACGCTAAAAGACATTATTCACGAGTAGAGAGGCTGTACTTTTTATTCACTATTTAGTGAACAGAGAAGCCTTGCCTTTGAAGATTGATTTTAAATTTTTTATGAATAAATACATCATTCATATGTCCCTGAAACTACTGAGACAATTCAAGTTTACACCTCTCTCATGTAAAACAACACTTTCTCGAATGCGATTTTACTATTATTATTTATTGCCGAATGGACTAGATGTTTATTCGAAAATCTTTTATTTTAGAACACGCGCCAAACAACTAGAATGAGGTGATTTCGGACCTTTCAAGGTAATTTAAATCAATCCCACGTTGGCAAACTACATAACCATGACGCAACGATTCTATACAATCAATTGTTGAAGTTCTGAGTCAATATTCAAATTTCTTGCAAAGTGTTTTCGGCGTTATAATCGAATGTACGGCGAGTGATTACAAATAGATTGAGTAATTGGCTCTTCGTTCACTTGAAAGCCACTCAAAAACTTCTACGTCAATTTTCTCCACCTTCTATACACTCCTAATCAGTGATCAATAATTTCTCTTATATTTTAAACAGGATTTTGAACAGAAAAAAAAACCAATGAACGCTTCCAATAATATGCAACACTTCACCTTTCAAGTGTTCCGTACTTCTCAAGTTTCCCCAGAAGGAAATGAAGCGAAAAAGTGGAGAGAATTCGCACGTGTTTCAAAAAGCACTTCTTCTTTCATGGAGTGCAACGTCAAAAGAAAAAGAATAGTAAAATCTCGAGAAAGTCCTTCAGCAGCGTCACTGTGAAAAATCGATATTGGCTGATTAAGAGAAATAGCAAAGCGTAATTTCATTTGCGTGAAATTATTTTAATAGACAAGAGAGACTCGATAAATTGCATATTCATGAAAGGCGTGAATATTCATCAAGTGCGAAGAATAAATTGAGAACAACTATAGGCTTTATGTTCTTTAGAGTGTTTTGACGACAAACGCAAATTCTACAGCACAAGATAAAGCTCACATTTTTTTACGACTTCTTGACGAACAGAAATCGCTCTTTCTTTCTTTCCACTAAACCCTCAGCTTTCACAATAAACTTCATTCAATTCACATGGCTTTTATCAGACATTTCGAATTGTCAGATAAGTTAAGCAAATATTTATGTGTCTCTTGAGAACAAACAAAGTCCTCTTCAAAAGATTCTACACTTTTTCCTCGTGCATTTCACAAAACAGAGGATTTTCCTGATACCGCGCCCCGACGGGGGGAGAGATTCGAGGCAAAGGCAAATAAAATTGCAATGTAAATACACTTATTGACTAATATCCACACGCGAAAGAAGCGAATGTATATACGAGACTTTTCGCAGGAGCCATTCACAAGGGAACCTACCTATTTCTGGAAGGAGTGCCACCCTCATTTGCTATTATATTCGTTATCCTCTGTGATCCGAAATTTCCTATTGTCGTTACCTCTCCGCCAAGGGAGAAGCGCACCATGGGTGGAGACACACATTCTGGGGTTTTGCCATCATTCGTCGGATTTACTGGATACGGTGAAGATTGATGACGCTGCAGAGGTATCTGAAGTGGTGATATTGGAAGACTTCGATTTCTCAGACTTTTTATATCCAGTGCTGACAGACTATTATGACGATGGATAAATAGCAGGGCGGGCGCTTCTGAAACTAGAGAGACGGACAATTAATTTCCAGGGGCGTGCCTGTGAAGCTACATGTGCTTCGATTGTACTGTTTTTGACTCAAACCCAATATACATTGTTCAGAATTTACAAAAGGTTATGGTTGAGTCTGCTAGATAAGATAGCTGTCTGATAATACTTAAGTGAGCAAACAATTGTTATTATTATTACCAATTATTTAACTCTTAAGTCAATTTTGAATTATTATTCGCCACACCGGATATAACTTGCAGACACAAGTTTCATAATCACTGTCATAAATTAATTAGCTTGCACAGACTTACTGTTGTTGGGATCGAATGGCACGATGTTCTTCACATTCTGTGAATTCCCCAGCAGCAGCTCGTGGGCTTCGCCAGGCAGCATGTACCATCGCAGAGGTTCAATGCTGTCTCGCAGCCTCACCACCAGCTTCTCCGACTTCGAGGCCTTCTGGGCCATCTTGCGCGCTCTGTTGAAGATGCATCTGGCCGTGTGCAGGCAATCCGGGTAGTTTTGCGGAAAAGTGCCCGGCCCCGAGATTCGACGGTCAGAGAAGAGCATCCGACCGTCGGTATAGCGTATCGCCCCGAGCCATTTTCTCTCCTTGGCCAGCGAATTCGAGTGGTGTCTCCACTCTCCCGTCTCCGGATCACACTCATACTGTGGCAGCAGCTTCCACGCCTCCGTGGCCACCATCTTTAGTGCCTCTAGAATAAATCCAGTCTCCTGCTCCGACATGAAGTACGTGAGGGAGATGCGAGTATATCCAGGGCGCAGTTTCTCATTGTCATCCTCTGTCAAGATGCGCTCATACTCTATGGAGAACTTATCGGAGATACCAATTTCCCTGCCAATGTGACTCTCAGCTGTGGCTTGAATGCCAAACACGTCATTGAGCACGGCCACGATGAATCGATGATGGAGAAATGCGCCCCGGGGGTGTTTCACGAGGAAGCAAATGGTCGGAAGTCGCTTGGGAGTCATCCCCGGCGGTCCAAGCAGTATAATCTCCGGAATTGTGCGAATGTGCGATAAGATTTGCCTACAAGTACGTGCCGCAAATTAATATCATGCCGCTCAGATTTATACATTGTAAGTTAATGCGTTTAGGCATGCACACTTGCAGAAGAGATATATTGCAATTTTCAGGCAATTAAGAAGAATGTGTCACAATATTGCCCATTTTCCACACCAAAAGGCTCACACGAGCTTCCCGAGCTAAATTGAGAATGATTTATATTGTCTCTAAACTGCTTTGATGATTTTCCGGGGTGAATTAGTAATATTGAGGAAGTTATTCCTCGAAAATTGAAATGAGCATCACAAGCAAGCATCATTGAGACGTGACTATACTTTCCTCACCTCTGTGCCAATTTCTTAAATAACAATAAAAAAACAACACTGCGTATATGTATAATCAAATGCCTCTTTTAAAATTGTGGTGATAAAGTGACAGAGTCACTTCGTTGTACTTTTCCATAGAAATATAGCTTGTAATTTATTCTCAATAACCGACAATAAAGTGGAACTCGCGAAAAACATATAGGCATCGTCAATTGAAGCTGTAATAATGTCTTAGACAAACCACAGATTATAAATAGTTTTGCATCATCGTACAAAATAAGTACCATTCCCCTTGTTAGCCATAAAAATTGCAGAAAGGCATGAAATGCAAGTGCTCTTAACGAGAAACCAACACTCGCCAAGAGCGTGCAATTGTCTTAAAGAACCCATTTCCAATTTAAATCGCAATATAACTTTTCCGTAACTAATTAGGCCAAATCCTCTACTCACTTGCATATTTTCTCCTGTCTGGTCATAATTGATTGTATGCCGAGGGATTCCTTGAGTTGAATAGCCAGCCCGGCTCGAATAGCTCCAATTACACCCAGACTATTGTATGGCATATTTGAATTTGTCAATAAGCACCGCTTTATCACTGCAATCCCTGAAAGGAGTGACACAGAAAGAGCGATTACTTCAATTATCTCTCTCAATTTCGGTAAATATTTGTACTCACCCGGTGCCTGAACTCCGCCAATGAATTTGTTCACGTTGAAATAAATGACATCCTTGGCGGCTCCAGGTAGCTGAGGATTCATGTTCACTTCTGAATAGGGTGCCACCATGCTGTAGTCCCACATCGCGAGGGCTCCGTACTGATGGAGAAGTATTGTCGTGGCCACATCGTCCGTGAGAATGCCCGTGAGGCGCGAGGCGGCCGAAAAAAATCCCACAAGCTGCCGCTGGCTGTTCACATGGCTGGACAACTTCTTCTCCAGATCCACGAGGTCCAGGAATCCCTCGCGATTCTTCGAAACCTTCACAATCTGAAATGCATTACGCGTTATGAAGGGCAGTCTTACGTAATCTGTGGATTTTCCACCAACATTGCATTAAACGCGCGTTATTATTCTTCCACTACATTTAATAATCTCGATAACGAAATGGGGTCAACGGTTGTGAAAAGCATCCCATATCTATAAATTTCATTTAATATGAGCACTTTGAATAAACTGAGAATGCGACACTGTGAAGCTTCAGAGAGAAAATGTATTGATTTTAGTTTCAATTCCTACAGACTCAATATGGTTCAATTTTATCACTATTGCATGCTATTCTATAAAATGTTTGAAAGCTAACCTGAGCTCCTGAGTCAATCCACGGCTCCAGACTCGTCGCAGGCTCACAAGTGCTGACAAAGAGCGTTACTTGCTCTGCGGCTGGCGACGAAAGAGATTTGTTGATGCACTCCGTGAGAACTTTTTCACTTTCATTGTACAAGTTGATTCTATTGTTAAGTAGAGTGAGAACAACTTCGACGGGACTAGAGTGCGCCCCATCGCAGAGAATCACTTCATCATCAGTCGATGCATTTACGGCGGACTTTATAAGATCTCTCGCTTCATTGCTTAAAATAGAGGCGACAAGCGCGAATTAATATCTACTACACAGCAAAGGCCATTGTAGGAATGATAATGGAGGATTTTCTGGCAATTGAAATACTCACTTGTACAATTTCGATTGTAATCCGGTCACAGTGGATGTGCAATTAATATCACCAAGCATCGAGAGTGCCTCTTTGTTGACGTAGTCTTCGAAAAATTGCAAGGACTTGCCAGAAGACGTGTAATTCGCGTACACCACTGAAAAAAGAGAGAAAAAATTCTCAATGCAATTGTAAGAGTCATTTCCAAAAATTGACGCGCATTTATTCAAAACAGCCACGCATATTCGACATACGAAACTCCAAGGAGTTTACAAGAAAACGGCAACTTTCATAAAAACTATAGTTTTGCATTAGATCAAAAGTTTGTTTTGGCCAAAATATAATAAGCCGAGAATATGCCAGTGACTGATACACGTTCTCCCGCTAGAACAATGAAACAATACATAAAACACGCTGCAACAATTCTGGCGCTGGTCCAAGAAAAATTTGAGAGCAATTGAAATTCAGCCAAAGTCTATCGGTGAAACTAAAATATGTCAGATGAGTTCATGACGATTAATTCACCAAAGATATTTCAAATATTAAAGGTTAATGTTTGTCAATGTTTTCTACGAAAACAATCCTACACGAGGAGTGTTTGCGTGACTTTGCAGAAGAAAATTTTCCTCTCAAGAAATCACTTTCAATTTAGGCTCACCACAAATCCTCGGCTCTTCCGTCTTTCTATCACAAGTAATTTTCCTCACTCCCGAAAACTGATGGAAAACACAAATTTAAGGGGAGTGCGGATGGGAGTGGAAAAGAATTCGGTGCGATTGAGGAATTCATGTGGCGAGTAAACAAAGAATCGAGAACTTTGGTGCTTCAGTGCAAAATGGTCGTAAGTAAAAAATTGAGATATGAACGTATTTTTCAAAAATTCAAAGTCAAGCAGATCAGTGAAATATACAGGGTGTGCAGCAACTCACGCCAATGAGACTTTTTTTGTGAAATGAAAGGTAAACGAGTGGCCAATTTGCAGTCATTGAATTAGCAAATTGGTCAGTAATTTAGTGTTTCCTCAATTTTGCATTGCATGTACAATTTATCGACGTACCGTCCAATAAAAATACTTCAACTGTGTTTACCCTAAGACTACACATTCCTCAAATATCCAGAATACTCCATATGAATGATCACATCTATGAAAAAAACGTTCGAGAAACAATTCCAAAGCTGAATTCCATCCAAATCAACTTTGTAATTTCCCGATCTACAGTTACATCTTGAGGTTTCAATTAAAACAACTTGTTGTAGAAAAAAAAATTCACGACAAGCTTGCTGGGGCGTTGAACTGGTGAAAATGTGCTAAACCTTCACAAGAGTCATTTACGTTGCGGCTCTCCACGTGTCTTATCTGCCACTTTGGAGTCGATGGCTGACGTGATTGCCTCTCGGCGATCGAGAGTTTTCTTCCGAGCCGGGAAAAGCTGTGGTCTCACGCCTGGATGCTGTGCATGTTGGCCATCCTTCGGCCTTTGGCAAACAGAGTCCCACTGAATTGGCTGTTGAAATAAATCTCTGACCTCGCTTATCAACTTGCGAATTCTCTGATTTTGCACCACGATTCACCCTGTCGAGATATTTATACGCATGTGTATGTCCGAAATGAAATGTTCATATATCGCTCAACAAATGCTATTTTTATCGGACTTTGGATGTTTGTTTGACTATAATTTAGTGCCGCAAACTATGCCCAATTAAAGGTCCAAAAGCTATGACGATCGAGCAAATAGCCTGTCACGAAAAGACGCAACGAGAAGGAAATTTTGCGCTGTAAACAATCCCAATAGAATTCCTGCTTTTTTGTGCAGTGGCAGCTGTAAAGTGGACAAAATATTGGACAGCTTTAAATCCAATTCGTCGTCGCGAAAATCTGCCACAGTAACTAATAGTTTCCTCAAACGCCCTATGATTCTAGTTCGTATCATATTAATTTTTCTGCTCACTCTCTGCTGGCTATTTGCCAGATATTATTGCCGCTCTAATGAGATATCTTCATAACAGAGCTATATATTTTTCCACATACACAAAAGTAGACACGTATTTTGATTTAAAATAAACCATTAAAAATTTATTTGCTCACAAAACTTCCCACAGTTGTGTACATTTTCTACACCTTATGTACAAGCTAAAATTCATTAAATCTCCGCCATCGCAGCGAAATTTTTCGACACATACATTATACACGTGTAACAATCATACAAGAAGGTCGTATTATACTACTTCGCCTATGTATTAATTCAATGAGTGACACTGAGAATTCACCGAGAGAGTTGACTGACATGATTAGTCGACAGAATCGAAAGTAATTGACGAAATTGCCATTATTCATGAATTTTTTACAGGCACGCTGAATTTCCATGCTCGCACGAACGCAAAAAGCGTGCCGCCCAATTCATTTTCAGCTCCACATTTGGCAACTCATTGTGATGAGATTCGAGTGAAATAATAATTTGTCTCAACACACAAAGTGAGATCACTCAAATACGAGAGTTCTTTTCCGAAAACCGAAAACTTATCAAGCCAAAAACATTATAAGCAAGCCTAAACAACAGCAATCATATTCATAGTCTCAGAATAAACAAGAATGATTTACGGGAGAGTAAAGAGAGTATAAAAGAGTGCTGAAAATTATTTAATCGGTGTGAGATAACTCGAAAAAAAAATTGAGATTCAAGTTTAAAAATAGCCAATTGTTTTTGGGTAAACAACAAATAAAATCAACTGAGTCAGTGCGTTATAAAACACCATCGTGAAATATTGGAGTTATTACTTTGCAATATTGCAACATTCGGGAAGTGTCTTCGGGGGTAATAGTAAAATTGAAATTTGTCAGGTTCATTGACTCATCACAAAAATAGCACACAGAGACAACACTTTATTAATACTACATGTTTTTACTCAAGAAACCGGAAAAAAATTCGTCGATTTTCCGCTTCTTTTTGTCAAAATAGTGATTTCTTTAGACAAAAAATAATAGAGAACACATTCAAAAATAAAAATTGAATAAAAAATTTCTCTCTGTGCTAAACTGATATGCTTCATGCTGGCTATTTTCAGCGCATAGTCACGCATTAGTGGCTTTTTTCTCAAGTCTCCTCCCGCCGCTCGGGGGAAAATGTCCTACACAATGTGATGTGGAAAAAATTAAAAATAATTGAATTCTCTTAAAAAGCGACAAGACATTTTGGCAGAGATCAAAAGTAGGTTTTATGGATGGTTTTAGCTTTGCGTGGAACCACACGCACACGAGTTGAGTGAAATGTGTGTCCTATATAAAATGATAAAACTTTTAACGAAGAAAAAACACATCACAAATAGTTAAAACAACTTTACATAAATGATTTGGCAGAAAAGGAGTGTATCTTGTTTTCAAAACACGGTATATAAAAATATTTATAAGAGTTTTTTGGGAGACACCAAATACGATTGAGATGATGTTAATGTATTAAACCAGATTATGCTATTTTCACTCTTAAAAAACAGGTTGTGGGCACAAGACTTAAAATACGATAAGGATTAGGTTACCTAATATCACAGTATTATTAATGATTGTGGCATTTCTTCTTCGTTCTTCCTTTTTTTCTTCTTCTAAAGCGTGTTTCTCGAGACAGGCAGAATTCCCAATGACGTAAGGATATTCTTTCTGGTTAAAAAGCCATAGTTAAATCTACAGTCCTGAAGAACTTATTGTGAATTTGTAAGCTGATAGCAATGTCTTTACATAAAGTCATGGCATCGCATTGCATTTGTGACTCTTATTAAATGTCTTTTGTTTTGTGTAATTGATGCGCCTTTTCCGCATGAATCACACATTTTGATGAGTAAAGCAGATGATTTGAAAATTCTTTCTGTAATTAACAGGCGATACCAAACTAACTCGCAATGTCATTTTCAATTGACGCTCATCGGCTTTTTGCGTAATTCAAACTAAAGCTAACAATTAATCTTTTCACTTCATATGCCCAAAAATACATACAACGTCATATCGCAAGTGCAACAAAACAGTGCACACTTTGCTATAATTTTAAACAAAATCATGTCAGAAAGTCATAAACTCTCGCTATTGCTGAGAGATGTGCGCTTTTGTGATGCCTCGGACTGGCTATTGCATTGTAAAAGTCCGATGTCTCTCTTTCATTGCTCCACATTTTCATGACAAGTTCATCATCGTGAGAGAACAGTTCTCTCGCCACATTTTCAACTCATGTAAACCCCGTCCAATGCCCAGCCGTCTCTGGGCATCTTTTGCGGTCTCTGTTCCTGACCCTAAAGACCACTTTATTGGTAAACACTATGGTCGTCGATAAGTCTGTCGAATCTCTGGTATTTGCAATGAGTCGAGTTCAAAGGGGTTACATTGGCGCGATTTGAGTGCTTTTTTTCTGCTTTTTTCGGCTAGAGCGAATTGCTTTTTGCCAAATATTGGCCCGGTGATGAGGAGGCAGTGTCCGTCATAATGGAATTTCGACAGGGAGGAAGATAGAAGAGCTCTCAGATGGAACATATTTTCGGGCGTGCCAAATTTAGACTCGTCACAAGAGAGGCGAGAGTCTGAATGAAAAATCATAGAGTGAGGAAAAGTGTGAACACGTGGAAAATGAAATGATATTTCGTACATGTGCGTCCAAGCAGATGAATGTGCCGAACAAATTTCAATTAGCACTACTCCACTCGGTACATCAGAATCATCAGACCCCACACTCGTGTCGATATTGCGCATGAACAAGTGGAAGAATACTCTGTGTCACTTGCATCGGTAATAGTTTTACACTGCAATTAAATTGCTGCACATTCGCACTTAAGTATCAAGCTCGGTAATTTTCCTCTTCGTAACAAAGCCTCAAGTTAGAAAATTGAAATCACCCGTCTTATTCGTCGCTGCATTTCACATGTCGCGAAAGACGAAAAGCGTAATTTTTTTTGTTGTTGCTATTATGACGAAGAGAAAGAAATGTACACCGCGAATGATAAGAGTGAATAAATAAAATGTGTCACCCATAAACACGAGTCACATAATCTAGAAAATATTATGTTTGGTAAAACGCGACACGCCAATGCATTGCGAGTTTCACATATGTGCATAGGAATGACGTTGTATGCAAAAGGCGGAGACAAAGAAAAAATGCGATAATTAATCATCAAATTGCCGCTACTTAATAGCCCATGAACACACCGTATTATGCATCTTAAGTGCAGCGGCTTTTTTTCTCCATCCCATACTTAATTCAATCCACTTAAGCAGTCGCCAGAGCTCAAAGTTCAGCATGTCGATCATTGGTGATTGTTATGCAAGTTTGTCTTCAATATATAGAGAGTCACAATATTTTTTGCTGCGACCCACTCGGCGAAACCCGCTGAATTTAGTGTAGTTGAACTCAAATTACACGCCGACAGACTTGAGACTCGCGAGACTCGGTGGAGACACAACTACTTTCTCAACCTTGGGTGAATTAGCATCAATTTCATGCAATTGCTGGGTATTATGGCTGTGCAGTTGTGCAAATATTTATCGAATATTTGACGAATATTCTTATCGATGTCACGGAATCTCCGCAACGAACCGGAAAAAGGCGGTACCATCCCAGGAGTTTGAAGACAAACAAGCAATAAAAAGTCTCTCTTCACCCCTATCATTCGCCCACTTGAGTTGGTTGAACAAGTGTAGTAAACATCTTATTAGGAGAAAAGGAAAACTGATACAATCTCGCGCCTACCAGTGATAAGAGCCATATATGAATTATGTAAGTCACGTTGCCGTTCGTGCAAGACTTTTTTGCTAATGCGTCATTTGACGAGGCCTTATCGCGCTGAAAATTGTCCACCAAGCGGATAAATTATTGCAGGCACAACACCATACAGTCTAATCAAGCATTTTCTATTCGGTATCGCACATGTTTTCATTTCAATAATGTCCATCTAACAAGTATTTATGTTTCAGGCCTGCAAAAATGAGTCAGTTTGTCATATTTTTTTCTCCATTTATTTTGAAATCCAATATGGAAAACAAATGTTTTATTGCTCGAAAGAAATTGCTAAAAGCGGAGAGAGAAAAAATTCATTGTGAGAGAAATAAAAAATGGTTTCATTCGCACATTTTTAAATTTACAAATACTGTAGTAAAAACTGTGCAAACAATCGACAATCCAAATAAGCAAGAGAGCAAAATTACACTGAGATGAAAACAATGTCTATGTATAATGAATATGTTAAGTTGTTTGCAAAATACTCGACAAATCGAAGCAATCTTTATTTTTCTCAGAAACATTGCCAATGAACAGGCCAATAAGAGTGAAAATCTGGTTTTTCTGGGCACTTTTTTGGTCACGTCGCATTCAATAAATCTAATGCTTAAGTTCAATGAAACTTCTAAAGCCACTCATACGAAACTCATTGAATAGATTCAGACACTCGATGAAAACTTGCAGTATTTTTTAGGCAAAAACCTTAAGAGATTCGTCGAGACATTCATGTATCATAAAGACAAGTTGTCGGAATATCATTAAAAAGGCCATATGCTGAAGCAACTATTGAGCTGCCAATAAAACAACACACGGCGCGTATTCAAGAGCCGAAGTAGAGCTCAACATTTTTATACAGAAGGTCAAAAGTGACGAACAACCGGCCGGAAAATTCGCTTTCTTTTTAACATTTCGAGATGTCTCATTTACTGCACACCCCCTTCAAGTTCTGACCCGATCTCTGCTGACCTTGGCTAAATAGGTTAATTGCACTCTGTCACACAGCCCAATGCCTTAGGACGGCGCTTCCTCAATGTAACAGTAATGATTTCGAGCCACTCTCGCGATGTCTCCAGTGATCGTCACTCGTATCGGCAGTGTACATAAAAACACTTTATTGCCAGTGTGGTGTCTTCGAAGGTGACCTTGGAGGCATTAAAACTTAAGAATGTCTCAAATGCCTTCACGCATGCGACCAAATTTCGCCCCGAATAGCTCAAGTGCAGAAAAAGAGTGCTTAAATGTCTCTAGCACGTTTCCAAAAACGAGAGTGATACGGAGGCACTCGAGAGCCATTTCACCCTATGGCCTTATCAGTACACTTTGTCTGGTGGAGTTTCAAAATCTCTCTCTCCCATTGATATTTGCCTGGTGGAAACTTACGAGCGCGCACACTTGATAATCTGTCGTGTCTGTTTCTCTGAAGACCTTCACCGAATCACGAACGCAAGTGTGTCTGAATTAAAAGCGTTTAGGGCATATATTGAGCGGAAAATGCTGTTATTGTGCAAGGAAAATTGCGGGAAAGGCGTGAATCATTCATTCAAATCACCTCTCTCAATTGCATGTGAGAGAATTTCATAGGAAATGTCAAAGTAAAATATCAAGTATGTCGAACACTTCGCCATTTCTTGAGAAAAATTTTCTATTTTGCCCCGCATAACTCTGTCAAGTCGACGTTAAAGCAGTATTGCGGTGAAAACAACAACTCAAGATTGGCTGTACTTTTATTAAGCACTGATTCACATGTTTTTCTAAATCATTTTGGGACATCAAAATTACCAAAAAGCCACCAAATTAATTCATTGAAATTCTATACTTGTTGAAAATTTCTCAGTTACAATCGATGTTTGTATATTAGCGCTGTAAAGCGATACATTAAATCTAATGAGTAGGAATCGAATTTATTTTGTAATTCTTCCCAGCATTGGTCTTTTTAATTAGTAATTTCCTCAAAATCATACTGCCAATGTAGAATGAATAATTCGCAATTGATGAAATCTTGCGTGGAAACCAACGTCGAAGTTGAATTTAATGAAACATTCTTAAAAAACATGTACTTCCGCAACAAGCGAGCACCCTTCTGGGGAAGGTGAGTCGCTATTGCCGCCATGATACTGTCTTCGCGCATATGACGCTCTTGCAAATAGCGTTCGTCAGTCATGCTCACTCTCAAACTTGGACTGAACAGCGTAGGACATTTATATTATGTATCTAATCAAAATCATTCATCTACATGGGAGATTTTTTGTGTACGCACAAATTGAGACGCGCTCACATTGAAAGAATTTTCGGTGGAGGAAGAAAAAAGAGAGACACGCAGATGTGTTATTTTTATATAAAAAGCCGTGTCGCGTGAATGTGCGAGCCTGTGAGAAAGTAATAAGACAAGGTTCCCTGTGGTTCGCGCTTAATTGCCGTTTAAAATTGCTATATGGCTTTTTGCATGATCTTAATTAGCCTTTATGAAGAATGTCATATTCACCTTTACGCCTGCCATATGGACCAAGAAATGCAGCTCCTTTGCCAATGACGTTGTCATCTATATACCGCGCGATCTTATTTATTTCTTCGACTCTCTTGTTTGAAGCTGAATGCCTTGACCTTGACGATAGTGTTCCAGATCCCAAATGCGAAGTGGAGATTGGTATTGGAAAATCATCATTCAGCGAGAGGCTTTTCATTCGACTAGTTTTCTTAAGACTCATAGCTAAACCGCTAGCCAACTATCATACGCACGACGCAATGTGTAAACACTCGCGAGGAAAAGTCTGTCCGCTTCTTCGTCTTTTTTTCTCTCAGTCCAAAGAAAATTATATATCACACCACTTGTAAAGTTTACGTAAAGTTTCTCGTCCAACAACACCACAATCACCAATTAATTACTGCTTTGTCACAGACGAATTGGAAAAAAGAAACGTGAAAAACACGAAAAGCTTATTCACAGAATTGTTGCTCTTTTTGTGGAAATTTTCAAGCACCACGCAAAACGCAGATAAGTGATATTTATTTATTGAACTGCAAAGCACGACTAGTCTGGCTCTCTAGAAGAACAGCTGATTGTGTAAATTCTCGAAGAAAGAAAAGAGTGGGAAAAATGAGTGGGACCGACTCAGGTTGCGCCGCTATCTTCACAAGCAAGTGGGAGGGAGATGCCCAACTGTATCTAGTAGATGAAATCGCTCATGGTTGAGCGAAATAAGTAGAGTCTCTGTGACAAAAACGGCAGAAAGAGAAGAAAATATAGCACTCACGGAGAGAGGAAATGTCGTGCCGTTTTGTGGTTACGATCAAACAGAGAATTTCCCAGCAATAAAAGCTTTATTGGACTTCGAGATGCTTATTTTGCCCTATTTATCTCCTTATTAGTGCGAAAGCGAAAAGGAATGCGCTCTTATCACATCGAATGGTCGTAATATCCATAAGAAAATTGCTCCACGATAAGATTTATGAAGAGCGAAACCACATTCAACTAGCATGCTTTATCTCACTTTCCATCCAATACTCATGAAAGCTCACTGAATAGTCATCTCTGTCGCACAATTATGCAAAAATACTAAGAGGGACGAACTGGGTGGAAAATTACCTGTGGAATTTTTTTCCACTCAGACTTTCTTCGCGTTAAACCACGATCAGATTTCATACGAAAACTTGCGTGCTCAACCCTCAGTTTTGGGAGGCCATGGCTTTCCTTATGCATCAGACGTAAAGCGAACGTGCGATTTTTGGATGACGATTTTTTGTGTTTTGAGGAAGTGTTAAAATGTCTCACCTTCCGAGGTAATTTACTGACTTCACCAAATACACCGTTTACATAAAATAGCCGTAATAAAGATATTGAATATTTGTCAGAAAAGACCGATGAACTCAAAAAAACCCAGTGAATGTCCAGTGTTTATTTGCATTCACTGCAACCTTTAATTTCCAATTGAGCAATTTGTCTGGGGAATTTTGCATTTAAAGTCATCATTATTAAAGTCTGTAGAAGAACAGAGAAGAAACTGTTGGATTGTAAAGAAAGCATGGCTCACGAGTTCAGCCTAACTTACTACTTACTCTGATGCTATGGAAAATTCCCAAAATGCAGTGTAATGAGTGCAAATGCAGAAGTTCTTTTCAGGTAAAATATTTGGACACTCTGAGGATACAAAGTAGCACATTATGAAAATACTCAGCAGACTTAGTGACTTGCATAAACTATTTATGCAAGACCAATTAGTACAAATGCTAAGAATAGCTCGCTTAAACATCCCCACATTAAACGCCCCCAAACAAATGACAAATAACCTGAAAATCCGTGATAATCCCTTGTTTTTTCCCCATTTCACGAATGAAAAATCCACTGTCACAGCAAATTACACCATATATCGTTTCCAATTTAATCTGTATTCCTGTCTCGTGTGATTAAGATTTCACACGAGAGGAATACAAATAGTGCGGAATAAAGGGCAGTTTCTGCCTATAAAAGGCGATTCCTTTGCTCCTGAATCGCTGAGTATTGACTTTGATATCGCAAAGTGAGGGTGAGAATATCAACAGTCCTGCCCATCATGAATAAGTTACACTGCTTTGTGCTGCTGTGCGTGCCAATTTGCTTAAATCAAGTGTCACCCATTGCGTGTGCATACAATCCGGATGTTTTAGCCTCCCTGGAGAGCGTTAGGAAAATGTATCCGTCGCTCAACTTGAAGACCCTGTTGAATCTCCTCGAGTCTAGCGGTGAACTCTTGATAAAGAAGGAAGACCTGCTGGACGACAGGAGAGCTAAGCGATACACTGGCGTGATGCCCGAAGTGCTCGTGACCAATGGAATGCGGGAGGACCATGAGGGACTCAAGGATGTAGACGGTATAAGAAAGTTCGCTTTAGACGCTGTCCAAGAAACTCCTTGGCTCATATTTCTCCTCACAGGTATGCATAAGATGTTCTTGGCCTCATAAAGACATTTTCAGTGCAACTCCCAAATTTCCGTGCAGAAAAATCCAATAAGTACATGACACCGCGACTGGGACGAGATGCTTCCGGGGACAATGGGGCGGATTCCCAAAGGACAAGACCACCTTTTGCACCCAGACTCGGCAAGAAATCCCTTCCCTTCTCACCCAGGCTGGGAAGGCAGATGATGTCAAGTTTCAGCGATCAGTAACCACACGGATCAACATCACAGATGATCATTCTTACCACAAAATGATGTACCATGTAAAATTAAGTGTTTGAAGCAAAACAAAGAGCAAGTTTTGAAATAAATGAAATATTTCAAAGACAGTTTACACGATATGAATTTCATGAGCCTCCAAGTCAACGCGCATCCTAGCAACAAAGCACTATCAACAATATATAATCGATTCAACACAGCCAGCAAGAGTGATTTTCTCAAGTACTTCTTTTCCACAAATTCTCATAAAGTCATCAAAGGATGGAGGATCTCAAGGAACTCGTAAACAAGGTGAATTCCCTCTTGGGCACCAACTACAACATGATTTCCTTCGACTCCCTGTCGGCGGAAGGATTGATTCAAGTGCTGGTGGACGTCTTGTCTCAGCTTCAGTGTTGTGAGCATATTGAGGTACGTGGAAACGATTTCGAAGAGGTGAATAAGAAAATCATTGAGTGCTTGAAGCGCATTCAATATCGGCCTAGAGAGGAATTCAACAATAATCCTGAGATTTTCCGTCGAGGCTTGGCCAATGGAGAAAAGAAAGTAATCTATCCTATAATTTCCTGGATCTCGACGAACAAGGAGACAGTGAAAGAGGTCGCGTATTTGTCCAAGTATCTCATGCCACTAAATTTGCCCATTGAAGCTCGTGCCATCCCGGAAATCTCACGGCTTTGGGATCAATATCAAACGGTGATGGAGGACTTTGTGGGCATTCACAAGGCTTACAGTGTGGCTCAGGGTGAGGGAAACCGAGCCAAGGAACTAAAGAATGACATTGGCGCAATTGAGACGGAGATTGAGAATGTGAAGAAGCGTTTGGAAAGAACGCAACTCAGACTCGATAAGATCCCACAGCAGGAGTTGTTCCTGGAAGCGGGACGAGCTCTGAGAATTGAGAAGGATCGCAATAAGGAGCTGGAAGCACAGTTGGAGGAGCAAAAGAAGACCATTGAGAGGAATAATTTACTCCACTCGAGACTCCAGAAGGAATTGTCCACGGCTCAGATGGCAACAGCAAGCACAGGACCTAAGAATCTCCTCGACACTCTCGTGGATGAGACGCAAGTGCTGGATTTCATGCTCAAGCAGAAACTGCCAGTAGAATTTAAGGAGAAGCAAGATGAGATCCTGCTAATGCAGCGTGTTTTGGATGAGCCTAAGATAAGTGAGGATTACATCACAGACCTGAACAGAAAGATTGAGGATGTAAATCAGGAGGTTCAGGGCTTAGTGGAGGCCAGGATGCACGAACATAGTGCGCACAATGACACTCTGGGGCCCTTCAAGCAACAAGCTGCCATGGTAAGACGCAACAAGGAAGTCACTCTTGAGCAGCTGGACAAGATGACCAAGGAACTGAGAGAAGTGAATACCACACTCGAGGTGAAACAAAAGGAACTTCAGGACACAGTTGGCGAGGTGATTCTGCGTGGAGACGAGCTCAAGAACTATGTCAATACTCTTCGTGCAAAAAGTTCGGTGTACAAACAGCATCGGGCAGAGCTGGCTTCTCTACAATCCGAGGAGATGGACTTGCAGAAAACTCTGGACAACCTCAAGTCCCAAGACCCCTCACTTCAAGCAACCCTCAGTGAAACGGGCTCAACCGAGGAAGATATTCTCAGACCCAATTCACCCCAGGAAACCCACGGAGTTGCTGAGCTCTCGAGACTCGTGGAAGGACTCTCAAGAGCCACAATGGCTTCGAGGGAAAGATTGGTGCCACTGTCGCATAACGTTCGACCACTGAGGGAGAAGATCCTGGAATTGAAGGACATTCACGAGTCTAAGAAGCAAGTGAGTAACTCTTTTCAATACGATCATAATTGACATTGAAATTCTTCCTGGATTTTCAGGCCTATGATGCGCTCAGCGCTACTCTGAAGGCAGAATCTGCCTCAATGCAGAAGGACGTTAACGAGACAGAAACACTCATTGGAAACTACGAGGAGGAGTGGCGAGAGCTGCAGCTGGAACAAGAGAGGATCAGTCAACTGCTGAAGAGTATCGGGGAAGAGGGCGGAGATGAGAAAACTAGATCATCAGTGGCTGAATCTCTGACTCATCAAATAAAGGACGAGGAGCGCTCCATTGCGAGTCTGAATGAAGAGAACCAGCGCCTTCTTTCGCTCAGGGATAAGCGAGAGAAACAGATGGAGCTCTGGGGAGACCTAAACAAGTTGCTCCAGGTGAAAATCCAATGCCAGCGAGAGAAGCAGAACCAGGGAATCGGAGGGATTCTGCACGTTGATCGCGGAGCTGAGACATTCACACTGCAGTAATTGAATTCATTGCAATGAATAGAATATGAATAGTGAATGTATTTACCGAATTTATCATTTCATCTCTGCGTCCCGCGATGGAGGCTCTTTGATCCCCAGATTAGGATATAGCTTGGCAATTTGTCCGGGAGCAGTGCACAATCTGCCCCCAAAATCAAGTCTCTTCTGTACAGCATTCTTCTCAGACGCAGTGATGATGTCCAAAAGAGATCTGTTTTCGCCACTTGAGAACTTCTTCCCAATCGCTGACATGTCCACAGCAGATGGTGGTGACATTGGAGAGTCTGTTGTAGCTCTGATTACGTTGGCCTTGTGTGTGGCTTCCGAGACCTCAAATTCCCGGTGAGCTACGTCGAATGTGAATTTCTCCGCTGAATCCGATCCGCGAGAGCGGCACTCGCGTATGCAGGCCAGCACGGTTTTGTGTCCCACTGAATTTCCCGATGTGGCCACCAAAATTTCCAGTTCCGACCAGAACAGGCGGTACTGATCTTCCTTCTTGCTCCCCTTGAGTCTGTGTCCCATGCTTGGCAACGGAAGATGCTCATGGCGAGCCTCCAGACTGACCAGATTGTAGACCACCTGCTGACACTGAATGATGTCTTCATCTGTGAGCTCAGGCTTGTTGATGAGGCTGAGCAGAGGGTCGACAAACTGCCGAACACTGTACAAGATGGTCGATCCGAGAGTGATTGGCCAGTACTTGGTGCTTCTGTACAGTTTGCGGCGCAACTTTGAGAGATTCTCATCTCTCGGACGCTCAGTAATCGGCCTCAGAGGGATCAGCTTGAAGCGCTGCATGAGACTGCCAAAATCTGGGATTCTGTAGTCAGTTATCCTGCCACCAACGCCCTCAGATATCGAAGGGGGATCCTCCAAACTACTCCGCGAGATACTCAGGGAGTGAATGAAGATTTCCCCTCCGTGGGCAGACAGCAAGTGACTCGTCAGCTTTCCGCCGGACTTCCGTGGCATTTCCAGCAGCACAGAGCGTCCGTTCAGGAGAAAGTTGATGAGGCAGGAGCTGGGCCGAGACGTCACGTCCACCGGAGTGACTCTGTACTGAGCGAGGCATGGCTGCATCTCCGACGATCCACAACCCCGAGGAGTACACCATTTGAGAGTGACAGTTTCGTAGTTTGCACCCTCTTTCGTGCTCTTGGGCAACACCAGCTCATTGCCCAAGATCACTGAGTGGGCGATGCTGCTGTGAAAAATCTCCACGTCATAGTTGGCACTGGAGCTGGCGTTCTGTTCCTCCTTCATCGGAATTCCCGTCACGGTGGTGCTGGCCAAGTCGTAGTGCAGCAAGATGAGGTGTGTCAGGAGATTTGAGATGTCTGAGGCTCTGACTGAGTGTATTTCGGACTTGAGGATGGGCGAAATGTCCCTCAGAGGTCTGTTGGAAACAAGGAGTTCTGCGTTGGACGGGCAGATGTTCACGATGACCAAATGCACGTTGGAGATGACGAAGGAGTCCTCGTGGTTGGTCGACATCGAGTTTTGCTGAATGAGGACGGTGTGTACGATATCCTCCAGACTCTTCATGCTGGCGTCATCCCTCGCGGACGTGATGCAGATGATTCGGCCGCGATTCACGAGCTTCTTGGCGTCTCCCGCGTGGATGGTAGCTATGCACTCTCGCTGGTACTCTGTCGGCTCCGCCAGCGCTTCGATTGCCGCCCTGAGGCCATGAATCACCGAGTACTCAGTCACCTGGCCGGCCGATCGGGGCGGAGTGCCGATCATAGACATGGCATTGAGCACGTGAACTGTGTTCTGAGTTGAGGCATTCCAGGTGTTCACGATATGGGCAGCGCTATCGCTCACGATGAATCTCACGAACTTCCCCAGGGGAAACAGGTCCCACACAATCCTGCAGTACTCAACTGTGGCCTCCACGGAACACGTCCAGAGGCTCTTGCTTATGATGGGCAGCGGCGACGGCGGAAGCAGGATGGCTTTTGAGCCCAAGAAGTCCAGATTCACGCTCGACTGGCTGGAGATGCCAAAGTACGGCGTGTGGTCCAGGACGAAAACACTTTTGTGATTGAAATCGTTCATATTTCACTAGGACAGTCGGAAAAACCCCCAGAAAAGGCTACTTTGAGTGCGGCAACCGAGACACGAGACCAAAACAATCGTGACAGTTCCGCTGACAACAATATTCAGCGCGCTGAATTCGATGCGTCTTCAGAGGCACAAGCGCAGCCAATTGAAGTGAAATATGAAACACTGAGAATTACTTTGTTTAAAATTCTGAATTTTATTGAAGTTTTAATAGCAATATTTATATATTCATATATGTATGAAATTAATACAATTGACATTATTACATTTTACACTCTGAAACGTAAATCACAAAGATTTGCCTTCACAAAATGTAACACAGAAAAGAAAATTTGGAGGAAGTTTACAATATAAAAAAGTGGAGAAAATATTCATAAAAATTTTACACTTATTTTTTTGGATTATGTTAAGAGTCACAATGAGTTAGTAAATGGAGAAAAATACCAAACACGCACATAGCATTGATATAATGAAACTTTCGACAGAGATTATAAAATTAAAGAACCGCGTAGAGTACAATTTTTTTTTGAATTTCTGAATGGATTTTTCTTTTACTATTTGAATTCCTTTCATATAATATTTCATACATATATTATTAGTATTTTTTAGAATACACAATGTATTTTTCTTCATTTCTAAAATAATGACTTTTTTGTTTTACTTCAAAAGTTCTTTTTTAGTTTTGTATTAAATTGTATTTAATAAATTCCTTAATCTAATAAATATAATAAAATTAATGTGTGTATGTTGTTATTATATTCTAATTTTTGCTAACTTGCCATAACTTTTTGTTACACAAAGATATTTACTATTAAATTCAGTATAGGGGTAAGTGGGCAGTCAGATTCAAAATGCTGTTCCAACTTAGGATTTTTTCTTGAAAAATCGGCTGAATATATGAAATGATCCCAACGATAAAATAAAACTATCGTCATTGGAGCTTCAGAAAAATGCTTTAATTGGGCATTAAAAACTGACTGGTTTTTCCTCTAAAAGGAGAATAAAAATAATATTGTAATAATTAATCTGAAAACTGCCCCGCACGGGGAGTTTCGGATGCTCTGGGCAGCTCAGATTTTCACTGGAATTTACCTTAAATTCCATTGTGGAATTGTAGAATCGCGGAACAAATGATCACTGGGATATTATTCTACGCACTGAAAACTGTTTTCAATTCCCTAAGAATCCCTTAAAGTAATATTTTCGCGACTTTTCTGGACCCGGCACGCACTGTCAAAAATGTCTGAGGCGAAAGCATTGCCCGTCATTGTTCCTGGGCGCAACGCCACCATGCGTGAGTGGTGGCAACTTCAGTGACACCACAAATCAAATCAGCAAACTCAGTGATTTTCGCGTGCATTTCTCACTTGTCCACTAAGAAGTCGTTAACGTGATGAAGCACAGCACAGAACGGCACTTGGTGAAAAATCTTCAATATTTGCCACAAGAAAAATTCGACCGTGATGTTGCGTCTCCGTGATGTTGCGTCAGACTGTCATAGCGCGCTGTTGTCAGTCCGTGGCGGATCCGAAACCTGCCCCAGTGGTGCAGTGTTTGTGCATTTTCCACCACCCCACTGAAAAGTCCGTGACCAGGAGGAAAAGTTCGGGCATATTAGAATCTTACTTAATTCTCAATAACCTTGATGTGTTTCACGCGAATTGTGGCTTTTTTAATGGAGAAACCACGCAATCAATTCGGCAGCAAAATTCTAGTTTGTGAGTGATTTTTCAATTTTCACTTATTTTATCTAAACAGTCAAGACAAATCCTGTGCAAATTTTTCGTCAATTGTAGTCCTTAAAAATATAATAAAATTAATGTGTGTATGTTGTTATTATATTCTAATTTTTGCTAACTTGCCATAACTTTTTGTTACACAAAGATATTTACTATTAAATTCAGTATAATACATCTAAAAGTCGTGAAAATCGCATAAAAATTATCCATCTTATATATTTAAGAACATTTACTAATAAAAATCTTTTATAATTTTATTACCTTTTCTCTTTCTCTCTCTTTCTCTGTCTCTTCATATCTCAAAATATGTTTTCGAGTATTTTTTTTTCTCCATTACACAATATAGTTCTTCATTAATTTATAATCTTTTAGCAAATATAATTTTATTATTTTGTCCTTTCATCATCAGGAAAATGAAAAATATACACTCTTTTTCAAAAGTTTCAAGTAAATCATCAACGAAAAACTGTTGTAGAATATCACAAAAAAAAACGAAATTAGTGGAAAATTACAATTCTATTTCGGACGCAAGGTAATTGATAGTTTTTCCTCATGTTTTTTTTTCAATTTCAAAATTTCTTCTTATTGTGTTTACCAAATATCACATTGCCTTTGTGAACTCTCAAAAATTTCTTACAAAAAAATTATGCATAATTTGAAATGAGAAATGAGTCAGAAGAAAAAAATGTGTATACAAAGATTTATTATTGCCCTTTTTATTCTAAATGCCTTCTTTTATATTCTATTATAATATGTTTAGTTGTTCGTTGAAATTAATAACAGTATGTTTTCTCCTCTTTAGCTTATTCGATCTGCTGCATTGTTTGCTTGGGCAGACTGTACTCGGCCACAGAATTTAATCAAGACTATGAGCTTGAGATGTTCTTCTTGCATTTTCCCGAAAGAGAACTCAATTCATACGCAAACCAAGAGTGTTCTGTACTCATACAGGGTGTTTCACTTGCAAAACTCAAATATTTCCAAATTGTAAATAGAAATAAGGTAGACAGTTACCATGTTGCTTGTCATTTCCAAAATTGGACATTCTCGAGATTTTTCTTTTACTCCTCTACAAATTGTATCTAATATTGGCTTAAAAGTCATGAATAAAAATTCCTGTTCTTTGATAAAAATGCATCATAGCACTTAAATTGCAGTTCAATATCTAAACAGTTGCTTTAAAAAGTGTACCATTTAAGACGAAATTGGTGATTTTAATCTTATTTGCCTGCTTACTTTTTCGTAATCTCTCTCAACTCACCTTTCTAAACTTAATTCTATCTCATTACTCGCTTTCTACTTCGATATCCTTCGACTAGTTTATTCATTTAGAAATTTTAATGTAGATATACATACAAATTTTAGGACAAACAGAGGGAAAACTGAAATAGTAAAAATGTCCCCTTTGCTCACAATGTCATCATGTTCCGAACGATTCTCTCGCGGTGTGAATCGACATATCGTTCAAATTGATCCTAATCATGTTTCTACGCCTATTTTTATTTACCCCTACGGAAATACCACTAATTTGTAATGGATTGGTTAGAAGGTAAACTATATAAATTCTCAACTATATTCCTTATCGAAATTGAGCAATTACAGAACATTTCGATGTTACTCCCAACTACACTTTGCAATGTTTATCGAGAATGCTTCTGAAGATATGATTGAGTTATATTTTATTTTTACATATTCTTACAAAAAATAATAACGACACAGATAATAAAAATATTCGGCGTTTGATTGGGAAGGCAATGGAATTTATGTAAAACTTCTTTATCAAAATCCGCAAATTGTTACAAAAATACCCCGTTTTACGAATTCTGCAATTTTGGCAATGAAAAAGACTTTTGCATTTTTACAGTATCTAAAACATCAAAATTCTTCGGATCCAATTGAGGTGAATTAAATGGAAATGATGTAAAATTACTATATTTATTGTCTTCTAATTTTAGGGGGTATATTTTCGTTAATTTTTTTTTCTTCAATTCTTTGTTCGCAAAATTGCAGTCGGGTTCGAATTTCAATGTGTTTTCGTCTCAAAAATTGGTGCATTTTTTCATTTTTTTTTCTTTCTCCAATATATGCATTTAAAAAAGACACACAAAAAAACCCAAGATTGATAACTTGTATCTAAATTGTCCTCTATAAAATCAACATTCACGTCTTCTACGGTGATAAAATACTGTAAGAAATTTTATTTTTGCATTTTCATTCCTTTTCCTCTAATTTCTTTTTACACCCTGTACTTAAATTAGCTGAAAGGAGATTAAAATATTGCGGAGTTTTATAAAAATTTGTCTCAAATTTCTTTTCTCAATGCCCCTCGCTAATGTATGGTGTTATTTTGTATTTCACATACACACAATGTATCTTTTTAAATTCAATATTGTATGAAAAATATTATGGAAATCTCCATCAGCATCAAAAATATTGTAATTTGTTATTATATATTTTTAGATGATTTCTTTTGGTAAATAGGTATTACTGCTGGTATTTTCTAAACTTTTTTTTTAGTATAATGTATAGCAATTATTCTAATATTCTTGTTAGATATTAAGATTTTTATTTAATCATCATCTTTCCATTAAAGTGTTCTCAAGTATGATTAATAACATTATTATCTAATAGATTATGAAGATCTATCATTTTTAAATTACCTCTATTCACTATATTTGTTCTAGTAGGTTTTACGTTAAACTCATATTCGGATTACAAGGAGAACGCAAGAATAAAGGAACGTAAAAAAAGAAATCTAATTGGAAAGAATTTGTTTAACTTTCTTGTGAACATTAGGGTTAGATTTTCTTATGTTCTTTGTGGATGATAAGTTTAGAAAGTTACAGTTAGAGGCGTTTTCAAAAACTGTATCATATCTTAGAAAAAAAATTAAAGGTTGATATTAAACTTTCTTTCAAATTTCGCGTTTAATATTATTCCAAGTATTATTCATTTTTTTAAAGAGAAATGTTACGCTTTTTTGTGGGAGATAGATTGATCAATTACTACTGAAAATATCACAATAAGCATCATCACGAATTTGTGAAATTTTAAAATACTTTCTTAGTCCCTTTCTATTCCAATTAGATCCTTTAGAAAGTAGATGTTTTCTCAAAAAAGCACAAATAAACAAAAAACTAATAATATTATTTTAGAAGCAAAGTTATTAATAAAATCTGTCCGTTATAAAACATGTAATTGCAAAAAAGGTTATTCTACGCAAAATTTTACAATTTTTTTTTTGAATATATAATAATTTGAATCTGTAATTAAACTGTGACTCAGATATAAAAGTATCAAACCAGCCTACAATATTATATTTAAAAAACGTTAATATCATTTATGTCAATGCTCCGCTATTGAAAAATCCTCAAAATCAGAATCTATAAACTTTGTACTTAGCAAAAAATTAACTATAGTTATTTGTCATTAGTATTATAAATTTCATTTATATGAAACCCATTTTAATTTCTTTTACTTTTACGTCATTTTTTTTTATAAAATCCCCAATTTGAATTTTTTTTATATAATTGATTTACAATGAGCGTGACTTTTCTCATTTCTGAAACGTAGCATTCCAATTTATGACAAACAATCTTATTCCATATCTGACCATGTCAGTTTTCTCCTCTCAATATTTTATGAGTTGATTATTATAAAAAAAAATTTACAAGATATCCTAACAAGTCGAGAAAAAACATCAGCAAATCTCTAGTCTCAATCACACATAAATAGAGTGAACTTTTAAGAAAACGGTGAGACTAAGGGTGAGACCAAGCTTAAAAACCAATTACCCGAATACTGAAAAAAACAAGCGTCTTTTCAAAACACATACTTCAAAACGTCTCTTTATTCAAATATAATTCTTATAAAATGTATTCTACAGAAACTTAAATTATTACAAAATAATTCATAAAAATAACATAACAAATTGCTCAATAAAATATTCAAAATTGCAATAATAACAAAAGTTAATTTATCAAAAAAAAAGGACAAAAAATCGTGAAACTTGTAACACAATACCACCATATAAATAAAAAAAAAATTACTTTCAAAAAACATTGGGTAAATGTTTCGGGTATTTTCTGCTTACTTCTCTCAATCTAATAAATTATATCAATCGATTATTTTGTATTTTATATAGATGATTAATTTCTTGTGAAAAATGGCACCAAATAATTTTTTTCTTCATTTTTTTGTGTTTCTTTAAAAAAAATATACTGAAATCATCAACAATTGATTTTTTATATAAATATGCAAAAAAATAGAAAATAAAACAAGGACGCAATCCTTATTATAAATTACAAATCAGTAGATACATATTTGCCACAGAAAATTATGGTGATTGAAAACAGATTCTATAACTCCATTTAAATTATACAATATCTTCCACTGATACTGCACTTTATCATCTTTCTATAGGCGGATTCCTTGCCATAGATTTGAATCAAATAATGGACAAGTCCAGAAAAGTGTTTTCCTGAACTCTTTAGTTGAATCAACTCTAAAAACTAACTAATAAACCTATTTAAATAGGAACAGGGTCTTTGAACAGGAGAAAAATTTAATTTTTCCACCATGCTCAACTACATTAACAGCTGATCAATCAACTAAGAACTATACTCAAATGTGTACTATCTCAAATCTATGGCAGGACCGAAAAGAAAATGTGCTCTAAATCAGTGAAAAAGTATTTTGTTTTAGTGATTCAAGAGATAAATTCTTGATTTATCTCTTTCAGTGTTGACCCTGAATTTAATGAAAGAAAAATCTTTAGTAATGGATACAGAAAAAAAGAAAAAGCTTGCAAATTTTTCACATATCACTAACTTCTAATGTGTACAAAAACATTAAGTTTTAATCCTCTATGGATAATTAAAAAATATATAGTGACGCTTTAGTTTATATAACTTTGGTTTCCTTATTTCGTGTTTCATAGGATTTTTACTGAAATTGTCTCTATATCATTCCACTCTGTTTTCATTATCTTTCTTTTGAATAAATCTTAGTACAAAAATTACACATTATTGCTTTTCACCTTTGCTTTGATTTTGTCTTTTTCTTCTCTATATATTTTTGTATGCGTGTGATTCTTTTCTTCTTTTTGGTGAAAGAAATCAAACACTGTGTTCTTCATGGGTTCTCTACAAAAATTCTCTTCGCACTTCTCATATTCATCATTTTAAAATATATAGTCTCTAAATGTGTAGAATTCATTGAAAATATATCTAGAAGCATATGAGAAATAAAAAAAAAAAACATAAACTCAAAATTTTGGGATGTCACAAAGATCTTTCTCTTTTCATAAAGAACAATTTCTTGGATAAGTGTATTTGTGTGTTTGTGAAAAGCTGTAGGCCTTTGAAAAGTCGTTATTTAGAAATTTTGTTTACCCTTCGATATATCTCTATGAATACGACTACCCGCTTGTATTATACTTCTCAATCATCTTATTTAGTATTATCATTTAAAACTTGATTATTATTATAGAGAATAATGCAGAGTGCAAAAATTTCCATAGATTATTTCACGCATGATCTCCTCCATTTTGCTATCTTCAAAATCAATCTATGGTAATTGGGGTCTCTTTCAAATGTCATCAATTATGATCATAATATCGAGACAGTGTCCAATAAAATACCTGAAATTACTTTTAAACTGCATGTTCACTTTTTTTTTTAAATTTTACTCCACTTCTGCTTATCATCACGTTTCTTCTATATATTTTGTTAGGTAACAACTGTAATATAAAAGTTTGTCAGCTAAAATATATGTATGTGTAATATTTGCATTATTTATTTTAAGTTATTGTTGGTATAAGTTACATAACAATAAAAATATTTGTAATTGGTAAATATATGAGACAAGACAAAATTATATTATTTCAAATTGTGTATGTCTTAAATTATCACACCAATTTAGACTATTTTTTCTTACTCTTCTTCACATTTCACGCTCAACACTCAGAAAAGGTTCTTCTTGGTAGTTGCGCGCATTTTGTTACATTTGTAATGATGTTTTTAACACCTCGTTTGACTTTTTGGTATCCATTCCGCTCTCTTCCTCCTCATTCCATCTCCACTTCTCACATCGTACTTCAACCAAAAACATACTGATTAGGTATTTACATAAAAATGGCATCTCCATTGCATTTATTTTCATTTGAAGTTTAAATATCTGATATGTTCATTTTTTTAATAATAATTATTTACGCCTTATATATTCTCAAAATAAAAATTTCAATACAAAAATTTCTTTGTGTAAAGTCTCGCATACGAAATATTCGTGTTTCACGTATTCTTTTCCTTTTTGTATATCATGATTTTGTCTAAGCTGAACAAATATGATCTTCAAAGTAATATATCTTGTTATATTTTTTCTTTTATTTTTATATCCTCTTCATTCCTGAAATAAGGCCTAAATTTATCTCTCAAATATTTCTTCAACTTCAAATTCCGCTTTTTCACGCCAAATCGTCTTAGTTCAACCCCACAGTTGTGTTCTTTTGTAAGTACATAAATTATATTTGTAAAATTATATTTAAAAAAAAACAGAAAACAAAAATAAACAAAAAATAGATACAGCTCCATTTACTTAAATTACTTATGTGTTTTTTTTGTTGAAAATACCATTTCGAAGATTTTCTTTTACAGAATTTCTTAATATTAAAAATTTATCTAATGCTTGAATATGACTATTTTGTTTGTTTTTGATGTCTGAAAATTCGAAATAATATTTTCATTCACCACCCGCCTCTGTCTTTCTCTCGAACAGTAAACTTTTCCGAGTAAACTCAATTAATAGTTCTCCTCTTCTGAAATATCATTAACGATATAGATATACATTTTATAATATACGCCATTAATTTTAATTATTAGTTCATTATTACTAGGTTTCTGAAAAATTTCACTATATCATGTTCTCCTATAATTTTTATCTACTTTTCTATGCCGTGCCTAATTTTTTTTAATCCTGATGTCCTCAGGACGCCTCATTTACCAGTGTGTATTTTTTGTGTGTACAAAACTTATCCTTTTCCTTTTCACAACAAGATAAAAATTATACGAGCGCATAGAATCAAAAAAAGAAATTATTTGGTTATCTTTCTTTCCTCCTTTTTTCTCTCAGAAAAGGCTTTAACATCAAAATACTTGGTAATTTATGAATAAGTTCTAAATTTTTCTTACTTGTTTTGGTATTTTTTCTTTCATTTTCATTTGCAATGCAATTATTTGATTAATATTTTTCTCTTCTTCGTTATCTCATGGTTAAACATTATTGCAACGATGTGAATAAGAATTATGAAAATATAGGACGATTCCTAAAATGTTCTCCACTTGTCAAACACTTTACTAACTTTTCACTGTTTTTCGGCTAGAAGAAGTTAATATGGAATTACTTTTTTTTATATCTGTTATAAGATGTAATGTTACTTCCCTTATTTCACGTGTTACGAAAATTTTTCTAAGTTTTATAAACATGATGCAATCTTATTGACAAGATCCTCTTTCATGAATAATAAAAATACTTAAAATTTACACAACAAAATGTTTCTAAAAAGTTGTTTTTTTTTTCTTCCATTTAGAGAAAGGAAAAATATATTTCTTTTACTTTCTTTCATTTGTCACCTTCTCTGCATAACGAATTACTTTAGTTCTTTTTACTTCATCATTTATAAACACTCCTCTTTTCTCATTTTTGTTTTCGAAAATGTGGTTTCACCGTTGGTACGTAATAAAAATAATTATATATTATATACATCATAAAAATATATAAAAGTATAAACGATATTTGATTACTATTTTATATTGTATATTCAAATACACATTTTCAGTACATTTATAAAAATAATATTAGAATTTTCAAAGTTTTTTCTCTCATGGGTTTAGCGAATTTCTATTTTATGAACATCTAAAATTTTCTATTTCGCTTTCTCTCATTCTTTTTTTTATAAAATATCATTTGATTATTTTTTTTTAAATTTGACTAATACAGATTTTCACGTGTTTTACGGGATATATTTTTTTCACTGCATTTATAGTTGAATACAAAAATGAAAAGGATATAAATAATTTGATAAAGTTGTTTCTTTTGTTTCTTTCATTTAATATTAATATGTACATGAAGAAGAGATCAATTTATTCGGTTATCTAGCATTTTCATTTTTAAATAAATTGGTTGCATTAGATCATTGATAAAAATTTAAATATTTCATTACGATAGTGTAATTTTAAAATTTTGGTATTATTTATACATATAGATTTACAATTTTTAATATATCTTATATATGTTATGTTTTTTTTGTGAAAGAATTTTTGCCTAAAAATTTGTTTGTTTCACCATAGGTAATTCTTATGTAAATTGTGTTTGTTTTTGGACTCCTAATTCGCGCATATGATTTTTTTCATTTTATACTCCTCTATACAAATTTGACTTAAATGTTTTATATGTTTCTGCTTGTTTTTTCTCACTAATATAACATGAAACAACAAGATCCATCAATTTGATTTTGGTTAATAGCACAATACTCAGGAATTGCAACACAAGACAAAACAATTTTCAAAGAAATTGTTTCAAGAACAAAACTACATATTTAAAACAAATTGCAACAAATTGAAAATTTGTTGTTTCAATGCTATTTGAATTTTGTGTAGGCATTACTCTCGTTATTATATTTAATTTATAAATAGATAAAAATATTATAAATTGTTAAAAGTTCATCTAATCGATTTGACTACGTAAAAATATAGTTTATCCGATGACTAATGGAAGAATTTTTTCTTTGTTTCATCATCTCATCTTGTCATCAAGATTTCAAATTCTTCCAATTTATTTTTACACTTCCTCACTACTGAAGTTAGATTCCAATTCATTTATGTTATCATCTGCCCTTTTACATCAATAGTAGATTTGTTTTTTTAAAAAAGTTAACGCAATAAGACGCCTTTCCTGTCCTTTTGGAAGGCTTTAAGTTACAGTATATATTATATCTTCCTTTATCTTCTCCAATTCTGTGCCGTCCCTTTAACACCAGCGAAACGGAACTGCACGCGGTCGATCGGCACCCTCCTTCACCAATGGCTTGTGATACTCACGGCCCGTTTTTGAGTGAATGGTGGCCCAACATTGCTCGCAATAGTACTTGAAAATTCACGGAACATTTTACTAGACTAAATCCTCTGAAAACCACGAACGAGACTTACCTGTAGGCATGTGACGTTCGCACAGAAGAATGGCGCGAACTTGCCTCCGCACAGCTGACCCTGGCACTCGTCACACATCTGGTCATCGAGAACATAAGGCTTCACCTCGACGCGTTTGTCAATATCTCCGTGCTGAAGCTGGACAAATCTGGCTGAGATGGCCGCAATGTAGCTCTGCTGATTCGCAAATGCTACTCGACCGGCTCCCTATAAATTTAATTGCGCTTAAAGAGTACACTTTTCACGTGGAATGATGTGTGATTCTTACCTTTGGATATTTCAATTCCGGATCAGTGTCAATGCCTGCATAGCAAACGCCTCCATACAGTCGATCCATTATCATCGCCAATTCAACTGAAAGAAAAGACAATGTGGAAAATTTAGCATACAAATGTTATCTCCTAAGAAGCGGAAAAGTCAGCGAATAGAGAATGGTGCACTTGGGAAATCTACCACGAAATTCTGTCGATTGCCAATTCCCACGAAACACATGCATCAACTAAATACTTTTCCCCGACATCTGAACACACTAATTGAAAAATATTTTAGGATATACGCTAATAAATGCAACTGATTAAATGTTTCGTGCCTGAGTTTGAGATTCATTATTATCTTGAATCTGTTATGTGAGCTTTGGAGTAAAATTACTGTGCTTTTAAGACTCTAATAAAGTTGCCCGGAATGCTGTTTTCATTCTCTTTTGTTCATCAAATACCATTCCATTTCAGTTGAATTGTGAAAATTTTCTTACTCACTGTGCAGAATAAGAAAATATTCAGTTTCATTTGACTTTTTAAAATTACCAACCGCAATGGATTGAACAATTGGATCAGATGCATTAAATAAATCGCCTATTATGCATATGTATCTCATGAATTCACAATTCAAGGATCATTCCTCGACAGCCTCATTTCCGTATCAAGAACATTTCATTCCTGCATAAAATCTGTATAATGGTATGGCCACAGAATGACACGAATGTGAATTTCTCTCGGGTCTGTCGGCAAAACTCAGTAGAGATTTGACGACAGAATATGGTAAACTGTTCTTGTATGATAAATGAGGCGAATTTAAAAGCAACCGTGTCTCGTAGAATCTGTCATAAATGTTACTTACATGCTTTCAGGGGTCGCGGCACACCGCCCACAAACACCGTCTTCCTCGGGTCCAATGGCATGGATGCATTTAGCACGAAGTCCGCATCGGACAAACGCCATGGGCGAATTTGCACCGGCTTGTCCTTTATTGTTGGCGATGACACGCACAAGTACAACTTATCCTCATCCGTGATGCAAGCCTCAATCAATTGCTGAACGCTGCTCTCGTCCTGAGAGAACCACCACCACAAATTATAATGCACTCATATCAATTCCGGACACATGGTGGGGACTTACCTGGAACAGTAGGAAAGCATAGCCCTTCGGTGGGAAGTATGACTTGGATTCAGCTTTGTGCGGCCAATCGACGACCAGCGGGCCGAAGCGTCGGAATGAGGACGTTATCTCATCTGAAATTCATCGAAATTGTATTGCACAAGAGTCTGAATCGCTGCCAAAGGCACTACCTTCATCGATATCTGGCGGCAGCCCTCCGACGAAGACTTTGCGCGAGAAGCGCTCAACACTCTCGGAGTTTTGCGAATGGGGCGATGAGCGTGTTGGGGAGTTCATCGGCATAACATTATTGTCCACGAATCCACCAGCTTCTTCCGGAATATGGTCGTCGATTCCCTGGAAAAACGGTTTCCCTGGAAGAGAAAGAAAACAACATCAAAATCTCTTCTGCCACAGAGTATCACTTAAGCAATTGCTCTCTCTCTCTCTCTCTCTTCAGAAACATTTCCAACGTGTAAACTTACTGGAGGTGGCGTTTCTGATTCTCTTGAAAAATTTGTCCATTCTTTAGCCCAGTTTCACAGTGGAAATTAATCAAAGAAAAAACTAGAGACTAACAGAGAAATTGCTTCCTTTTTCTTCCACGGGAAATAAATGTCTGGATAAAAAACAAAAGCAACGCGATGGTTGCTTAACTTTTCCGCAAAATCTGGCACCTGTGACCCACAGAATTTAATATCCGCCAGCAATTTCTATTAAACACTATAAATCACAGAGAAATTGAGAAGTGGTCTCATTCCGGAGGAAAATATATGGATCAGCTCATGAAAGTGGTTTTGTATATTCACACAGCCACAGGAGATGTATAAGAGGGTGATACAGTTTTGTACCAGCAAAGTTTTGACATGCAAAACTTTTATTTCTTTTTCGCAAACCATGCAAATTCAACCTGTACTTCCTCTACTTAACTCTCTCCACCGTCCATTTCATAGAATTCAGCTGGGATGGCGTGTAAAATGGGGTTTCCTCTTAAATGGGAAAAATCGTTAAGTATCTGAAAGTGATAAATCTTGAAAAATACTTCCGGAAGACTTACACTTGCGACGGAAGTGAAATGAATGCGGAGATTCATTTGATAAAATAAATCACAAATAGGTCTTCCGGAAGTAATGTGAGGAAATTTTCTTCATCTCCCAACTCTCAGATATGTATATATGTAGCTCACGAACACACAGTCTGTCTGCGACGAGGTTAAAGTTGGACTTTCTCACCCATATCTCAGCATTTGGTGTAAATATTTAAGATCTTATTTCAATATTAGAGGCAAAATTCAAGGTGATGGCAAATGCAGAGCAATAAAAGTTGCACGGAAAAGTGGCATCTCGGGGAAAAGTTTGGTGAAAGTTGAGTGGAAAACTTGAAAATTGCATATAGGAAGACATTTCTGCGATAAGGAACCATCTGCAGTTTCTTACCAACTATGCATTCACCGTATGAGATGAAATTGATTTCCGGAGAAATGATTTCAGTTGTGAAACCCCATTTTTTTCAATCATCTCTGTGCTGTTGCATTTGAGGGCAGAACTTGCATGAAGTATGAGCAGCTTAAGAGCTGCAGAAGATATTGAGTTTCTTCGCAAACTCTGTGTCACAATCTTTCTTGCTGCGGAGATCCATTGAAAATTCAATATAAGAAGGATTCATCTCCGATAATCCATGTATAGACATCCTGAGCATTTCACGTCTATACATGGATGAAAATGTCAATATTATGTTGAATTACAAATTTAATACTTCCAACCACACACTCGCAAAAAATTCGCACAAAGTTCATACCCATGTAATGCCCGAAGCCACTAAAGCTCTATGACGTTGTCGTTATGTGTTAGGGAGCCGCATGGAGTGCATTCAGCCGAGAATAGTTCAGCTTGGCTTTGCCGTTGCTCATGAAATTCACATCAAAACACCCTTCGGTGTATTGCATTGATAATCGCAGGTGGTGGTAAAGGTTGGGTATTCGTCATTCCTTATCGTATCAACTGATAAGCTATCTTCTCCGGGGTCTTTTCTATGTCGATTTCACCGAATTTCACGCAAAGTTTCAGTCTATTGTGCAAAGTAGAGGCGCCTCATCGAAAGTCCCACTCCCATTTTCCTCCAACGAATCCATACCGCCAAAATGGACGAGTTGGACGGAATTCCGAAGCGAATCCTCTGCTATCCCGTGAAGACCAGAACTCAGATCGTCGCCTCAATCTTGGTGCCCACGCTCATTGAGCTGGCCGTGTACATTGTGCTAACTATTGCTGACATAACAATAAGTGTAAATCATTTTCAAAGTGGTGATTACCTATGGGGAGCACTAACGCTGACATTCATCTGCCTGCCCGCCATTCTCTGCTTCACCATAATCATCGCATCGCCTTGGCAATGGCCAGATCAAAATGATTGTGCGGAAGCGAATAGCCATTGGAAGTTCTTCTTCAGGCAACTATTCAATTTCTTACTCTTCCCTCTTGGCGCCATATGGAGGTGATTTTTATTGGACTCCTTCGCCTGCCATAAGTACAGTGGGTGGCAAAAGTTTGTGGACATTTGACAAGTAAAAGTTGCAATATCAGATAGTGTGAATGCCAAAAGTTGTCCATCAGAGAGTAAAATGGAGACGTATTAACGAATAATCCTCGAAAGTTTCACCACTCACTGATAAAAGCTCAATTTCCCGACGGGATTTTATCACAGAAATTATGTTTGACAATAAATCTTAAGCTTGACAGATTGAACTTAGAGCTGATAAATATGCCACACTGATTAAAATTTATCTTCTACTCAATTGTAAAGCAATAAGTTCAATTCAACATTGCAATAATTCTCCTTCATAGGATAGTAATGCAGATACTTTTGCCACCCTCTGTATTTGAAGCATAGCAACTCTTAACTATATCTGAGCAAATGCAATAGGTTTACTCGCCGGATATTCTGGTGTATTGAGGCACTGTTTCACGAACGTGAATCATACGAGAGGCATCATGCTGTGGGCAAAGCCATCGAGCCATCGCCTTTCGAGCTCTACCACTTTCTGCAGGCCTTCGCCCAGTCCGCCCCCCAAATTATCCTCCAAATGTCCATCCTTCTGCGAGAGGATGTCTTTCGCGACTATGAAACGAGTACGCCACACTCCGCTCAGGACAATTACATAAACTTTTAATGCATCGCATTTTTGCCCCATTTCAGCCACTGCCCAAGTGATAAGCGTTGTATTCTCGCTCATAAAAATGGGAATGACGGTGGAATGTTTCCAGCGATTTGAAAGCCAAAAAGTCGTCGGTCGCAATTATCCCTGGCAAACAACGGAGCAGTGCGAGCGCCACAAGAAGCGACTGCAGCAGACCAAATTCACACCCAAGAAGTACTACAGAGAGATCAGTGCATTGTCCAACACGGCCATGGAGTTTCCGAATGTGATGAAAGGCTTTGAGGAAAAATTTGGCACACCATCAGATGGTGCAGAGAATGGGGAGTGCCGGAAAACCCTGCACGTGGACCAGGAGAATTTCAACCAGGACAATGGGAAAATCATTCGAAAGGCATCAATGGATGCTCAGGCGGAAGAGGATGTAATTCTGCGGAGTTCTGTGGAGAACAACAGTGAGACACAAAGGAAATCCAGTGATGTCGATGCCAATGTTTCACGCGCTGCAAGTAGAGATCCACCAAATTGGGACGCCATTGAACGCGACACCTCAACTGAGGCCAATTTGGCGAATATCAGGGAAGATGATGAGGATGATTTTGATGCTGTGCCGTCATCTGCTCCACCACCCCGTCCAGATTTGCCACCCTTTCGTGCCACACACTTCTTCCTGGAGCCACTGAATCGCTTCTCCACGATAAAGGACATGCTCCTGGTGAACGCTGAGATATATCTCAAGGAAAACGTCCCGAGATTACCGCAGAAGCTACTAAATCACGAAGTCCGACCGGCGCAGAAGAGTAACAGGGAGTCATGTAACATTAACGATAATCGCAATCTAGAAATAATTCAGGAGACCAACAGTGATGTCAATGTATCGCTACCGACGCGCAGAAAAATGATAAATGGCATCGAGCAGGATGACATTCTTGGGAAGTCCGTTGCATTCATGGGATGGGTATTGTTTCTCCTTATGCGAATGCTCGCCCTGTCGTTATTCTCGGTGTTCTATCTAAAGGCTGTTGGCTACCTCTGCCTTAGCCACTACATCTTAATGCTCATATGGCTATTTATAGAGACGCGATTTCATGAAAAGGCCGAGCGGGACTTTTTCTACATCTTCCTAGCATATGTTTACATCTTCTGCATAATTGAGTTCAAAATAAAATTCCGCAACATCAGAATATGGTACTCGCTCTATTGCGGACTCGTGCTTACCCAGAACGTTCTCATGTCGTTCTGGTGGTACTTCACGGACGACTTCGAGTCCTGGTGGTTTCACTACTTGTTCGGAATGACTTTCGCCAGTGGAGTCCTGAGCATAGCATGTCTCGCCACCTACTACGTTATCCTCAAGCCACGAGATAAGATTCTCTTTGAAATAACAAACAGGGAGCAAGCGTAACCGAGTGCATACTGAATAGCATAGATGGAATTAATTTATAACCAAAAACGCTCAAGAAAATTGAAATGTGTTCCACCGTACATATTTACACAGTGAATAAAATAATATAATTGGAAATTCTGTGTTCGCACGGAAATATGCTCAAATGTACAAGTGTGCATTCTCTCTAAAAAGAAAATGTCATTTAATCGATAAAGTGAAACTCTATTCTTCCACAGACACTGTTTGCAATAAGCAAGAACCAGCAGTGGCATATTTTCAATTTTCTCGTCTTAATATTTTTGCATATAATTTCCTCCTGCATTTCTCGTCCTGTTCACCATTTACACTTGAATAAGATTACGAAAGAGAGACGACATACAGGGAAATTGCCTTGACAAGAATTACAATCCTTTTGACTGTTATTTAATACACGACTTCTTGTGATCCTCCGTTGTTTATTAATACAATGAGATTTAGTGCGATATGTAGTGGATATATAAGAGTAGATTTCCTTGCAATACTGCTTTAAGACATAGCTAAATATCTCCCATTCGCTGAATGATTAGCATCGTGACTCAAGTGCCAAAATCTGCGGAATTTCCCTTTGCATTTTTGCATATTGAGTATATAGAATATTCACGCTTTTATGTGGCATTGCGAGCCCGAAAATCCTATCTGGATAGTATTAATTGCGAAATAAATTGTGATAAGACATGAAAATTTGGGTCAAACCCACTGTGAGATCCACTGACTCCAGCACTTTTGTAGATTTACAATAATGATTGTCACAGCTCAATTTGTGCTCTGGGACTAATAAATTTGAAGAACAAAAATTAAATTCTCGTTTTAATTACTCGCCATTTGACATGTCGTGTGACACCTAAAATAGTATCGATATATTTGATATAACTCACCGTGTAATTGTGCCATTGATTGCAAAGAGTTGATGTTGCTCCCCTGGAAACCTGCAAAAAGACAAGTGCGCCCATGAGCGAGGTTGTAATTGGATTTGAATAAGTTATTGTGGCAAACCTTTAAAATGTTCAGATGATCCACAATCTGCTACGCCTCTCATAATATCGCTGAGACAGTGCTCCAGAGTTCTCATATCCAAACCATTTCCCAAGCCACGTTCCTGCAAAATCACACACAATATTAGCTTTAACTTTCCAGGGAAATTAAAGTTTTCCTGTGTTCAGCACTTAATGGTGGAGATACAGTGGAGGAAATTATTCAATGAGCACAACTCTTCTTCTTAACCCATTTTACGTGTATACATACATCTCCTTATTGCAGTTTTCTAGCTCTTAACACTAGATACATTATGTATGCATGAAGAATATATTTGGAGACTTAAAACTTTTAGATTTGCTTGTGCATTTTAATTTGATTTAGAACAAAAAAATTATGTTTGTTCAATTCTTTGTGTTATAAGAAATTTAATCAAATATTTAGTTAGTGGTTATTTTATTTTGGAGAGCTTTTTTCAATTGATTCACTAACAGTTACACTTGATAAATCTAGCGCAACTGACTTCATAGAATTCCACAGACAGTGACATGAATTTCAAAAATTTCAATAATTAACTTATGCCTTCCCGCCCTCACGTCAATATTTCTGCCACTTTAGCCATCCACTCTGTTTCAGCAAAACTCACCTGATATGCCATAAATGAGTCACGGGCATCGTCGATATTGCTAATTTCTAGTGGACCAACGGAGACTTTTCCCGGAAATGAAGTGCTCCGGCGATACTTCATGGGCGATATTGAAGAGTTCTGCCCGGTCATGCCACCCTGCGCCCCCGAGTTGATCAGCGACCCGAAGGGCGAATGGCAGGGTGGATTGGGCGACGTCGGCTTGCGCGTCTGCTGCAATCCTGTGGACAGGGGGTTGAGATTGGGCACCGAGCGCCCACGATTCCAATTCCCCAGCGTCGCTGCCTGGTGGTTCTGATTGCTCTGCAGCGGCCAGGCGATAGATGGCGGAGGATTGGACCATGCCGGGTAGGAGTTTTTGAAGAGATTTTGATGGTGATTCTGCTGCTGACCTCCCGACATGTTGCTCTGCTGGTGTTGCATCGACGAATTCCGTCCGATGGCAGTGGGCGATAGTCCATGGTGCTGCGAATAGCCGCTCACGAGGTTCGTGCCACTGCCGTTGCCAGTGTGTGACGCTGTTATGGCTCTTCGGGGATGCTGGTGGTTCGGCGCTACGGCCACAGACGCACCACCATTGAAGAGCGGAGCGGCGGAGTAGTTCTGAAAGCCACTACTAAAACCATTCACCGATATATGGCTTGAGGGAACTGCCATGTCCTCGGCACCTGTTGGCCATAGGTTTGAGCTCCCCTCGTCCTGCTGCTGATGCGGTGCAAAGTTGATCACGGAATTTGCAGTGGCACTCATCATGGATGGGTTACTGTGAGCACTGCCTCCAGACTGAAAGATAGCCGAGCGTCAGGAAAGGGGGAAGTTACAGAGTTGTTATCTAGTATGGTTTCTTATCAAGCTCTCAAAAACCAGCGAAACATGTGCAACAACCTCAGAATAAATTGCGGCTTTCACATCCACAGATCCCGAGAACATATCACCCCGTCAAATCATCTTAAGTAACTCCAACCGATATACGTACCGATGTTGTAATTATGTTAGATGCGCGCAATGTTCCGCCGTTCAGCAGAGAAATTGATGGTGTAGATGAGTCCTCAAGTACACCGCCGGGTGTGGGTGAGCTTGACAATGGATTAGAAGATGTGGCATCCTGATGCTGTGCAATGTCGTCTGATAAGACGTTTGGTATGCACCCAATATTGGATTCCACTGTTGTAACAGGTGATGATACTACAGCACTTGATGTAATTAGAATACTGCTCTCATCACTAGAATGCTGTGCATTGCTCATAGTTGTAGTCGATGTAGGCATCTTCTGCAGCACACAATATTCACTTTTATCCACAATCTTCCCACTTCACCAAGATTTAGAGATACTTTTGCATTCAACTGTACAATCTTGCACTGGTTTCTCAACATGTAATTGCATCTGTAGAAAAGATAAGAATTTTTGCTGTAAGCTCTCTTATTTATTGATTACTCTATGAATTATGCAAAGAACTGACTTACAATGTCCCAAATACAAAGAGTGTCAGAAAATATAGACAAATTCAAATGATTGCTTCCACATAGAAAGCAATAGTTTCAATACTGAATATAGCAGAATGGAAATCCAGAAAACTATCCTCAACTTTTCTTCTACAAGCTCTATTTTTAGAAAATGTAGCTTTAAAGTTCACTCCACAGATTATTTTATAATGTCCTTTGAAGTGGTGCACACAACATAGAAGGGACTATAATATTCCACCACCGGTAATTCACGTGGAGCCTAATGCTAATTATTCCTTGAATCTTTAATAAAATATGAGAAGAATCCCTTTTCCAAATTCACCCATTTCTCTAAATTAGTAATTAAAGGCAAATGTAATGGGGAATTTAATCTCACACTCTCGCCTGAAAGTAATATTGAGCACAAGGGCCGAGAATATACAAACTCAAATTGTGTGGATGATTTATATGCACATATGCAGTTGGTCAGGAGGACTTAAGGCACATCCTCCATTTACCACGACTTCACGTGGGCGCTCGAGGCGCTGGAAAGCAGAGGGAGAATGTTTAATCTTTGCACTCCTGGATCATTTTATGCTTTAACGATTTCTACGTGTTTGTATTACACTCCATTTCCGGACAATCCCACACAAATTTCTAAACATGACTGTATTCTATGTGGAATTATGTTCAAGGATTTATTTGACTCTTTTAAAATGGATGAAGCACAACTGAAACCACTTAGAATGCAATAGTGTAAAGTGATTTATTTTGCAGAGGTGTGAGCAAAATTTCAAAATAGTTTTGCGAACAGTCAGTTTCTGGTAAAGAGATCTGGAGTTTCAAAAGCTCTCCTTTGACGCAAAAGTTATTTACACTGGCAAAACTTCCAAATATCTGTATTAGGTGCATTGAAACAAAACCATTGGCACATGCATTTGCCATATCTGCGCCAAAGTGAAGCAATACAATTGTTAGGCATAAACTTCACGAGCTTGTTAGGAATTTTCAATAAAAAATTTTCCTGTAATGATCTCCTCTCGCTGCAACGATACCCTTAATGAAGATAGAAAAGAATTTTTAATACGCATCCAATTACGCTTTATGTGCAAAATTCTTCCTAATTGAGATGCAACTTCGAGTCCACTTAATTGACTACCTATCGTCCAATATAGATTTGTTGACTAGCAAGCAAATGAATTGGTAGGAACTTGCCTTCGAGCACGGAGTCAATTTGAATGAAATTAATCGCATAAGATAATTTCAGATGCAGTGGCAATTTCCTAAAATTAAACATTCCGAGTCTCTCCATGTCCAATACGCCACTCTATTTGATCTTCGTGAGCCGTGATTTTCTCTGCTGCCGTGACTCATAAATCCGCCCCCATTCGGTCGGGAATTTTCACTTATCAATCGGGCTATTTAAAACGCATCGCATAAGGCAAATCCGGCTACGATAGAGACGAATGTGGCTGAAGAGTGGAGAAGATGAGGTTGAGAGCTTTCCAGTTCGAGAGTCTAGACATTGTGCTCAATTGGGTGAGAATTTTCAATGAATATTGGAAGGTGGAGCATCTCTATCGGTGCTGGAGACTTCTGGACTCGGAGCCATTGTCTCCCGCAGGCATTGTTCTTTTGTCTCTATGCCATGCCGAAGGACTTCCACCGCACGGATAAAATACCAGAAAACCCTTTTTTCGGATGACCCATCAAGATAAAAATCAGTTTTGTCAGAGCGCTTCCATCATCATGTTCTTCGGCCATTTCGGTGCCTCTCCTCTCACTGAAAGGTGGCGAGGCGAGTGAAAAAGTACGGCAAACAGTTGGAAACAACCCCCCAGGAAAAAAGACGAGCGCTGAAGTGCTGGGAGAGTTCCTAGGCAAGTACATTTTCGTGTGCATATTTTGCCGCAAAAATAATTTCGGGCAGGAAATAGTGTTTGCCACCAGAGGCTATAGATCTCTGCAGTATGTGACCATCTTCAGCCCCACTCTGGGGAGGTACAATCGAAATTTGGGGCAAACACATTAGGGAGGTTGAATTTCGACTGAGGGGACGATGTTCGTGCACAAGCATGAGAATTAAATCAATTCGAGGAGAAATGTACTCGGAGAGAGACTGACTTTCTGCGGTCTTTTGGGGAATACGTGTACTCTGGCCTGTCGGGACTCGAGGTTAAACCGCACGCTTGGTGAAAAGGGTACCAACTACTGGGCAGGAACTTGCGGTGGACTGCTTGTACCAATGGATAAGAAAAATATAATCAAATCATGAGCACAATCTACTCTAATAATGGGATAAAGTCAGGGAAAAAGGGAATATTTTCAAAAAAGTAAAAGGATTTTATATCTACAAAAGGATGTGAATAATCGATTTCACAAATAAACTGTATTGAAAAGCTAAATAAAACACTCATGTCCAGTTACCTCTCCATGTAGTTGAAGGAAGAGGTATAATGATAATGGGACGTATTAACACTGAGATGTAACCACAAATTTTTTCCAAAGAACTTCAACTAATTATTTCACAAAGAAACTTTTACGGCAAGCCAAACTTTCAGGTTGCCCTGTTTTGATGCCGCACAAGCACAAAAAGCACTCCGTATAGCGTTTTCCTTTCAGATGATATGGCTTTGTTTTTGTTCCCGAAACTCCTCTCAGCTTGCGGAAGACCTCCCAAAATGTCTAGCGATGGGGCTCTGGTGCGGGCCCCCGAACGACTGGCGCGAGCACCTGAGTCAGATGGAGCAAAGTGGTCGCGTGCCGGGGGGATAGAGCACTATCGCACCCTCAACTATCATCCCCCGTCAATTGGCCCAATTATTGTGAATCGAACGCATACATGCTCCCTTGTGCTATTCTGTTTTATTGGTCAACTTGGGATGTCGTACTTATGAAATACATATAGAGATGCATCCCTCTCTGGCAGCCACGCCGCATGCGCCAACATTTCATACGCGAGCTCTATATAGTGTGACGTTTGTAGAGCGCAATCCTTGGGTATTCTTGAACTGGAAAATACTGCAGTGATGGAATAATTTATAGCTATACATACATGTATACAGCACATCATGTGCGAGGGGATTCATTCAAATTTGGCCATAGCAAAGAGGCCCCGCGAGCTCGGCCGCGGATTTCGATGGAGCCCAATTCGCGGGCTCGCTTTTGGCATTGATGGAGCGAGAGGTGAGAATTTCTCTCGCTCCCACTTGCGTCGCACCACGTATTTCGAGGCGAGAGACCAGGCGAAAAAAGAGGCCCCCCAACTTCTTTTGGGGGCCACTGAGCAAAATTCGTGAACATGGAGACTCATTGATCAAATGCAGCCAACTTTTCCATCACGACCAACTCTATTGACACACTCAGATGTGCTGTACTCGGAGGTGTTATCCGCCGAGTACAATAATACTTTTAATTCCGCCATTACTGAATATTATCAAAATAAAGCAAGCACGATTGTAGTCTAATTTTAAACGGGCGTGAAGATGTGAAATTTAGCAAGTGCTACTCAGAGGACAGAATAGATTAATGCTGTATGATTATATTCTACTATGCAATACTTCCTCCTGTGTCTGGGACATTGTGATGTAACGCAGAAAAAAAATTCCTGCAATGTGATAACATATTGATTGCACTTTTCGATATTACTTTTTATCCACCTTCTTCGTCTTTTATTTTCCTTCACCAAATTTTTTCTTCCTCGTGAACAGGAAACGTCCTCAGCTCTGCTGTAGTCGCCGTGCGAACTTTTCACCGAGCATGAGGTGCAAAATAATCCAAAAGACCTCTTTTTTCCTCACATTTGACAATCAATAAAATCAAGCAAGAGAGAGAAAAACCAATTTTTCTGCTACATGGAAAAAACTTTGTGAATCAATTCTTGTATTGAATTATGCACATTGGTTGAAAACACAAAACAGTCTTTGAATTTATTGCACTAATGTTAAACGAATCTGTTTATTTTCCCTTTTTTAACAAAACGACGCTTGATTAAAATTACACGATTAAAATTATATCACAGTTCTACGACTTGCCATTTGGATATTTTAGATCACGATTGAGGGTACTGTGGCGCTCTCTTGACACTTGCCCATTGTTATCTGGTAAGGCTCCAGATGGCGCGTCGGTTTGCAATGGCCGACCTGATGTGTCAAGTTTACATTCAACTTTTAGCTCACACGTTGTAGAGAGGGGAAGCAAACCCATGCTCGTCAATGCCCGCAGCATGGTAACCTTCTGGTAAGTCGTGAAAAGATCTGAGATTTTCAGCCGTTTTCTCAACAAGGCGTGAATTGTGTCACCCGAAATCATTGGGAACCGCAGAAACTTGAAATTATAATTTTTTTTTACAAACAAATCAATAATAAATACCATTAAATAAAACTTGAGTTTTGTTGTTTTACTGCTTTTTGCCAGCAACAAGAACAATTTCAGGATAATTCTTCGGTTCAGGACGCCCAAGAAAAATAAAAGTCTTCAGCTACTCTCTGGTATTTATTTTGATAAGGTAAAATATTACAGTGGTAAGCAAAAGCATTGAAGAAAATTAGATAATTTTTATTTAATTTTATTCCCATTGTGTGAAGTTTCACATCACCTTAACCGGTCATCTATGTGAAGCATCTGCAAGTTAAAATTTTCATCGAACACCATTAAGAAGGTAATATGAGTGTCCATCATTAGTTACGTACTCATATACAATTGTTGTCTAAGGGGTTGATATGGACTTTAGCAGTGCTATATATGATCCTGCAGTTTGAAGAATCTGAGAAATACAAAGTCAAATTTTTTTCCGAGCGTCACAGATCATTTGATATAATTAGTCACTGACCAGAGATAATGTTGTTAGAGATAAATCAAACAATCCCATTTTGAAAACAATCCCCTTTCTGCCTTTCATCATGCAGGGAATCAAATATTTTCTCTGCTCTGGACATCCTTCATACCACATCGACTCGTAAATTCCCCAGCAAATGCTCTGACTCTTGGCATATAGATAATCCCCGCTGGATGTTAATACATAGATTTGAGCAACGGTAGCTGAAGATAATCCACCAAAAGCAAGAGTTTTGCTTATGTCCGGGATCTGAGACACAATATTTACCATTACACCACGAACTTACGAACTTTATGCACTATTCTTACCCTTATCACAGTATAGAAACAAGTGCAAATAAGGATGGAATCAAAGAGGAGAAAGGGAAACACTGCAGCCTTCACCAATCTCTGTAGTTCATTGCAAGTATCCAAAATTTGGTTATGATACTCGACAATGGGAGAGATCTGAGAGTGAAGTGCTTCAGTGTCTGCAGGATTCTGGGTGAACTTGATGGCTTTAAATCTCTCACGGATAATGTCAAAATGAGAGGAGAGGAAGAAACAACTCTCCAGGAAGAAGGAATCAAAACCACATCCACCAAACACGCAGGACATCGTAAAGACAAAGAAGAGTGTTGTAGAGATGGCATATCCTGGCGAATCGTTCAGAGCATCGATATATGTTATATTGTAGGGAGTCACCCACACGCCACTCCCCGTTCTGTACTCATCCAGAGCTGCAAACGCTGGAGGAAGCAAAAGCCACCTAAAATCATCCTCAAAAGTTACACACAGACACTTTCCTAGAATGCAAATTGACTCACCAAGCTATGCCAACAGTAAGAGTTATGAAGTTAATTAAGGATACGGCGTTAATGAAGAGCTTATGTTGCATTAAGAATTTTTTCTCATTTTTAGATGCTAGGACGAAATAGAATATCTTTAGTAATAATAAATTGATTCTTGATTAATGACACTCACTGATATCCCACAAATCTTTTAACTTATCGTGAAACATTGCATAATCGTTGATGCGGAAAAAAGTTGTGACAATTTTAAAAGTATTTACGAGAAAACCAAAGACAGCCGTTGAGTTTGCCACCATAGAATCAACATCGGGAAATTTATAGTAAATATTGAGAATGACCATTCCCAACATGATTTCCAGATTAATCACATTAAACAATGCCCAGACTTTCTGAACAAAAGTATTTTTCTTAACTTCCAAGAAGAATCCATGCGGTTTTAAGAACAATTTCGCGTAGTAGAAAAACTTATCGTCCTCCATTTTTCTCTTGTCCAACACTGAACTTTTCTCGTGAATGTCGCTTTGTTATATACTCTAAAATTCTTTCTAGATAATTACATAGGTCGCTTTTCAGTAACACCACGATTTCTCTACGCGACCTGAAGCTTTACAGTACTTGAACATTTTCCTTCTCTCAAAAAATAAATATAATAAGAAAATAAAAACATTTAATGGTAACAATTGTATTGTAATGAATAATATTTAAAGATACCAAAAAATTTTAGTTAAGAAATTATATCAAATGTGCACTCACACCTTAAGTTTGTCTTCAATTAATATTTGAAATTGAAAGACTTTTTTTAACATCCCATGTAAAACATGACTATCAAAAACTATTACATTATTAACTATAAAAAATATTTGCACACTCAACACAACTATATAAGGTTTTCTAAAAAAACTTTTTAAATTTACTTTATTAATTAATTTCAATATATTTTTAGTATGAAAACTATATCAAAATAAGTGACCAACAATTTTTTGCAAATTAGTAAAAAAGATGTCAAAAAGTATGAAATTAAAATTATTTTACCAAAAAATTACTCAATTTATAGGCAGCAGATAAAACCGTAATATATGACTTGGCGCTTCAAAGGGTGATCCAAATAATTACAGTAATTATTCAATCTCAGTACATAACACAGAACGTGTCGAGGAAGGCGTTTCTAATTACAGTTTACAACTCTGTATTTTAGGTGGCTTGTCGTAACTTTTGACCCTTTCGACCTAATATTTTTCATGTGATATTGTAATATCTACGTAATTTAACTATTGAAATCACAAATAATGTCACCATGCTTCATAATTTATAATGAATAACTCGAAGCCATACAATAAAATTTGTGCACAAGAGTGATCAATGCACAATCACATTTAGCATTGATTGTTGCCCAGAATATAATGATACAATGTTCGGAAAAACATAATAATTCCACTACACACATAATAATAATATATATTTTTTGTAGTAAGGTGAGCAAGGCCAAATGTTACAACGTTTATCTCGGTCATCTTAGGAATATTTTTTCTGCAAATTCATCGTAATCTTTTCTCAGTTTTTGGACACACTTGATGTACTATCTCTAACCAACGAACCATAATTTATCACTTATTCTATTAAACGCGAACACTGCTATGTCCGTTATCGTGTCACGACGTAAACTCGCTCCAAATCATAATAAAAGGGCTATATTGTCACCATGCAACATAAAGAAATTTCCTATTTATTTATTCAGTACAAATAGCCCAAAATATTTATGATTTCTTATCAAAAATCACGCAATTTCTTATCTCTGTGTATGTGAGATGCTTGAGAGCATTATGCTAAATCATTCACATGCCTTCTCTACACTTTATAGTATTTGTACGCGATAAAACATACTGTCCATGTGGTATAAACGTTGAAGTTTTCAGTTGAATTTTCAGTCGGTCCATGTCTTTCGTTTAGTGCTAATCTCTTTGAGAAACGTCAGTGATTTAGCCTCGTATTGTGACGTCTGATATTCCGGGTTGCTCTTGAGAATCCTCCAAAAATGGGTTACCTTTTCATTGGCCAAATCGTTCATTCAAAATCTTTCGACGAGATCGAATTTATAACCGATGGATTCCTCGCTGTTGACGAGGGCAAGGTGAGTAACAGCAAAATTAAGCCTTATTGAGATTGATAAGAGTCCAATTGACAGGTCGTAGGAATTGGAGATATCTCGGAATTGCCGACTTGGAGACAGAAACAGTGGAGTTATGAAGAGATTCAACTATCCAGGAATCAATTCATTCTTCCCGGGTTTGTTGATTGTCATATTCATGCTCCTCAAATGCCAAATAATGGACTTGGATTGGATATGGAGCTCCTCGATTGGCTGAAAACCTACACTTTTCCAATGGAGAGTCAGTACAAGGATTGTGCCTTCGCCTCTTATGTATACGATAAAGTTGTGGTAAAAATTTCGTTATCCTGTATCTAAAAGGATGTTGGGAAAATCATCCATAATTTTTTGTATATTTATTTTATGTACCTTTTAGAAAAGAACTTTATCTTTGGGAACGACTTGCGCCAGCTACTTCGCAACGAACCATAGAGCAGGAACTCTGATCCTTGCAAATCATATTCACAAACAAGGGCAGCGAGCGCTGGTGGGAAAGGTTTCTGCAAATCAGTCATCTGTGGATTATTACAAGTAGTGACACAATTGTTTTTATGATGTTGCTTTGGAAACTCAAAGATGTTTTCTAATTTTACAGAGAAACTACTGAAGAATCAATCAAAGAGAACAAAGCTTTCATTCAGGACATCATGAAACTCAATTCGGACTTGATCAACGTCACTATTACTCCGCGATTTGCTCTCTCTTGCGATGAATATCTTATGAAGGAGCTGGGAAAATTGGCAAAGGAACATAACTTGAACATTCAAACTCACATATCAGAGAATCTTGGAGAGGTCGCTGAGGTGAAGAGGGTCTATAATGCATCGAACTATGCCAGTGTCTACGATTCTGCCAATCTCCTAACAAGCAAGTGCATTCTGGCACATGGAGTTCATTTGGAAGACGAAGAGCTTGAACTTCTGCAGAAGCGGGGAACTTCCATAGCTCACTGTCCTTCATCAAATACAAATCTAAAATCCGGCCTTTGCGACATTATCCGATTGAGACAAGCAGGAATTTCCGTGGGACTCGGAACTGACATTTCCGGTGGAAGCGATGTATCCATCCTTGCGGTGATTAGAGACGCGATGGGCGTTTCTCAGCACCTCGACTTTGCCAAGAAGCAAGACATCAAGGGAACGGGCAGAGTTCGACCTGAAACTGATGAGCAGAAGAAGGTCAACCAGGACTACGTTCCCCTAAACTATAAGCAAGCCCTCTTCCTGGCGACCCTGGGCGGTGCTGAGGCTCTCAATTTGGCCCACAAGATCGGCAATTTCCAAGTTGGGAAAGAGTTCGACGCACTCCTCATCGATATTGATGTCGATCCTGTTGATGTCTACGAACCTAATATTTCTGGTATCAAGAACAAGCCCGAGAATCTACAGGAAAGAGTGCAGAAGTTTGTCTACGCCGGTGACGATCGCAACATTTCCAGGGTGTTCGTTAAGGGAAGACAAGTTAAATAAATTTACTTTATTGGCACCTGCACAATAAATAACAAATTTTTACAATATTCAATAAACAAAACCAAAGTTTTCATCCGCCCACTTTACATGACGATGGCCCTGAAGGAATTTCGGCAAGTAGCGTCTCTCATTTGAGGAGCTGGTGCTGCAACTATTATTCTCGTATTCCGCTAATTTTCTATGCCTTCGTATGCAACAATAGCTTACCAAAAGAATCACTATCAGCAGGAGGATAAAGAATGTGAAAAGAATCTTCAAGAGAGTCGTGTCTAAACAAATTAGATCTTCTACCTTGAAAGTATTGATTTTGGGATCACTTGTCGAATTGGCTTTTGAACCATCGCTTCCATAGACGAAGCTCTCAGATCTCGCGTCTTCAGTATAAACTAGAAAATCGCACATTGCCAATGAGTAAAAGCTGCTATATTTTTCCATTATTTTTGCTGCGCTACTAGAATCGTCATCTTCTTCATCACTATCGAGAGACGCAAGGATTCTTTGATACTGTACTTCACTGGATTCAATGAAGTTGTCACCGCCCACCTCGGCAGTGGAGTTGCTCAAAGAATTATCATTGTATCTGTGAAAAATCTCCGGAAACGCAATATCCATGTGAGTTGGACTTGACGACATGTCGTCGAAAACCTCTGTCTCATTATTATTCGAATATTGCACTCCGATGTCTTTTTGCGACATAACATTGCAATTCGGTTGAGAACAGTCTCGAGTACAGAACTGAAGGAAAACCTTAAATATAACGCGCGGACTATCAAAGAATTTGAAAGCTCTGAATTGGGACGATAAGAAAAAACTCCCATCAGCCATCCCACTTTTAAAAATTGACATCAAAGAGGGATCTTCCGGGCAGCCGTTTTTGTCCAGGAGCAGCATTTCTTCACCAGAATCTGATATAGCAGTTAAATTAACCACTCTAAATTTAAACTTGTCACTCAAAGCATCTCCATAAATTCGCAACTGAACCTTCTGACCGAGATTCACTTCGGAAACTTTTATCCCTTTGTCAATGTCTATCAATTCGATTTTCACAAAGTTAAGCCTTCCATTGTTGAACAGCTTTTCCTGGTCGTTTACTTCAGGTTTGGCTTTGATTGGTTTTAAACTCCTTTCTTTGGACATTCTCTCGAGAATCTCACTATTGTTCACAACACAACCGATCTTGATCATTCGATCATCATATGTTCTCGCCGTGGGATTATTCTGTATGACAATGAGTGTGGAAATTAGAGTTCTGTTGACGTCATCCCGCCTCTCATAAGCTCTAACAATTCCGCATAAATTTTCCTGGATCTCCTCGCCAAATGCAATCCTAAGATCAACTGAAGTATTGCGGTTTTCCTGCACTGAACAATTTGAATATCGGGAATTAGAATAAAGCTTTCCCGCGAATGTTCCCCTAGGCCGATATCGAACTAATATCTCATCATCCATGCAGGCAACAGAGACTGAAAGAGCGAGAGAAAATGTACATTTAGAATCTTAAAAGCAATTACAGCTAAGTAAGACACATTACAATAAATCAATTAATTAAAAATCACTTCTCTATCCTAAATGCATCACAAACATAAATGAAAATCCATTGTTCACTTGAAATTATTCAATGAGTAATAATCTCTGGAGCAATCAAAAAGTTCTAAGGAAACCTTGCGTGAGAAAAAAAACTTACCATTTAGGCATTCAACTTGTCTCATGTAGATTGATCCGTAGGAATGAGTCAGTGAAACCTCTCCGAAGAGCGCAATATCGTCGGAATGCAGGAAACATTTCTTCGTCTGAGGAATAAAGGAGATGCCTCGACATGAGAAAGATTCTTCCTGGAAACACATCATTTGGCAGTCATCAAGTGTTGAGTTTTCCAAGGCGTTGTCCGCGTATATAAAGGTTCTGTTGTAGTACTTTTCAAAAGAACAATCGGATGGCGATGGATCTGTGGGAGACCCTGTAAAAAATTCACGATGATAGGAAATAGTATAAAAGGATTTGTTGGATAACAACTTACACTGATCTATGCACTGATTCTCAATGTATTCCAGACTGAAATGTGCCGATGACTGAACCTCAGCGATTGTCCCATTGAGAAGGGGACTCTTAGCCGTATTCAGGATGCACTGTCCTATGTCCTTGCTCAAATACGGCGATGGATTCCTGCTCCTGATGAAGTTATTCCGATTGGACGGAATAAAGATCACAGAGTGACAAAGGAATTTGCTCTCATGAATACAACTTTCCACACATTCTCGGCGACCCATCAATTTTTGCGACCTCTCGTACTCCTGTGGCATGACCAGAGCTCTCGGATACCTGGATATTGGCCACATTCTTTGCTGACAATGCTCTGGAACTGATAATAAGAGGCGCAAATTTGACTAGCCATCATCGTGGAAATTACATCAATTGTGTGTGTTTAGCGCTTAATATCGCAAAAAGCCAAACAATTCAAGGTTAGAGAGTTCACACGCTTAACAACTCCACCAGCATCACTGCGGTTGTTGAAAACTCTCTGAACAAATGCTCACCTCTCAAGCACATTTTCTGGAAAAACACAGCATTTGCATCGGAGAAAAGTAAGAGTTTCTGGTGCTTTATGTAGTAGATGTCTTCAAATGTCCTGCTCACGCTGTAGCCGAAGCATGTGTTGTTCTTCAGGAAGTACACATACCCGAAGCAATTGATGTCCTGCTGACACTGCGCCCAGCAGAACTTATTCAGCTGCTGAAACTCCGGGATGACACCCATGTTTTTCTCCAGATTAGCATTCATGTTGATATCATAGTGAGTCGAAGGTCGATATCCGACGATCTTCTCGAAGCGATGCTGATGAGTGGGACATTTTAGGTACTCCGCTGCAGGAAAACAAGAGACACACTCTTTTCTCTATCCTCAATTCACGTCACTAAGCACACGAATATTACCTCTCGATAGCACTAGAACTGAAGACAATAGCAGAAATTTCAGACTAGTCATTATCTTGCCACACAACTCTTGACCCTGTGCTTCCGAGTTCGAGCTTAGACACAAACTGAGAAAAATCGTGGAAGACGCTGAGAAAAACAGGTAAGATTTGCGAACAGCAATGAGAAGCACGCGAGTAAAAACGGTAATTAACGAGACGCATCGCGGAAATTCCCATGTCACTCGGAAAGGATTTCAAACTCCAACACTATATATTTTGCTCAAAAAAATATAAGGACATTTCACATAATTTAATTGAAAATACATTTCAAAAATCACAATTTTTTCCTTATTATTTTTTATTCTTTTCAGGGATCATCGGCATAAAAAGAATGTTTTTGAACAATGTTAATGTGATGAAAAAATAGGAAAACAACTCACAGCATATCAATGGAATTCCATCACAGCGCATATAATAATTCGTTACTCTTCAAACCAATCTACTATAAATCGAGATTCCATTCCATTCCGCGCAACTCCAACAATCTTCGTTCAATATTTCTTCTCCTCCTCGTCTGACATTTATCTCGGTCTCTTTGTTTCACACTGTGTATATCGTGAGTGCTGGAGTCCAAAACAAAATAAATGCGTATTTGTTTTCAAGTGGAAAAAAGCACAAGATCGGTATAGAAAGTGCTTTCGAGAGTGAAATCCTTGGTCAGTTAAATGGAAAAGAAGTCCGTGGAGGTGGCGAAAGAGAGAAAATCACTGAGATTGAGACAAATCCGACCAGTTTTTCATGCAAAAACCAAAAGTGAAGATGAGGGAGTGCTCAATAAGGCATTAATAAAACAGGCATGGAAAACAGGTGTCCTCAATTTGTCAGGAAAAGGACTCGCTCATGGTGAGAAGGGAATTGTCTTCCAACCTTTTTTCATTGATCTAGTTTAAATTATTCACTCTCTTGCGTCAACATTCGTCTTATTAAGATTCGTTGTTTTGTAATACAATTAGCGCGTTGATGCGAATAGAAGAGAAATGAAGAGGTCACGAGTGCTTGTTTTGCAATTTTATGAGAGATTAATCAGTGATTTTTGCGTTTCTTTGCTTTGAACGCTTTGAACTTGGAGAAATTTTTATGAGTTTCATTTTTTTTTGAGAAATATTTCATACATTCTTGTTCATTCTCTATTCCAGTTCCCGATAACGTCTGGAATCTGTCCGGATCAATTGATTTTGAAGATGAGAACGAGTCGAGGTATTGCATGGATAAGAGGAAATCCACAGAGGATGAATGGTGGACGAGACAAAACTTAGTTGAACTGAATTTAAGTTCAAACTCTCTAGTAACAATAAGTACAAATATTCAAAACTTAGAAGATCTGACAAATCTGAATGTAATTAGTAATAATTTTTCTGATTTTTCACTAAAAACTAATCTGTAAATATTCTCCAATAGCTTAGTAACAATCTCCTGAACGAGCTACCTGCTCAAATTGGCTCTCTTAGAAAATTAACCCATCTGTATCTGAACTCTAACAAGCTGGATAGACTGCCTGTAGAATTCTTCAAGTTACAAGATCTCCGTGTGCTGGATCTTTCGCATAACAACTTCGAGGATGCTCACTCTGACTTTGTGGACCTTGTAATGCTTGAGAACTTTGACTTTTCCCATAACAAACTCAAGTCTATCCCAAATGGTATTGGATTTCTCGTTCGTCTAACATCGCTGAATCTCTCTTTCAACAATCTTGAGGAACTGCCAAGTGATATCGTTAACATCAGATGTAAGCATACTAAACTGGGTGGGCAGTCATGTCACATGTAATAGTCTCTAATTCTCTCTCGTAGCGCTCATAAAGCTTAATATCATGAATAATGACCTGAAAAATTTGCCGGAATTCATGGGTGAACTGAGAAAGATGGAATTTCTCTATTCACAAAATAACAAGATAAGTGACATACCTAGTTTCGTGGGTTGCAACGCCCTCAAAGAAATCCACCTCGGAAATAACTCAATAACAGCTGTAACTGATGAATTTTGCCAATCCTTGCCTCAATTGAAAGTGCTGAGCTTGAAGGATAACAAAATAACCGAGCTTTCGAATGAAATTATTCTCTTAAGGAGTCTCTCATCATTGGATGTATCGAACAATCTTCTTGAGCAGCTGCCGTCATCCTTATCAATGCTGTCGCATCTGAGCAATTTGCAAGTTGATGGAAATCCATTGAAGACGCTGAGGCGAGATATTGTTCAGTGCGGAACTGCGAGGATCCTTAAATCTCTCAGAACTGAAAGGGTCGCAGAGAAGCCAATTGCTAAACTCTCCGAAGTCTGCGAAGACTTTCCAGATAAATACGAAATGGAGAGACACAAAGCATTGAATTTGAGTCTCAAAGAGCTGGTTGATGTGCCAGAATCCGTTTTCAGAGATGCTGTTCAGGCTCAGGTTTCGTGTGTGAATTTGAGCCATAACAAATTGGAATCAATTCCTGATGGAATTAAGGCAATGAGCTCAATCATTACTGAATTGGATGTTTCAGTCAACTTGCTGAAGAGCCTCCCAGACTTTCTGTCGCAATTCAGCCACATTCACTACCTAAACATGTCCAACAACCTCATTGAGGACTTTCCAGAATCCTTGGGATTGTTAAACACCATTCGAGAGATCAATATTGCGAGCAACAGACTAACATCAATTCCACCATGTATTTATCAATTGACAATGCTGGAAATCCTTCAAGCCAGTGGCAATCAAATTGAGGCTATTGACGCTTCAGAACAAGGACTGGGCGCCTTGAAGAAGCTCGCAACTTTAGATTTATCCAACAACAGCATCGAGATTTTGCCACCAATTCTTGGGAATATGAAACAAATCAAGTGATTATGGAAAATACTATATTTGAAAAATCTCAATTGCAACCTATTTTCTCTTTTCAGGAATTTACAGGTCACTGGCAACAAGTTCCGGCATCCTAGGCACCAGATATTAATGAAGGGAACCTATTCTATACTATCATACTTGCGAGATAGAATCTCTGAGTGACATCATCTGATGCGAATATTTCTTTATTTCAGAATACGTAATGTGTTGGCTATAATTGTTATAGTTAGGACAATGAACACTATAGATGTGATTAGAAAATGAGATTGCAAAGGTCAAAACCTTTTGTTATGACTTTGTTTTTAAATCTTGATTCATTTTGTTAAGTTTTTCAGACCAAATAGGAAGAAGAACCAGAAATTTAGCTTTCGCACTGTGAATTTTATTTATTAAATAATAGTTTCCATTTTTAAACTATTTTCCATTTACCAAAGGTAGGAATTATCTTAAAACAAACTTTATGTTGAAGTCGTTTAAGTGTTGTTTCTAGTCTTTCAGACAAAAAGATTTTCAATCTTTTATAAACTTGCTTGTAAAGTTATACTTTCACTTGACTTTCACAGCTTTCACATCATTTACCCACTGTGATTTTTCCGATTTATGTAATATCACGAAACCCACATTTGTTTTAATTCGTTGATTTTCGAAAAATGTTGTAAACTTAATTGGTTTTCAATAAAAATTCCGCAAATTAAAGAGTTTTTTTTCTTAATTTCATCTGCAGAATGATCTATCCGTTATCATATTTGAAATATTGACCATAATTTTATGGCACTCGATTTCCACATGGCAACCCCATAACGTGTCATATCATAACCTCACTTATCAAAGCGTAAACATGGAAATGTGTTTTTCTCTAAAAATACTTTAAATTTCGTGAATTCCTAGGATATTTTCGCAGAATGTCCTTCAGACGACCGCGTGTGAAGGCTTCAGCCAATTTAGTGTTGAAACGCCCAAGCAAAAATGAGAAAAGAACTGTGAAAATAGAGGCTGAAGAAGTGCCCTCGAGTAGCATCACAGAAGAGGCTCCAGAAGTCATTGGGAAGATCAAGAATGAACCTGGAATCAGTGAAAGCGTTGTTCCAAAGCAGGAGGAAAAATCGCCGAAGACTAAATTGCCCGCAAGAGCTCCATCTCCAATTCCTGACTCTGTACAGGATAAAGCAGACGAAAGTAAGAAGGATTGGGAGCAGGAGGAGGTGTTCAAGTCTCCGGATCCCATACCAACTCCATCCAAGTCCGAGATCTTAAGCGATGTGGATCGAGAAGTTCCCAGTGGATGTCTTTCGCCGACAAAAGTCAGGCAACGAATTAAGCCAACTCCTTTCTTTGGTACTTTTCGCCGGAATAGTACGCATGAGAGCGAGGACGAGGGTCGTCGTCAGAGGGGATCTGTTCCTCCGGAGAGCCCACAAACGCCACAGACTCCACAAATGTTCAAAGCAGGCATTCCTGGCTTCATGGGACAGAGAATTCGCACGGAATCCACGTGCTCCACCATATCAGACGTGAGCCAGATGAGAGACAGCCACAAACAGTTCCGAAGGATAAAGGCAGATGAGTCATCGAAGACAAGTGAGCTGCGGAGGGAATTGTCGCACCGGCTGGCCAGTGGAAAATTCTCAGACAGATCGCGGCTCACGATGTACGACATGATTTACTACAATCCCACCACGAATCCCATGAAGAGTCCTGCCAAGAAGGACAAGAGCAAGAGCACACCCGAGCGGAGATCCAGCGTCTCGAGTGTCACGAGCGTGGCGTCGCACAAGAGCGAAAAGGGTGAAAAGTTGGACGAGGACGACCCTGAGATTCCTCAACAGCCTCCGCTCGTGGCTGAAGATGTGAAGGTTAAGGATGAGTCTGCAATGCCTGTGCCTCAACTCAAGCTGGGCCCCAATGGCGAGATGATTCTGGATGAGAAGAGTCTGGTGATTGAGACAACAGGCGATCGGGAGGCGAGAGAAACGCTCGCGAACTCCAGCATTGTCTATGACGACGAGTACAGTTCCAACAATGGATTCTACAAAAGACAGCCGAGAACCAAGGACTGGTCAGACAATGAGACCATCATTTTCTACAAGTGTCTGCACACCGTCGGGACGGACTTCTCTCTCATGTGCACCCTCTTCACGAATCGCACGAGGCGCGATTTGAAGCTGAAGTTCAAGAAAGAGGAGAGACTCAACATGCACTTGGTCAACAAAGCACTCATGTATCCCAAAGCATTCGATTTGGATGAATTGCGGGAGGAGCTGCAGAAGAACGCTGAGGAGCTGGCCAAGACAGCAGCGCTGGACAAGCAGGCAGCTATAGAGGATCTGAAGAAGGAACGCAAGACCCAGAGGAAAGCCAACAACAGCAGCAAGAAGAAGCCGATGAGGAACAACAGTAGAGCCCTGAAGCAGCTCAGCGATGCGGATTTTGCCTATAAAATGGAAGAACTGTCGTCGGCGAAGAAAAGGCGCTCATCACGGGGCGAAGCTGCTCAGAAGAAACTTCCCAGGCTGGAGAATTGCTACGAAGCCGAGTCTCAGAGTGAGGTAATCCTCACAGAAGCTCCCGTTGAGCAGGAGGAACCCGAAGAAGAGGCTATTTTACCCAATGACCACGAATTTCTCGAGGACGCTTTAACTTATGGTAAGTTCCTCGTCTTTTTGCTTGCGCAAACATATTGTCTAACAAAATATACATTTGCAGAAGACAATGAAGAAGCAGAAGAACCTATGGATAATACTCAGAGTTTGGACGGCTTCACTGACTTGCAAAATCTTGATCTCAACAATCTCGTCATCGTGGAGGAGGATGTGGATGGCACGACGCACTACAAGATTCATCTGAAGAATCCCGAGACTCATGCAGTCAGCGAAAAGCCGCTGGATTTGCCACAAGAAGTCATCAACTGCATTGTTTCAGCTCATTTGGGACAAGCAAATTGATTTGCATACGACTCTCTGAGATTATTGATTCTGTACTATAAAATATTTCTAAGAAATCCTCCCGTTTTCATGGCAATTCAGCTTTGATGACTCATTGTATTTACAAAATCACTTACTTAGAAACTAGAGACTTTACAAAATCACTTCGACTGGGATTTGGTGGCAAATCCTGGCGGAAGCTCGTGGTCCGAGATTACCTCAAACTGACTGATGGAGTTGTCTATGAATTCTCATCATTACCTTTTTATCCAATATCTTCTGCCGGTAAAAAGACACGAGAGTCGAGAGGATGCCAACGGCGCAGAGGAGACTCTCGAATGTCCAGAAGTTTCTCTTGTCCATCCACGCAACTTTGTCGCAACTGCAAAGACAGCAATTAATCCCGGGGACTCATTCTCTACTTGTTCTCACCGACCTTCTTGAGACTGTCTCTCCGCTTCTGCACCGCAACACTTCTTTGTTGTGCGTATGAATGCACACTCCTTTGATTTTGCTGGCTATCTCGAAAGCTGCAAAGAAACTCGTCAGCAAAAGCTCACTATCCACAACACCCTGTGACTACCTGAGCAAGGATGACAGTCCTGGATTATCTCATACTCCTCCTTCATCCAACAGGTTGAATTGTTCTCAATTACAAAGTGCTTCGGCTTCGGCGATCCTGTCCATCGGGATTCTATAATCAGCACCAAAGTCGTCAGTCTGAAAAGGATAAAACGCTCACAATCTTGCTATTTTCACCAGATAGTGAACTCACATAACCAGGAAGGATATGCCGGTAATCATCCGGCGACGGGGACACGTCTCAATCATGGTTTCTTTATCCTTGTTTACGAAAAGTCAAGACGAGGTTTGATAACAGAATAATAAACTAATTTAACCCATTTTTCCTCAATATGTATGTCTTTTCCTCATGCTTTTATGATCCTCAGATTGCATTCTACTATTTTCGGCACAATTTCACCTTAGTGAAATCCACTAAAATGTAGTTCTTCAGCAAACTTTCTTCGTGTATTTTCTTCTTTTACAGCGCGATGACGAATCTCGATGAGCCAGAAAGTGACGTTTTGCCATAATTCTAAACGTCACAAAATAACAACTTTCTGAACATTTGCAGAAAAATTATTTTCGCATACAAAGAAGCTCAAGAAGCTTAAGTGCTTAAAAAATTATATTAGATTATTTATAGGGATTTTTTTATCAGCTTATAAGTTAGTTTTTTTTTATTTTTTCCATGCAGAATTTAAAAAGTAGGTAAAATATGTCAAATTTCAAGAACACATTCAGTAAATCCAAAGTAAATATTCATATCACAAAAGCTTCTCGGTCATAAAATAATTTTGCACTTGAAATTTCCCTGAAAATAATAAAGTTGGTATTTTGATTGCTTTATCACTGAACTTCGACGCAATTTAACTAGGAAAAGATCCAATTGGAATTGTTTACATTATAGTTTAATTGTCGTGTAATAGTTTTAATGTCAGTCACAATAATACTTCTTCCAAGATTAAAGTCAGATTCAAAAAATCTCTCATTAACAATCGTATATGATAACAATGATAAGGAAAATCCTCAATTTGCACAAATCTCATCATTTTAACGGAAAACATTCCTACAGTGATATTGTGCTGAAAAATTCTTCAATATCAGACTTAATAAACATTTAGTTGATTTTAGATTTCAAGTAAACCTCGATATTGGCTACTATCAGTTGCGCCTTTCCATAGTAATGCTGCTGCTTTCGCGCAAGGCCCTATCGTGACTCTCAGCGAACTTCTGCCTTGGAATTAACTTAGACGATTTTCCGATCGTTGCCATTAAGCGCGATCGGTTAATTGACTGATGAATAGGATATGGAAGAGGATTAAACTGAAGCGAGGTTCCGTCCTCAAACTGATAAACAATCATTTCAATACTCTGTGGAAATGTTTGTTTTGCATTCCTGTCCATCTTGAGGTAATTTGTAGTTTCATGGTGTGTGATTTTTTGATAAAATACAACATGGGTGGCATTTTGCATGATCCACTCGATTGTATATCATTGGTAATAAAGTGATTTGTCTTGGCGCTATCAACGCAAATTTGGATCAAGCCATGTCAACACGAGAACCATTCTACAGGTGTTCGTCTGAATCATTAGCTTGATAATGAAATTTTACATCACAATTAGCTTCAATACGCGCACAATTCGTCACACTTTGAGATAAAGTACAATCGCTTACTTGGCAAAAAAATGTGCGACATTTATTTCCTCTCTGAGAAATTACCACTCGTCTCTGAAACACCTCCACAGCGTGATACTCAATATTATCTCGAGCAGTTGGAGTTTTGAAAACATTCACATCAAAATATATTAGGAGGGATTCTCTGATTGTATGATTCAGTGCACAGTCATTCGCGAGAGAGGTAAAATCGTACACGAAAGTGTGGCTCTCCCTCGAACGTGTGCCACGATCACAACTGTAGCCATTCACGTTTCGTGCCTCGAGAGTGAGAGTTGTGCTGGCAAAGTGGGTGAGAAAATTGTACCGAAAACGGTGAACAGTGACAGAGAAAATGTCTGCGGAAAAGCCGATGGATAAGTGTATTATTGGAGGAACATCCAAAATCATCTACACCACCAACGGTGATGACAAATTGGAGGTATTTCTTGGTCTTATCTTGAGTTTCGATGCATATTTCGCGATGAAGTGGAAGAAATACATTGATGGAAGTTCGAAGCTGTAATCAATACATAGTAGAAACATATTCAATTTCAACTCAAAGCAGTATTGCAAATTTTTTACACCGCCGTCATATATTTTACGCTTCTGCTCCAGACATCGCGCAAACACCGCGAACACTGAGAAGAATTTATCACTTGGCAATGAATTTACCGTGATAACTCATGGAAAAATCACACCGGCTATGCTTAAGATCTTCATTGAATGCGTCACAGGCTTTTTCAATCTCTATGAGCGACAATCATGCCTGAATATACCACAAAAGAGATGATGTGATGAGTAATTGCTTAAGAATTTCTCCAGAGATATTCTCAGGTATTAGTTGCCCTCCATTGATTCGCTCACAGACTCACAGCAAGCTGAGATTTGTGTGAATGGGGGAATCCTCGTGTTTGAGAAAGATATTGAGCAAAGTCTAAACTGCTGAGTTTACAAGAATTCTTACAAAAAACGAAAGTGTTTCCGAAGTCATGCAGAACATGCTCAGGTGAAAATGAAACTATTTGAGCCTATCAAGAAACTGCCAATTATAGCTTTCGTGTTTTTGAATATAAAATCACAAAGCGAGAAATTTTTGATATACAAAAACTCTACATTGGTAATTAATTGTTTTACACAACCGCACAAATTGACTCACAAAACTACCTGTGCTGGTTGGAAAATTCTCTGTCGCATGTAATGACGTAGAAAATGGTCAATGCTCACTGGAGCTCATCAGAAATTTAAATGAATGCGCAATGCCGCAAAATAACTCAACACACGTGAAATCATAAGAATTTAGAGATGATTCTCTCAACGGATGCAAATGGAATTTGTGCTGGATAAAAAAAAGAAATACAAACAATACAGTAAGCTCGCAAATCATTCAAGAGCTAAAATTGGCTGAAAATAGATGTAAATTCCAAACTGGGAATTTTATTAAGAGAACACTGGTGACCAATGAATCGAGGGAGACTCTAAAAGCTTTGTGCTATCGATGCAGACTCTCTCAAACGTCCAATGGAGTCATGAACTGGGTATTGAAAGGGGTTGCAGTGCGGAAATATTTAATTTTTTCAATCAGTACATAGTGTTGGGCAAATTAGAAACTGCTGTGGATGAACGTATAATCCAGAGACCGCGCGATGAATTGGATTCCCATGCAGGTCGTGTAGTATTCAAAAGGCACACGCACGAGGGGGAATAATGAGTAGAACATATTTTATTTAATAAATTAAATTTATGAGTTCGGAGATTTTACTCTAAGAATTGAGGCTAAAAGATCTCCTCAAATGTACCTTCTGATCATGATCTCAGAGAAAGGTAGTTGACATGTAAGATTATTTATCATAACGTGATACTTCAGAACTCATTATTGATATTATCTATAGAGTGTGACAATGTTCTCTGTTTTCCTTTCATGCACTCGACGGTAACACATTAAGAGGTGGTCACTCGAGGGATTTAAATGGAAAGTGTTCTTTGGAGACACCAGTGCAGTTTCATTTCTCAAAGTATTCGCATCTAACTTGAAAAGTATTAATCTTGAGTCAGAACTGGTGCTTAAAAATATCCCATATTAAGATAAATATATCGCAAAAAGTTTCAAACACAATTCTCAAACGATTTAATAATAACAGTAACCGGAAAATTCACTTATTGAAATAATAAATAGTGTCTCACTTCAAATAAGGTGATTGATTACTGTGATAAGTTGCATTTTCAAAGCTGCGATAATTAATTGCAAAGGTCAAGTGCGAGAACGCGTTATTTGCTTAAACAGAAATCAATATAATTCGTGCCATTTCATTGACTTCACCTTAAAGGTTGTCTGGAAAGACAGTTTGTTTTCCTGATTGACGAAAATGACGAAACCTTTAGACAAACTTTCTTTTCCACTTATCAATTGTAATACGACATATAATCCAATTATAGTTTCACTTTAACTTTTACTCAATAAATTGTCAAATTACGAGAAACCCACAATAATATTTTTGAACATTATTGTCTTAATTACTGAAAATTGGAGCAAGTGAATTTAATGTATTGTAAATCTCGAAACTGTAGACAAATCAATGCAATGATATGAGAATTTATTAAAGAGCTAAATGTTTGCCTTGCTCTTTAAAAATGCACCTTATACAGTAAGACACACTTTATGTTTATTTACTGAAGCATGAAAACGACGCTATTCTCAAGTGTTGCGCTGTCTAAATTATTCAATCTGAACATCTGTCTGAACATTGCAAGTTTTTCCTATAATTTCTTTCAGGGTCATTTCAATTTCGGGCACACAATCCCGGAACTCACCACCAGCGACACCTGCAAACTACCCTTGCCTCAAGTAACTCCAGATTCGGGACGAACGAGTCGAGATTCCTCCACTGACTTTCCCACTGTGAAAGCGTTCATCAAGAAAATGGGCACGCTAGCTATCTTCACCGACATATCGCTGTGTCTGCTCTGTAAGCATAAATAGCAAATTGCAAACACTAATTGCTTCACTTCCTTATCAAATTATCACACATGTAAATTTGCATCAATCTTTCTTTCAGTTCTGCTTTGGGTAATTCTAGTCGAGCTCGCAATTATTCCCTCGAATAAGAGAGGTTTCATCTGCGGTGATATTTCCATAGGCTTCAAATTTAGAGGAGATACCATATCTACTGGTATGGTTTTAGGCAGTATTATCATACCACTGTTCCTAGTGAGTTTGGAGTAATTCTCAATATTTCCCCACCACATACTTTAATCCTTGTATCTTTCAGATATGGTTGATAGAAGCTCTCAAGATGAGAGGACATTCCAACAGGCTTCCTCTATGGAAGCGATCTCTATACGTGTCCCTTTACTGGTACAACAAATTCCTTATTGGCTTCTCCATTCACTTAGCCATTATTGAAGCTATTAAGACTCTTATGGGTGAGTCGAGACCACACTTTTTGGATTCCTGCCGTCCAGATACAGCTGTGAATTGCACAATTGGGTATAAACTCACCTCAGCATTTCATTTGTCAAATAAATCATTGAATCAATCTGTTTTTTACTATTACAGAACATTCATCAGTGACTTCACGTGTACAAATACCGAACTATCTTCACAGTTAGTGAACGACAGCTTCAGATCTTTCCCATCGGGACATGCTTCTGTGGGATTCTACGAGGCCCTCTTCATGGCTTGGTTCCTCTACAAGCGCTTCCACTCGGTTCGCAGCAAGTGGGTAGTTCCTCTCTTGCAGACGCTCTGTTTCGTCTGGGGATCAGCATGTGCCATCACTAGGATCACTGACAATCGCCACCATTGGTGGGATGTTCTCTGCGGGACCTGCATAGGCCTCGTATTCGCGGCATACGCTGTAAGTTCGAACCCGTCGTTAGGCTTTAGAATCCCAAGAAAAAGTCCTTTTCTCTCTTTTCAGGCGGGAATATTATGCCATAACTTCAGAGTCTTCAACATGAATTACAGTGATGAACATCTCGAATCATCGTCGTTGCACGTGCGAAGTGAAAAACTTATATCTGTAACGACAAATGGGAAAGACGATGTAAACGGCGACCATCATGCCTAGAATGATATTTCCTGTAGATTCAAAATTAGAAGGTCGCACTCTGACTTGGGAATTTTAGTATAATAATAATGTTAAAATCAATAATTATATTGTCACTTTGTAATTTGCATTATCTCAAAATCAAGCAATTATATATTATTATATTATTTTTCCAAAGACAGAATGTGAGCGACTATCATGAAAAAAAACTTGTAATATATTCTTCCTTTAGCTAATGCTTGATTCATTGGTTGATTAAGATCAATTTAATTACTTATAAATAATAATCATGCCTACTTCTAGGCATGAGAATGTCAAAAAGATTGAATAATTAATTTTCAAGAAGTATATTGATATTGCATACAAAGTATACATACATGTAAATTTTTCCCAACAAGATTACATATCAGAATTCCGATTAGAAAGAGTGAATTCCTTTAGAGACATTCCAAGGAATTGCATATCGCACTTTCTAAAGTGATAGTTTTTAAAATGTTAGATATTTAATAGTTTTCATTTTTATACCGTTGTTTTGCTCAAGTGCGTTTTAAGTAAAATGTACAAAATGTGACCAAGAGTTTTATTGGTTGCTTTCATTAGATTTAGTGGCTATTTTTCTGTATATACACATTATTGGAGGATTCATTTACGCTTTTGAATCATTTAATAAAGAGATTTTTTTTCCGTAATACCTAAAACTCTCTGTTGAGTACTGTGAAGCCCCTTGAGCGCTAAAATTTTAGTACAACCACCAATCCACGTGTTTGCGGAAAATCAACAACAGCAATAGATCATATCTTTATTGCCATAATCATTTATTCAGGCGCGTGTTTCAAATTAATGAATAATTAAATATTAATCGACACACCCCTCTGACATTGTATTTGCTTCAGAAACCTCTTTGGTGTGTGCTGAGAAATTTCACTTGCACTCCAATCCGAGTGTACATACATATAATCGACGTAGTATCTTGAATACTATCAGTGTTGCGTAAATCATTGGCAATCTCTGGCCATAAACTAAAAAAAGTAAACACAGGGGTGATAAAATGAGTAAAAGAAACGGTGTTTAGAGGTGTCAGAGACACTCACCCTGTGGGCAATTAAACACATTATTTGGAAAGTGTCCATATTTATAGAAAGCATAAGATCGAGGAAATGGAAACAGTCTATTTATACAATATTGCAATTAGCCTAATGTGCATTTTTCTATATTTAAAGATGCACTCTGACACCGAACTGCTGCAAGTGGAATATCAGAACGAGAGGAGTGCCAACAGTACACCTCTCTTCGCCGGCTACAGAACCCAGAATTATCCAGAAAGACGCGTGAAATAAACCAGTCAATTTATATGAGCTGTTTCTCTATCAAGTCAATATTCTATCGCATATCGCGTACTAAAGTTACGCAAAGGCACATTTTCTGACAGTGTCTTCTCTCGTGTGTTTTCGTATCAAATTTGTCGAACGTTAACGTCTCGGGACGGAGGATTTAACAGCATGATTTGTAAAGAGAACGCCAGTATGCTTTTATCAGTCGACGAGTGCCATCTAAATTGTTGCTAAAGACAGTGCATTCAACTAGAGAAAAAGAGGACTGTAACACTTCGTGATCTTGTATGAGTCAAGCATAATTCCTAACATATTTTCCATCACAAGATGCGGGACTTATATGGATTACAATGAACTTAATTAGTGAGACTTAATTATACCAAAAAAGAGGTTGCTCCAGAAGCATAATTGAATTTTTAGTGCTGTGCAGTTAACATGATTATTACCCATTTGAGGAGGAAATTCATATGATCTTGTGAGTAAATTCTATCAGTGTTTGTGATGATTTTTTGCTTAAGCCACACATTTGCAAATTCTTCCGAGCTAATCTCTCGATAAGAATTCTTTATGTGCCGAAATTCAATTTACGTCGAAAAATTGAGATTATTTCTGCCCAATATCAATTAGCGAGCCAGACGATTGCTCCAGAGACGAAATCCAGCTTTTTCTTAACTTATAATTCTACACAGAGCTTTATTTTGTTGATCTTACAACCGGAATATCCCTAATTTTTGCTAAGTGATATTATTGAAAGTGTGTAAAAAGCCTTGTCGCAATGTATCATCTTAAGTCTCAGCACATTTTTTCAGCCTCAAAGTGACCAAACCACATTTTAATAATGCAATTTAGAGTTGCAGTGCGATATCATATAATAACAGTTGAGAGGAGTGAAATATAAGACATTGCTGAGACAAAGGGAATGCAGAGAGCATAATCTGTTGGGAAATTGTCTTGCATGCACACTTTAACCTTCTTGACTCTTAATCTCTCTCTTTTAATCTAATTTCAGGGCCATCAATGAATGGATTCTTCGTCCATTTTTCCAACTTATGGGACTATCAAGTGACTTCTTTCGGATATTAATCAGAAATCATGCATCACATAGGGTGATGTCTCATGTTCATGGCTAAAGACCCCTGCATTACTCAACTAGCATGTTGTCGCCAAGTATAGCTGTGGACATTATTATTTGCTTCCTCTGTGAGTATTCCAGATACATAAATATGAATTAGACGAAAATTTTCACTCCAATCAGCAGTGAAAATGCTTCGCCCACGAGGACAATTTTGTAATTGGGCGCGCGTGAAGTTGCCAGACAGGAAGAAATTTGTCTCTAAACTGTGTAAAATCACACTAAAGTCTCGTAGTCATTTGAGTAATCGTAATTCACAAATGAGAGGAGATTTTACAGAAGATTTACACGACAGTTATTTGCAGTGTGGCCAGAAAATTGTGATATATGGTTAATTGGATAACCAAAGGAGACTCAGAATGAAGATTTATGTTAGCGTTTCTTTACAAAATTGTACAAAATACCCTACAATTGAACAAAGAGACAAGATGAGAGTGAAAGATTGTAGTTTGGTTTCAAAGCTTTCTTGCAGATTGATGAAAAAAAAACATTCACGTTAAGTTCAATTCCGTCTGTAGTGAAAGTCAGTCACACTGATAAGAACTTAGGAATTCTATTATCTTATCGATAAGATTTTTAGACGATTTCTCAAGCGTAAATCGATCTTATCTTAATCTGAGGTGGAATTTTTAATGTTTCGAAAGGTACTAGTCAGAGAAATTCCTGTGATCATAATTCAGAATCATTCGAGGGATACAAGAAAAATTGATCATCTCATGAGTAATAATTTGTAGAAATTTATTACTCAAAGCGTCTCATGATCTGATAATACCTGTATCAATGAGAAGAAAAAGGACTGATAAAACTTGATAAATTGAAAATATGAAGCAATAAATAAGAAGTTGCAATTAATCGTCCGCAGCAATTTTGCTGTCATGCAAAGTTTTTCATGAAAACATCTTCGTTCAATGTAAGCTGCTACACATATCATGATAAATAGGCGGTAATAAATAATTTTAGCCAAAGTGCAGCATAATTTCTACCACATTACCATTTAGTTAGCAAATTGATAAATGTTTTGCTGGCTCTGAGATGAAAGACTCATTCAAACACTAAACATCCGGTATCGATTGGATGCTAAGTGGACATCAAAGATAAACACTTATTTATACTTTCACGTCCAACTTTTATACGGCAATTGCTTTTCAATCACACAAAAGCATTCCATTGTGGATACACTTGCAATTATTGCAGCAAAATATGATAAGAAAAGTCCAATGGCGAGAGAGTCATGCGTTTCACCACCAATAAATCTCAATATGTCTCACTATTTTGCACTTGGTTTTAATGGACTTACAGAAAAACATGCAGTGAAAATCGCTAATTTTGTCGCTCTTTTGTTGGTGAATTTCTACAATTTTTGGGACAACCCTAAACAAGTTTAACTATAAACGAAACGAAATATAATCAATAATTATGTTTTATTTCGACAAAGTTCCGAGAATTCACTTGATACGCCTGATATAAAACAGATCCATTAAATTGCCTGACCGGTACTTCTGAAGAGCCTTTATCAGTTCCACCTGAAATTATTGGAATTATAAATCGAACCAATTTTCGTCAGTGATAACATAAAATTGATAACGCGTTATCTTGAGACACCACGATATACTCAGACTTTCTTGGCTTCTCACAATTACATATTCTTGCTAGAAATATAAACAAATCCGAAGTGAAATATGTACATCTTCCTATATTTAAAAATGAATACATATGATGCAGTTGATATTTCATTCCCGTGTTTCACGTTGTCATACACACTTGCAACCAATCATCCACGTGAAATTGTCTCAGAGTAAATATGTATATGGTATGTATTTTAAGCACTCGTCGTTGCTTTTTCTTGACAGTCGTTTTTCCGCTAATTTGCAGCGCGGACATCAAACATCATTACCACGTGCGCGTTAAAATGTTAATCGAGAAACGATGTTAGAGCACAGCATGTTCCACAAAATGTTACATAGTCGAAAACCTACTCTGTACGATATCGTATGATTTGCACACAGTCAAAAACCCACCACTCTCAATAAAACCGCACACCAAATGATTTTTTCCAGTAGTAGTGAATGCCAGGCACGAAATGCTCACATCAATTGAGCACTTTTCGTACAGCAAGGCAAAATATTTACGGAGTTTTCTCTGAAATCGCCTCGAAGGTGACAAAATACAAGTCCCCCAATGCGTGCCTGGCCACGAAAACGACATCGAGTTCTTCCCAAATTGTGAACGTTATTCATGTATTTTGTGTCAGTCCACTGAACAGTACAGACTGACTTTCGAGTGTAGTTGATGGCAATAAATAGTGCTGAAGGTGTGAAATTGAATGTGAAGAACGTCAGACAAGTGCATTTTCCGCATGAAATGTCGCGGTAGATAAATAGACAATTTGTGAATATACATTTATTTGTGGAAAAGCCCAAAGAAAGCACTATACCAACTTCAGAGCTGTGAAGCAATACAGAGGCAAATTGATTTCTGACACACACTCGTAAACATCTCACAAAGTGCTGTCTAATCTAAAGCTTTACATAATTTTATAGCGATGACAATCAGATTCGCAAATTAGATTAATGAAGGGAAAATCAATAGAATTGTGATATTGTGAGGAATACACATTTCTCTGCTTTTGCAATCCAAAGTGTGATTTTTGCCATAAGAAGCAAGTCTTCCAGCAAGTCATTAATCTCGCCAACTGACAATATAACCACTGGACACTTTGCTCAAATGATTTCTCTCTTTAGAGTAGAATAATAATAGCTCTTTATGTGAAATGCACAAGTGATTCTTTCACTTGAGATGTGATTTAAAGAAACCAAAACGTATTGCAGTTGACGCGCCAGTAGCGAACATACAAAGCTTTAATAAGAAAATTAGAAATCGTGCGCTAGAATGTTTCTAAACAATTTTCCCATAAATGCCAACGGAATATTCAGACTAGAAATAATGAGAGAGAAACTCAGACGAATGCCAAAGAAACAAAAGATAATCGCAGGTGAGAGTAATCACAAACGTCACGTTGCGATATGTATGGAAATATTAATTTAATAAAAAAATAATGGCTTCCCTTCTCTTCCAGTTGCTGCATGGTTTGCTGTGATCGAATGTGGCTGGTTTCCTCACAAGCAGCGTGAGTTCCAGTGCAAGGACCCATCGTTGTCCTTCAAGTACAATGGAGATACGATTACAGCGGCAGTTATTGTCTTATCAACTTTTATTCCATTCTTCATTGTAAGTCAATAATAACTTATTGCAAATTTATTTCCCTACTTGACTCATGCACATTTGCTTCTCTAGTTATGGGTCACCGAAGCTTTCTATGCAAAACCCACAAACCTGAAGCTTTCACGGACCAGAACTTCGCTGAAGAAGGCTTATTATTGGTTTAAGAAGTACTACATAGGCGTGATAATGAATTTAGCAATAGTTGAAACCCTTAAAGTTATCGTTGGAGGTCTTCGTCCTCACTTCTTCTACTCTTGCCGTCCCGACGTTATGGACGTCTGCCAACCTGGGTATTGCACAATCTACGAGTGTGCAAAAATGCGATTTGTTTACAATCTCACGATCTTTTCAGAGAAATCATTTTCCGCTACACGTGTAAGAACACTGTCGATAGTTTAGCTTTCGTCAGAGACAGTCAGAAGTCCTTCCCATCTGGACATTCGTCATTGGCATTCTTCGAAGCGATTTTCCTGATTTGGTACTTCCAAAAGAGAATTCCCAAACTGCGATGCATGCTGTTAATGCCTCTTATTTACACCCTCTGCATTTCTTGGGCGTGCTTCGCATCTGTCTCAAGAATGACTGATCATCGACATCATTGGTTTGATGTTCTGGCTGGAGTAATTTTAGGAATAATATTGGCATATTTCACGGTAAGTTTAGTCACTTAAATTGTTTCTCTTCTTCAGTACAACATATCTTTCTATTTTCAGTGCAAAGTCATGTGCAACAATTTTAGAGGTTGCAGGAATAATACAAACTCTGATGTAGCATCCCAAAATGGAGTTCTGGCGAAAAATTCCCTCAAAGATCGCGAAGAGACAACTCTGAGTACTAATTTAAGTGCAGTATAACACACATTTTTATAGAGAAGATTGAGAAATACTTTCTCACTTGTCTGTGATACTCAAAACTGTATTATGATCATTACCTATTGCCTTTCATCACACAATTCATTATATCATATCAGTAGTAAACTCTCGCATTTTTCCATAAGATTAAGCCAATTGATTTTGACTTTTGATAGTATTATGGGTATTATGTTTCATAAGAGTAAGAACATCCTTTTATCACGTAGACTGGATACTAGAGATTCCACAATTATTATTTTCCTTTAAGTAAGTCACAAGCATAGTCAACTAGAAAGACAGTCTTGTATACAAACTTTCCAAGAAATGTAATAAAAAAAACTGCATATGCAGAAAAAGGTGAACATGCGAATAAAATAAGCGATATTATCGAAATGTTATTATTTACGACGTTCTGAATCATGTGAAGAAGAAAATCGAACAATAGTCCCCCATTCGATCTCTTTTGAAACAGTTTGGATGTTATCGCGCTCGTAAAGTATATTAATTTCCGATCGGCCCTTCGCCTCTAGCATTCTTCAAGTACACTTTCGCGCAAAAGGTTCATTCAACGCGTGGTAACCATCTCAAAGTCAGTTGCTAATGGATTCAACAGACGGTAAGTAAGAAAATTCTTCCATACACTGCAAGAATGGTGCGCAACAGCATATAAATGTAACTACAATTGTGTACAAACTCCCTATTCAATATTGCTTAATTGCATATACATATCCGAGAGATACTTGAGACAAAAATATTATGTAGGTCAAGCGTTTACCTTACCTCCAAATGGCTGCGGTTGACGAAATTTGATTATTTGATGCACTTGTAAAGCGTTTTCTCTAATGGAAGGTTGAGAAGTGAGTTTATTTGGTAAATTATAATGCCTTCAGTATCTCATATTCTCTGTAAAAGTTCTTAACTTTTCTTAAATATCTATTTGTCTTCCTATGCTCAATAAAATTTAGATTTCTGCACAATTGGCCTCAGTGGACATGACACAAATGTACAATATTTATTGATTTTGATTAAAAGCTGATACGAGTAAACCTTCTTCAATGCAAAATCCTTGTCCTTATCGTTCATGATTCGCAATTAAACGATCTTCCCAAATGTCATCGGAAAACGTCGGAAAGATGAAAGCTGAATCCGCGAAATTCGCAGAATTACACTTTATTCACTATCTTTCTGCAATTATCATGAGTTCCAGGGAATTTACTTTAAATCAAGCCAATGCAATGTCACTTTAGTGATCTCGTTTGTTCTCAATTAGATAGCAAATGTTCTGTAGCGAAAACAAACTAAAATGTATGGCGAATGCTTCATATATTAATGAAAATATTACAACGTACTTTTAATTGCTGGCCAATTAGCTCCTCGTCCTGTGATTTGCCTATCAAATTAAGAAGTTTTCATGCAAATCTCAAAAGATAAGTGACAAGTGGCGGGAAAACTTGTTATTCTCATCACACGTTTCGTCATATATGTATCGCTGTATTAATTAGAATTTTATAAATTTCATTGAGTTATTTTTCTGGTTCCCCTCGCAGTTGGGCCACTCTTCGCATGGCCATGTGTCTCTGTGTGGGTTTTCAATACTCCCATAGGGCCTTATCAAGTGAACATTTTAGCCGCCCGATAATTTCATAAGGCATTTATAAATATCTTGTTTCTGTGAGTGTAACAAGGGGACGGCATGTGCGATCACTAAATACTACTAAGTGGTGAGAATAAGTAAAATCAGTCCTCACAAAGCCACATTAATGTGAACATCTCGATTTCAGGCGTTTGTTCACAGTTCTGACATTTTCCATCTCTCCCGCCTCACTATCTCTGTGTCAGTTATCAGGAGTGGCATGGGGTGAAATCAAGGCAAAAAACCATCTTATTTAAGTCAGTGTTTGGCTCTCTAGCCTTTTTTACCACGTGCATTCACCAGTGGAGTAAAAACAAGAGGTGGCGGAAAAAATTGCGCGAGAACTTCTGTTAAATTTCTGTGCTCTTCTCCTCAACTTGGTAGCGAAAATACTCACGTCTGGAGATATAAAAGATCGGAGTGCTCGAGATTATACTCCAGTACTATATACTGTGTTGTACAATAAATTAAGTGAAATTTACAGCCATCATAACATTTAATGAGTGTTTAAGTACATATATTTGATCAAGAAATCGTATTATCAGCCAAATTGTCACAGTTTCTGTAAATACGCATATAATACTGCAATTCTTGCGGATAGAGCCTCACCATTGTGCGAGATAGGCGAGCAGTTTTAGTCACGGAGTGACACTGAAATAGATCACTCGTAAATTCAACTTCCTCAAACCATATTGCTAAAAGTCGTGAGAACCCAAGTCTCAATAGTGCCGATTGTTATGCTGAGAGCGTGAAGAGTTATAATGGAGACGATAGAACGCCAGGAAGCCGAGTCTCTGCGCCCTTTGCAAGGTAATTTGTGGAAAAGCGTTTCCCTCAATGTGAACCTCTTGATAAATCGCATGATAAAATCCTCCACAGTTGATGTTTAAATTTAGATATTTAAGACTTTCTCATGTTGTTTGTGCGGAAAGTCTATTTATATGTTGCCCTCACTTTATTGTTCTCCCAATTTCTTATTATTTCAAACATCCTATAGATGGATTCACCCTGAAATTCACACCGAATTGGCGCAAAACCAAGTCATGGTCTGGACCAAGAAAAGTCATCAGGCTCTTCCTCCTGGGAATTGTCATGCCAGGAATACTAATCTCGGTTCCCATTTATTTAAGGTATATTTGAAGCTTCTCGAATGTGGCAATTGCACTTACTCATCAAACATAAATTGCGCACTTAATACAATGCAAATCAGTCTGAGATCCGCCCTGAAATTTCAATAGAAAATCCACCAGCTGCTTTTAGTCTCAAAGGTCTTTCAGATAATGCAGAATCTTGATACTTGAATGCCATAATCAATGCAGATAAGATTTCATACAAAATAATGTATCAATCGATTGCGATTTGTCTGAAGAGGCACTGATAGAAAATTTGGAGATAAAATAGAAAAAAAAGTGCAAGTTATTTTCTGTCTGCGATTGATCAAATGAATACTTGATTTGAACAGTCAAAACAACTAATTGAACACTAAGCTTTGCTCGTTGTTTCTCAGTGAACATCTCTTTTTTATTAAAGTCTATCTTTGCTGATAAAATATGTACGTAAATTGTAATGCTGATTGCCTATGTTCCGCTTTTTTTTAAGCTTACAGAGTGAACCTATAGACATTAACTCATTATTTTGATGTGAAATGACTTCATTACAAATTTCCACTCACCCTGTTACCAAGAATTCCACAAATTTTAAGATTTCGGGGCATGTATGTTCAGATAAATGAGAATTTTCCACTCACCGCAAATGTTATATAAGTGAAAACTTCCTTAACATCATCGCTCATAGTAAGGCCTGCATTTCTTATCACGCCACTCAATCTGCCAGCAATGTTTCCTCTAATATTCTATTAAATCAATATTGCTTTAGGTATCGAGTATACGATGCGCAGCTTTATCCGCTAGGAATTTCAGACATGCGGCTCATAGACAGCAAAGTCTCAACAACGTGGTGCCAAGTAATGTCTCTCTAAAGTAACACAGTGCGTCCACTTGTTTCTCATTGCACTTCAATGTTGTGTATTTCCAGCGGCAAATTGTCAAAGCCAACGTTTCCTTTAATGCCTTTCTCATGCCCAATTTGCCCACAATCTCCAAAGATCGTCTGTCTGTGGATATGACGAGGCACCTGCTGCTCGATGACGACATGAAAGAGTATTGGGGCTTTTATCTGCTCAAAGGATCCACAGTTACTGTGTCCAGCTGCTCAAGGTACGGAAAAATCTCCCATTTATTGCATCTCCGTCAACACTGTGATTAACTCTGACGTTAGTTTCTCAAATGTTTGCGAAATTTACAACCTCTTGGAGGTCTTGGAAATGCAACGGATAGTCTCGTGATAATAATATAGTTGCAAGTCAAATACAAACGGCCTTTGCAATTGCATTGAGCATCTTGGAACATCTTATCTGACAGATTACAACTTAATCCTCAGAAGGAGAAATTCTACCGGTGAATATTAGTGTTGTCATCCGGCCGTGATAGTCGTAAAACTTGTATTTATGATTTTTTATGATTCTATACTACCTCTGACGATCCGAAAAAAGCAATCGAAATAATTACGTCGTCATCATTCTCTCAATTTTATTGCGATCATGTCTCTCTCGAGTGTTTAATTACTCCCTCGGACTGATAGCGCGTGCACTTGATCGCTCATCGTGCGGAAAATCATCTGCGATACCCATTGGCTTTGTCTCTTACGAATTTTACTAATTGCTCCGTCAATTTTAGATGGCCCGGAGCATCTCTCATTTTAATTAGAGGTCACAGACATCTCCACGAGTGCGCCTACATTGGCGACGACTCATCTGAGGAGGATGAGGAACTGCGGGAAATTGAATTGGAGCGCGAGAAGAAGGAAGTGAGTGAATCAATAAACATACTAAGCAATTTGCAACATCACAAATTTCCCTCTTAATTCAGCAGGACGAGAATGGCGATGCCCCATCCAATCGTGTCGATTTACTGAAGAGATCCAAGCCAGAGATTGCCTTTCTCGATCCAGTTGCCCAAGAGAATGCCAATAAATACACATTAAATCGCAATAGGAAGGCGTCTGCTGAGACAAGCGAGGATTCCGATATTACAGCAAAAGAAATGAAAGAACTTCTCAGTCAGCTCGTGTACAAGGCCGAAAGATCAAAGCCCAATAAGACAATCTCAACTGTACACTCAGTAGAAAACGACGGAGACAATGTAGCGTCGGAAAAAGCGGAGCCAAACACAGAATTCGTGAATCGTGGGATTCAAAATAAGTCTGCGAAAAAGACCGAAAAAGGGAACAATGCCAAAGACAATGTGAGTGAATATTCCAATATCAGTGAATCCCTAATGAAAGACGATAAAAATCAAACATCTTCGGAAGTGTTTGATGAATTGCTGCACAAGCTGAGAAACATGGGCCTCAGGGGGCGAAAAATTCTGCGAGAATTGCAAACGGAGTTGATAGAAAAAGTGGGTGATCAAGTCTCAACGAGCGACATAAAGTTGGCATTTAGTGGGAAAAGAGACAAATCAAAGGAGGACAAATCGAAGGAGAACAAATCGAAGGAGAACAAGGGAGAATTCGACGAACTCCTCCGAAAGCGTCGTGATATTATCTTCAAAACAGCCATCGAGGCGGATTTGTCTCAAGACGACGGAGAGAAGAATTCAGCTCTGGAAGAGGGATTTACACCAGACGGTCATGCTGAGCATCACTACGTCCTCAATGAAGCCACTCTCAATGACAAGTCAAACTCTGAATTTTGGTCATCTTTCTCTTCAAGTGAAGAAGCACTTCTCAATTGCGCTGGATTGATTCTAAGTCTCCCACTGACGCCGCATCGTGACTGCGATCGCAAAAAGTCCGAGGATCACCTGCACAGGGCAAGCTTTGCCAACACCATCACTTACACGTAAGGAATAATCACTCTTTGAGATCCTATTTTCCAACATCTAATCTTGCTCTCTTGCTCAGTGTTCCCCGAACTGGATACTACTTCTTCGTCTTCAACAGCGAAAATGAGGTTCAGCAGAACTACATTCGCGTGAAATTTGACCTGCACAAAATCATTTACAACGTCACACAACCAATGGCAGTTTGTAATCAAACGACGAGTCAGTGTTCTCTTCCGCTGGACTTCCTGAGCAATGAAAAGGTGGTTCTCGAGTTGCCGGTGAAGGATAAATCATCGCACTCAAACGAAGAATACGTTTTCACATCTGAATGTGAGCCTAGGACAGCTGTCTACCTGCTATGCGTCCTGGCTGTTCCCTTCTTCATCCTACTCTTTGCCTTTCAATGATTGACTCCGTTGCTCAAGATTCTGTACCTGATTGATCAATACTAAGTAAGATTAACTGGCTAGTGCTTTCATAAACCGTCAAAGTTCAAGATTCAGTTGTGATCTATTCGTAAATAAACAGAATTTTTTATACACGAATCTGTCTATCAAACACAAATAAGAAAATCCAGCTTAAAGAATAGGTCTGGTCTTACCTTTTGTCGTGATAATTTTACTTTCTTCGGAATCTTGAGTAGCTCTGAAAGAAAACAATATGGCTGTAAATGTAAATGTATGCTCAGACCAGAGAGGAAACTTTTGAATAACTGTATCCAATCAGAGAAAATAGTATAATTGTTGTTATGTTCAAAGAGTAGCTTTAAGTCCATCAGATTAAGAGAAATATTCTCTTCCTGATAGCCTTAAAACTGCCTTAGACTAATCCAATTCGATGAGATGAATTTTTTGCATCTTGGCGTATGATTGATTGTAAGACTAAGAAATAGGATCAAGAAAGACTGGTATTTTGTTACAAGCGTTGTTGAATAAAATTTATTTTACTAAAATTAACCAATAAATTTCAATGTTTTTAAATAACGTCCAGAGGTGAAGGAAAATAAATATTTGGGCTTAGAAGCGATGAGTGAGTCCCAATCCGACGTTGTAATTGGGCTTAGATGTGCCGAAGGGTCCTCCAAAGTGGCGCTGATAGCCTCCGGTGGCGTCCAAGGACGTCATTCCATTAGGGCTCCTGTAGAGATTGGCTTTGCCCTCAATGCCGAGACTCGTGCCGAAGCGATGCTGATGCTGGGCGTTCACGGACGCAGATCCTCTTGGTCCGGTGTAGTCAACTCCCGCACCGAGAGTCGTGGGTCCTGTGGGATGCCACTGGCGAGACACGCTGCCATGTCCGTCGACGCGATGTCCGCCGTTCTCATACAGAGTTCCCCGAGCGCCAATTGTTCCCTGAACACCTCCTGCACTTCCTGGAGTCACACCGCCGAAGATCGTCTGGCGACGCACGCGATCCCTCACAGGCAGAGGCAGAAAATGCAGCAACTCTTCCACGAGATCTAGGGGAACGGACTCCTCAGGATACTCCAAAGGATATGCAAGAGCAGCAGACACTGCGCAGGCAAGTAAGAACACAACTTTGACTGAGATCATTTTGAATGAGATTCTTTGAAGGAATTCACTTGACTTCTTGCCAATTCAAATTGCTGAGAACTTGTGATCCATCTGAAAACACCGCGACTTTATATATACTCCCGATGAGATGAGGAAAACTTCCCGTAATCAGAGAAAAATCCCCTTCGCAACGTCTCAACAGAATTATCATTTCTAACACAGGGAATCACCGCTCTGGGGATTCCTCCGAACTGCAGTGTATGGGAAGACGATCATCCTTCAGTACTCACTTCATTTTTTGTCCACTTCTTATGAATGAGAGTGAAATGATCTCATAGCGATCAAGAGCAAAAAAACGCATGATTGAGAATGAACAAAAGCGCCAAAAGCAAAAGGTGAATGACTAGAATGTTTTTTCTTCAATTATATAACACACAAGCGCATTTTCTTCAATATGAATACTTCTCAGCGCTCTTTCAGTCACTGATAACCTTTGATTATAAAATGTCTTTGGGGGTTTTAGCGTATAAATTCATTCGCACAGGATAATTCCAGCATTAAATTATCTTCTCCATCATTCTATCCAACAACAGGACAACTTTAAAAGCATTTCCACTTTCCCCGAGACACTTTCACACTCACTCAATTCAATTATCATATCGGAGGAATAATTACATTTACCTGCTGTATCTTCATCCCCTTGTGAAGATGCGCCAGTCTTTAGAGGAAATGCTAAAAATAGAACGCAACGAATGGTTGATGAGCGGAAAGACAAGGAGTTGAGCCTCATCGCGAATGAAAGCGAGCAAGTAAGTGTGCGAAATGCTTTATTTCATTCTTATTGCTTGTATAACCACGATACTATCTTGCATTTTGAGGTAATTGCAATATTCTCAAAAACAAATCTTTGCTCTATTTCATTATTCCTTGACTAGTTCAACCACCTAAAGCCTGTTTCTATTTATGGCACTCTCACTAATTGCAGTGCGCTCAATGTGAAAACTCTGCTATTCTCAGCTCAAGAACAATAGAGTTACCATCAATGTGAGTTCATTCTCGTTAATGCAAACTTTGAGTCATCATAAAGCTGGTTTTAGTCATAAAAATATTGTATATAAAATTATTTTAAATTTATCGCAAAAAGCTTCAAATACTTTCGGATTTCTCCACAATGTTCTTCCTTTTTTTCCATTCAAATTTGCGCTTGAAGCAAAGAACTGGGATTTCAATTGTTTGATCAGTTTCCCTCGTTACTGAGCGTTTTAGTCTTTGGCAGATTTTTGTGATCTGGATACAGAATTGGTGCATAAATTAAAGCAAAATTACTCACTCTGCAGTTTTGATTAAAAGCTTCAATCTTTGACTATTGCTTCAATGCGTTGCAAACAATTCACGACGTCATTACTAAACCCTGGCTTAACTCGTGCACATCGACGATCCACCACACGTGATGAGCTTGTTGTTCTTCTGCACGAACGAACGCAGCGTTTCGAGTGTCTTCAGGCAAATAACCACGCAGCATCCATTTGCCACACCCTCGTTTAGTGATGAACACTTGCACGAAGAGGAATTTCCACCACTTTCCTCACGAGACGAGCTTTCGCCGATGAGCTTCTCCACTTCTGACGAATTATTGTTCGAATCTGTGCTGTTCTGTGGATTCTCCGGTGATCTGCATGGATTATTGGGACCACAGCCACCTTGACACCCTCCGGATTGATGATCGCACGTGCATTTCGTGCATCGGCAAATATCAGCATCTGCTGTGATGTCCTGTGGAAGCAATGAAAGAAATCACAAAGTCATACAGTTTAATTGTTAATCAAATGCCTCATAAAAGAAATATTGCCATTCAGAGACATTGAGTCAATAAAGTACTTCGCAAATAATCAAGACAATTATTTAGTGATTCGAATTGTTATTTATCTTTCACAGATAAGCAATTATCTAACACGAGTCTAAAGAGTTTAGCCAAGAGATAAAGTTTTGCCATTTTATGAACTGCGATAAAAAATATTCCATTGCCGGCAAGACTTTTGCAAACACACATAATGTTGTTGGTTGGAGTTTTAGAGAAAAAAATATACCATAAACCCTGTGAAAAATTAGGATGCTAAAGCATTTCTCTAATGAATCTGTTACCCACATGACAATTCGTTATCTTTGTTGTTCAAGTTAGAAATTTGTATTATGTATTCGTACAAATATTGATAAAGCTTAAAATTAGTCAACAATGTATTTGCCGAAAAATTGCTTTTTCTCCAACTCACCTGAAGAGTTCTGCTCCCATTTCCGAGTACCGAAGCCGTTCTCACCATTAACATCTCATCTGCACTGCTTCCTGTCACCGTCTCAGGGAATTCCACGTTGTTCTGCATGTTCTCAAATTGCTCAGACATCATAATCTTCCCCTGGAGTGACATTGTGGACGTCGGTGTGTTGAGTGTGTCGAAGAAAATCTCATTGAGCAGAGCTTCAGCCTCAATTTGCTGCTTATTGCCCAAATCCGTGGGGATCGGTGAGAAGTTTGTGCCAATTTCCAAAGTGTTTCCACTAGCAGTGAGATTTTCCTGGCCATCCTTCTCCTTGTCCGACCCAAAGAGCTGCTCAAATGTTATCTGTTCAGCCTCAAAGGTGGACCCAATGAAGTCCGTGTCCGCCGAGGCGATGTTGAAGGGAAGATCAACGTATGATGTGACACCGGTTGGCAGAGCCATGCAGGCCGGAGTGACGGGAACTGCAGGCATTATGGGCTTCGAGGCCAGTTCAGATACGTCTATCCAGGGAGATGGAATCTCTATTTCATTAGCTATGGCCATTTCGATCGCCTTCGACGTCTCCAGGTTAAATTGCTCGGCAGATTCGTCACTCTTTTCCGTCGACTTGAGAATATCCGTTATTGAATCCGACAAATCATCATGCAACTCTGCCTCCGAAACCTTCCCATCGCCCCTCTCTTGCGTCGGTATCTCCCTCTTAGCCTGATTGTACTTCTGATGCGTCTTCACATGGGACTTGAGACTGTGAGCCGTGCTGAAAGCCTTCGTACAATTGTCCTCGCGACACGAATACGGACGCTCTCCTGTGTGAATTCTAATGTGCGTCTTGAGATGATGCGACGCTATGAAGGCCTTCCCACAGCCATCCTCGGCGCACTTGTACGGTCTCTCCTGAGTGTGCGTCCTCATGTGCTTCTTGAGATCACTGAGCGTGGTGAAGAACTTGTGGCACATCGTACAATTCACTGTCTCGCCGTTGTGCAGGCGAAGGTGAGCCCTCAGGCGATATCGAGTGTTGAAGGACTTTTCACAGCCACCCTCTGGACACTCATAGGGCTTCACCTTCGTGTGAACGCGAATGTGGATTTTGAGGCTGTAGGAGGTAAGAAAAGCCTTTCCACAACCATCCTGGGTGCATTTAAACCGATATTCACCTGCAAAGTAGAATCTTGATTAGAATACCTCTTCATAAACTCACTTGTCATCATTACCATTTCATAGCGATCACTATAATGGCAAGCGTATTTGGGAGAATTTCGGAAAGTTATGAATTTTTCAGTGAATGCATTTGGGAGAAGGAATTCTTACCCCTGTGAGTCTTCAGGTGTGTCCTCAAATTACCCACAGTGCTGTAACTTCTAGAGCAACTGTCATAGTTACATCGATATCGCGCCAAGATGTGCGGTTCGGAGCCCTAAAATAGATTAACAAATTATTATACTGCCAAACGGTCATTATTTTACGCTTTCTCCACGGTTATTACTGCGCTATATGGCTATTTCAAGCTCTTTCCCAAAGAGACTGATGTTTTGGGTATAATAAATAGATGATTCCAGTAGAGTTAACTTGCAGCTCGTCCAATGAATTTTATCACACTTCGAGAGTTTGATATAAGAATGTGAAATGAGAGAAATTAGGGCAAAGAGATCAAACAGTTCGAGTAGAGAAAGAGATAAATTTAAGGTATTTCTGTACTGAGAAAGAGAATTAATAGAACAAGAATTCAAGCCTCTTCACCAAAGCCTAAACCACCAATTCGCCATGCCAGAGCACTGTTTGATTAAAAGTCATCGTGAGTGCAATATCATTCCTGGGACGGATCTGCGAGTGACTCTACACAGAGTGCAGCCAGTGACAGAAATATGGATAAAACCAGCACATTTGTTTAGACATCTTCGTCTCGCCACTACGATGAGATACTTGGGTGATTTATGGTCAGCACTCGCTGTGTTATTAGAATGAATAATAGCTCTACATTGCGATCCGATATGCTTCTGATAAAGTTACTGCGACGGAGGAATGGAAGCTCTGACGAGTCACAAAAGCGGGGCGTATATTTTTCTCTTGGGGGGCACACAAGAAAGGACGACACATACGCATTCAGGCGGAATGATTTGCACAGTTAATGAAGGTAGTCTAGTGAGGATTATGCTATTAAATTGTGGCGATAAGGAGTAAAACACTCACGAAATGCCAAATACCTCGATTGTAATCGTCGCATGCGAGGACTCTCCGCTGAGTTTTTCTTTGACTCCCGCTCGTGTATGGAGGGATATTTCATCGGGTAGGACTGATTGCTCCATGTAACTGATCAGTGTGATCGGGGAGCGCGGGATTCACGGAATGTACAGTGGTAATTTGTTGCATCATCGGAAGTGTCAGGGGAGGATCGCATCCAGTTTGAGGCAAAATACCCAACAAAGTGGTAAATAACATGGAAAAATACAAATAAATGCAGCACAATAAAACCATCCAGAGGCAGATTATCTCACTTCTTACCCGCTGCCAGGCTCCGTCTTGGCGCCTCCCGCGTACAAAGGCATCCTCTTCCCAGAGACCTCGTCTTCCTCCTCCATGGCCTTCTCGCCGAACGACCCTCCCTGCTCGATCACGCGCTGCAGATCCGCAATGTCCAGCGGATTGTCAATGCAATCCTGCAGGTCCGAGTCGTCGAGGTGGAAGTCGATCCTCTCGCCCGTCACGGCCAGGACGTTCACGGTATTATTCACATTCACGGCACTTCCTGCGACGGCCATTATTTTCTTCTTCTTCTTCTCTCTACGGAGATGCTATAAAATCTGACAGCGCCATCCGTGACGTCATTTGACGCACACACGCGACATTTTCCGGACGGCTTTCGGGAGGATTTCGCATGGTTTCAGCAGCATTTTTCCACCCGTGAAAACACCCGCGAATCAATTTCATCACCATGTCCCTTCGCCTCAACATCTCGTCACTCGCGAGGGGTGTTCTGCTGAACAGACCACGGTGAGTATCCCGTGGAAAACTCACTTTTCCCAAGCACTGGAAGCCTCGTGTTCGTTGCAGAATCTGGAGGAGTTTCACCACAAGAAGCACCCAAGACGGCTCCGAGTCCCCACAATCAGGGAGCGCCAGCGGGGGTGGTTCTACAGTTAATGTGCCATCCCGCAAGATTGTCACACCTCTGCCACCGCTGTCAGAGCCGGTGGCGGATATGCCGGATGTGCAGTACGCCAGAGTGACTCCTGAGCAAAACACCACTCACGTTACGACCCTGTCCAATGGACTCCGGGTGGCTTCCGAGAGCAGATTCGGACAGTTTTGCACCATCGGAGTGGTCATAGACTCTGGGGCGCGATATGAAGTGGCATATCCCAATGGAGTGTCTCATTTCCTGGAGAAATTGGCTTTCCAGGTGAGTGTCTTGCATCCCCAACTAAAGCCCTTAACTTATCTTCCCCCTCTGCAGTCCACAGAAAACTACCCCGACAAGGACAACATTTTGAAGGAGCTGGAGAGACATGGAGGCATCTGCGATTGCCAGAGCAGCCGGGACACGTTCATCTACGCCGCCAGTGTGGACAGTCGTGGCCTGGAGAGCATCACCAGAATCCTCGCCGATGTGGTGCTGAGACCCAGTCTGAAGGCGGACGAAATTGACACAGCTCGTCAGACGATTCTCTTCGAGTTGGAGTCTCTGAAGATGCGTCCAGAGCAGGATCTCATACTCACGGACCTGATCCACGCCGCCGCCTACAGAGACAACACTCTCGGCTTCCCCAAACTCTGTCCGGAAGCCAATGCCGGCACCATCGACAGAAACGTTCTGCTCAGCTACTTGAAGCTCCACCACACCCCATCGCGGATGGTCGTGGCTGGCGTTGGCGTGCCTCACGATGACCTCGTGCGGCATGTTGAGAAGTACTTCGTGAACAGCCCAACAACGTGGGGCAGCGAGGATGCGAAAACAAGGGGTCCCACAGCTGTGGACACCTCCTTGGCACTGTACACTGGCGGCTCGAAGCTGGAGGAGTGCGAGATTCCCATTTACGCAGCTGCTGGTCTTCCTGAGCTGGCTCACGTGGTTGTGGGACTGGAAGGCTGCTCGCACAAAGACCCGGACTTCATCGCGGCTTGCGTGCTCAACATCATGATGGGTGGCGGAGGTTCCTTCTCGGCCGGAGGACCTGGCAAAGGGATGTACACGCGTCTCTACACGAACGTCCTCAATAGATTCCACTGGATGTATAGCGCCACGGCCTTCAATCATGCCTACAACGACACAGGACTCTTCTGCATTCACGCCAGCGCGCCCCCGTCGCATGTGCGAGGCATGGTGGAGGTGCTGACGAAGGAGCTGGTCACGATGGCCACGGCTCCGGGAGAGCAGGAGCTCAGGCGCGCCAAGACGCAGCTGCAATCGATGCTGCTCATGAACCTGGAAGCGAGGCCGGTGGTGTTTGAGGACATTGGACGACAAGTGCTCTCCACGGGTCAGAGGAAGAGACCTGACGACTTCATCCGCGAGATTGGTGAGCATGGATTGAGGCAAAAGTTTCTCGTGTATTTAACGCATTTTGTTGCTTCTTTGCAGAGCAAATCCGCTCAGAGGACATTATGCGATTCGCTAAAAGACTCCTCTCATCCAGACCCGCCCTGGCAGCTCGTGGGGAGATCAAAGGTATTCCGAACACTGATGATATTCAATCGGGTCTGGCGCATGGCGAAGGACGCCTGCCCAACAGTAAAAGACTTTCCCTCTTCCGATAATTCGCTAGCAATCACAGTCCTTGGAAGGCGTTTGTTAAATCTACGTGTATATAAAATAAAGGAGATTCAGTCAACTATAATGAACTCTATTTTGAAGCTCCAAGGCGAGCCAATTCGTCGGCTTTCTCATTCCCGTAGACACCTTTATGGCCCGGAACGTGTTTCTGAGGATGAGAACAGAAGACAATTCAGTGTGATATAAAGCAGAGATGTGAGAAAAAACTTACCCACTGAATCTCTATCGTTCCGTCCAGTACCTTGTCCAGCAGGATGAAGTCATCCTTATTCTTCACATCTCTCCTGTCTGCAGTCTTCCAACCATTCTTCTTCCATCTCGGCATGTAATTCTCAACACTCTTGATCAAGAAATCCGAATCGGTATTGATTCTCAGCTTCTTGATCCCTTGCGATTTGGCAATCTCAATAGCTCTCCTGGACGCCTGGATCTCACCGCGATTGTTTGTTGGCGGACCATCGGCTCTCTCAGCCACATTCCACGGGTGATCGTCACCGAAGAAAACGCCTCTTCCTGCTGCAGTGGCGTTGAATCCATTTCCCGGACAAGCTCCATCCGTCCACACGTCCAGAAAGTCATCACTCTTTTCCGCTTCTTCTGACGTCCGGGCACGCTTGACACCTCTGCTCATCAATAGGTTCGGGCAGAGGTCCTGCAAAACAAGGTGATTAAGTACTGAAGAGATGCCAACGATTCTTCCTCTCACCGCCAGACGTTTTCCTTTCCACGCTTTCCTGTTTTCGCGTGGAGCACTTGGGGCGAGACTGGAGGTGGCGGAAGTTGACGCCAAGACAGGTCCTGATTTGTTCTGCTCTATGAAGGTGAGACATTCCGTCTCGGAAGAGAACTTCTTGTAGCGTGCCCCACTGAAGCCATCCACATTCTTCTTACACTCATCCCTGGAAATTAGAAGCCAAATGTAACCTGACTTTTTACTGTATTTGAGATATTTCACTGCTTACCAAGTACTGTAAATCCCTGGTTGTCTTCCCCTCGCCACAGCATAGAAAGGCATTCCGAGGATCAACTTCAGTCTACGCAGAAGAATGCTCATAAAAGAAGTGGAAGGCAAAGATTCTGCAGCCAGGAGTGAAAGAAACGAAAGAAGCAAACACTGACAACAGAGACATCTATTTATTCAGCACACATTTGTATTGATGACGTCACTCTTTTGAATATTTTACATCTCGCGTTTCAACCGAGAATCAAATTTATATGTGGAAGAAGACACAAAAAACCCAGAATCCAGCGATAAATTATATAAAGGAGAGTATTATTCTCAAAATATACACAATATGAAGTGAAACTCTTTGAGTGGATTGTAAAGAATAACAAACAAATACTTGGAAATGAAATTAACTGTTTATTTCACTAATATTACTTCAGTTCTTCAGGAGTTTAGAGAAAAGGAAATTCATAATATTACTTTCATAAGAAATTGCAAGAAATAGACAAATTTCAGTGGCGAAATTAGTAGAAATGGTAGAAATAGAAATGCAAAATAGAACAATCTCTGTGGATTTTCCTGTTGTCCAGAGAAAAAGTCAGGATCTATCGCTCAATCCTCTAGTAATTCTTCGCTCCTCGACGGGCCAATTTGTCCGCCATGCGATTGCCATAGTTCCCCTTATGGCCAGGAACGTGATTCTGCGAGAGAGAAAGTATACAGTCAGGATTTGAATGTAAATTAGGCAGTTTTCTTTACCCAGTACACTCGAATGGATTCATCCAGCTCATCGTCGAGCTCCATGAGCTCATGCCTGTTCCTCACAGGATTCCCGCTGGCGTTGATCCAGCCATTGTTTCGCCAAATGGGCATCCACTTGAGGACGCAGTTGATGAGAAACTCAGAGTCAGTGTTGATCCTGAGCTTGTCAATATTCTCATCCTTGGCAATCTGGAGAGCGACCGTCGCAGCCTCGATCTCGCAGGAGTTGTTGGTCCTTCCACGCGCGCGCTGGGACACATTCCTGCGAAAAATCAGCAGGAATAGACTTTGCACGAATCCGCTCCTTGAATTATATTCTTACCACGGATGGTCGTCGTCCCAGAAAACTCCTATTCCTCCACGGCTCGCGTTGGGACCGTTTCCTGGGCACGATCCATCAGTCCACACATCCACATAGTTAAACTGGAAATAGAAACAGTTTTTCTAGCCATTCGATGCTTTTGAGAGCATTTTGCAATAGATTTTCTTACACGTCCACGAGACATCTCACGCGATTAGCGATTTAATTGTAGCCCAAGCTAAACTCTGTCGGCTGAATTCAACAAGGCTCACTGCTCAACTGACGCAGACAATATTCTGATGCAAGCTCTAAACAAGATTGCGCAATCGTCTAGCGAAATCCTTCCCTTTGATCATCGCGTCCTCTTGCGGATTACCTTATGGTTTTTTTTTTTTCTTTTTTTTTAGGATTGCCTAAGTATTTTTACGGGGTTTTCTACATTTTCTGAAAAAATGGTTTTATTTCAATCACATACAAAATAAAAAAAAATTTCATACGCTGAAGATATATATATTCTCGGTAATCAATTCAGAGCTGCCCTGCGAGCCAGATTGTAGGCCATTTCCATCCCATAAACTGGATTGTCGGCAGAAACGAGATTCTGAAAAAGAGAGACTTTCACAAATTAATTCCATTAAATTTATATCAACAATTCTTACGCAGAATATACGAATGGTTCCATCAAATTCATCACTCAGCATCTTAAGCTGCGTCCAATTCGCCACTCTTTCGCCATCAGCAGCCCTCCAGTTATTGTTCCTCCAGATGGGCATCCAGTCAAGGACAAAGTTGATCAGGAAATCCGAAGACGTGTTGAGTCGAAGGGTGTTAATCATGTTGTTCTTGGCAATCTGAATGGCAACAATTGCAGCCGCAATGTCGCAACGGATTTTAGACATTCCTTGTCCGTTCTCAGACACATTCCTGAACATAGGGATATGATAGATTACACGGAATTACGCATGCCGTTCGGAAATTCTTACCATGGGTGGCCATCTTCCCAAAACACACCAAATCCGCTGGAATTTGGAGATGTCCCATCATCTTGGCCAAAGCTGTCCAGCCAGACATCCACCCAATCTTCGGCTCCATTTCTCTAGAAAAATAACAGGCATTTTAATTCCTGGGAAACTGCTTTAGTCAGAAATAACTAACCCACGAACGAGACATTTTATTCACCATGTGCGCGCACAGATTAAAATCTCCTCTATAACAGCCACTGCCCTCTATTGTAAAGAAATGGAAGAAAAGCTAATTTTGCACTTCAATTCGTGGGGATTCCCCGAACTGCAGAAATGAATTTCGCAACAAGAAATTGCTCGAAGAATTGTGATTGAACTAGATTTTATCAATCTAAAGGATTTACTTTAAATTACTTCTCACGCTTCATGTTGCCTCTTTCTCCATTTGACTCAGCATTTTCGTTTTGCAAGTGGAAAGGAAGGAAGAAAATGAAAGTCAAGCATGCTGAGCTCAATTTTGAGAGTAAGAAGTTTAATTCAAACAAAACGCATTGTTTATTTATTTAAAATATTATATTAGAGACGTATCCCATCAACGCTTTCCTTCCTGAGCCTCTCTGATAAACATAAACGCTGGATAATTCAATATAGAGAATTGGAATAAATTAGCAGTTGCGATATTACTGAGAAATTTCCTTGCTGTGTCGGAATCGGCGGATGCTTGAATTCATTACGCAGCTGTAGACCTAATTTTGATAAAGAATGATGTTGTATATTATATTACTCACTTGGACGCATAAAAAAAATAAAACATTAGTTGTTGCCGTGCGATAATCTATAAGAAAAGAGCTCTCGAGTACTTCGTTATCGTGGCAAATGATAAAATCCGACTTCCAGAACATTCTGCCATCCAACGTGAACTGTGAAAGAAACCCTTAATCATACTCCTGATAAGAATGATTTCTTGGAATCATACTTTTATTAATTTACTCAGTACAGTAAATTGGCCGCTATTCAGGATGGAGTACGGAAAATATATATCCTATCAGATGTCCTCCATAGGCCCCACTTCAAATCCAACTTCAACGCAATTGTGCTCCCTTATTCGCAAGCTTGTCAGCTTCCTTCATTTCACGCGTGCCACGAGAAACCTTTACCTGAAAATATGAGCAGAATTAAATAAAGTATCGAAAACGTGATGGTTTATCGCTTACAAATTCCACGTTGATTGATCCATCCAACTGGCGGTTGAGTCGCTCAAACTCTGTCTTGTTCACCACTTGATGTCCTTCGAAATTAGTCCAGTTGTTTGCCTTCCAGACCGCCATATTTTCATTCATTCCCGTGACCACTTCCTGGGAGTCCGAGTGGACCCTCAAATTCTTCACACCCTCACGCTTGGCGATTTCCACGGCGCGTCGTGCGGCCTGAATCTCAGCCTTGCCACTTGTTGGCGATCCATCAGCCCGTTCCGCGACGTTTAAGCGATGATTATCGCCGAAAAAAACGCCCCTTCCGCCGGTGCCGTTGTTTTCCGGCTTATAAGAGCCGTCCGTCCAGACGTTTACAAAGTTCTAAAAAAATGCATTCAAATGATTAAATCTCCTATGGCGTTTATAACTTGTTTAATTCTTCATTTTTGAGTGAATTGATACAATATCACGAGAGAAATACTCACATGAGCCATTTTTCTGATATCTCTTGCGAAATGGAAGAAATGGAGAATGAATTCTAATAAATGAACAGCACAAGTATTGCCAAGAACTCAACTGAACTCTTCAAAACGCGGATTGCAAGTGACGAGATGAACTGCGGCTGATGATAAAAGTGGTTCAATCGAGGTTTAAATGAATATTTTACCCACGAGAGTGCATTGTAATCGGAAAAATTATCAGTGATAACTTTGTGCTTTTTTTGGTGAAAGGTGCGGATAAAGCTTATTTATCCATTTATCTTATGAGAAACAGGGTATTTCATTGGACGAATGCAAACTTGATTTTCATTTAAGTCCAAAACATCGAATAAGCAAATGATTTACGAAGCTTTCACATTTTACCTTTCCGCAACTCTTCACGGCTTCTTGTTTTCCACATTTATGCCAAATAAACTCTAAAAAAAAATTTAAGTGAACTATTTATTGAATTTCATCAGAAGAAAAAAAATAAACAACAATGTAAGGAAAAGATAATGAAAATGGATTTCAAGATGGATTTCAAGTCTTTCAAGCTGCTGGTAATTCAAGAAAAGTGTGCAGGCTTGGGAGCGTTGAGAACGTGGAAAATAGTGAAATTATAGGAATGAAATTATTTGGTAGCCCCTTTGCGAGCCAGCTTGTCGGCCTGAACGTTTCCGTAATTGCCACTGTGGCCCGGAACATGTTGCTGCAATGACAGAACAAATGTAATCATTTCAAATTTGCAAACATATTAGAATTTCAATCTCTCACCCATTTTACGTCGATTGTGCCATCCAGCTCCCTGTCCAGACGCGGACCATCGGCTCTCTCAGTCACATTCCACGGATGATTGTCATCGAAGTAAACGCCCCTTCCCGCTGCAGTGGCGTTCCTGCCATTGCCCGGACAAGATCCATCCGTCCACACATTGATGCGCCCCCCGCAGCTTCGCTTTCCCTGAGCGGCTGCACCGGAGTATGAGCGCGACGGCCCCGGCAACGCCACATAACCTCCGCCGCTGTAGCTTCCAGATGAGAATCCGTTGCTGGAGCTGGAAGATTCTGAGTTGTTGCTTATGAATTGCTGACACTCGGCCTGCGTGTCGAATTTCTTGAAGCAAGCTCCACTGTAGCCATTCATATTTTCGCGACAGGCGTCCGTACAGCTGCAAATTGTACAATAAGTGAAATGCAAAATGGCGGACATGGCATTCTGAGTGGCATTTCCTAGGCATTTCGCTAAATCTCCAAAATCTTACCAATTTTTGTAAACGCAATTTTTGTTGATTATTGTTTGCTTTCCCTTTGCAACAGCGTAGTATGGCATTGCGGATTGATTGGAGTAGATTTTCGTTTTAAGCGCAAGATATGCAAGAGATGCCAAGAAATCACTTCAGACAATGTCTATAACTATGAGAGACAAGACGCGAATGGTTCTGCAAAGGAAAAACGGTGCATACGCGATCGCGGTAAAACATTCACGCGACATGCCGATTACGCCCTCTTGCAGATAAAACACTGAGCAATGTTTAGAATTTCAAATCAGGCAACTCCAGTAGGCGAAAAGTTGTTTACATTCGTCTCTTCGCTGTGAGATTTCCCTCAAATCTCGCGAAAATGAGTGAAAAATACTTCACCACAAAGCAAAATCGCAACAACATTGTGAAGATTTTCAAGTGCACGCCAATTGTCGTGAATTATCATGAGTACGAAACACAAGAGCAGCGTCAATTCAATGTTTGCGTGGAGAAGGCGACTTGTGTTAATCTTTTGGTGAGTTTTGAAATGCCAGGAAAACTCCCTCTTCCAACCACTAATCTTCCATTTTCATCAGCAACTGAGGCTCACAAGCTTGTCCGATGAATCTTGGATGGCCATCTCAACTGTGGACAGTGGCTTCTTTGAGAAAATAAAGACTGACCAGTCGCTGCATGTGACGTATCAGGAGTTTGTGGATCATTTAATCAACATCCTGGACTCTTGCCGGAAAGGTGAGCTGTGCATCTCCCTAGAGAAGAGTGACCACAGCAGCTTTAAACTGACCATCTTCGAGAGGAGATCCTTCAGGAATCTCATTCACTTGAGTCTGCCGATAGACAAGGCTCCTCTCGAGACTGTTCTGTATCACATCAACGAGAGGAATTCCGTTCTGCAGAGGCAATTGTCCGGCGTGAATGATCAAATGAGTGTTCTTAAAGAGGAGATCTCTCGCAAGGATGAACTCCAGCGTCGCTTACAAGCGGAAGTGGCTCATGTCCCGCAGAAAGTGGAAGAGGAGCGGAGAAAGATTAATCAGGAAAAGGCTGCGGAGATTGAGGACTTCAAGAAGGTCATAATGCAGCTGCAGACGGAGAAGGTGTGTGAAGAGAAGAGGATGCAGGACGTCAATTTGGCGCACTTGGAGAAGCTAAAGCAGCTGAAGAGTGAGAATTTCCACCTCAAACAGTCCGTCACGGATCATTCTGCTAAAGCGGACACTCTCACGATGGAACTCTCCGAATTGAAAGTCCAACACAGGCGTCTTGCGGAAGAGAATGCAAAATTGCATGAGGCGGCCAATGAGGTGACTTGCAAGAGCAGAAAGCAGGAGCTCGGTGTCATGGATCTGAAGAAGCAGCTCAAGGATCAGCGGGAGAAGGTGATGTGCTGCGAAAAACAGATCTCAGAACTTATGGCCGAGCTGGAGGCCGAGAAGAGTCTGTGTAGGACGAAAAGGAACTCCCTGCAGATCGCCACAGAGGAGAATAGCAAAGCTAATTCAATAATCCTGAAGTTGAAGAAGAAGAATGACACTCTGACGGAGAAATTGATCGCCTCGCGCGAGACTGCGGCAAAGCAGGAGCGGATGATTGAGGAGAAGAGCCGGGAAATGACGAAATATGCGGAGATTCTCAAGAGTATGGAAGTGAAAATGAAAGAATGTGCAGAAAATGGCAGGGAAATCACTTCAACGATGGATAATCTTCACGATGCTGTGGATGCCATTGAGGAGAAGTACACACAGAAGCTCGGGGAGATCTCCAGTCGACTCTTGGGCACGAAATTGCCGGACAAGCGTCCCAGTGTTCTTCTCCAAAGGAACAGAATTTAAAGTTATGATATTTTTCCCAATTATAAACACTTTTATCGACTAATCTTCTTCGTCGGACTTGTCATTAGCCCTCTCGGCTGCCGCATTGACCGCCTGCAGGAAATCCTCGGGATCTTTGCCTGCCTTCAGTCGCTCCCGAATCAACTCAGCGATGGCCTTCTGTGTTCGCCTCTCCAGGACTTCCAGCTTCTTCGCCACGTCTCGTTTCAAATCCCAGTCGGGCTTCCGGGGCGCCAGGTTGGCGATATCAATCTCGTCAATCACGATCGGTGTCTTCATTGACTCCAACTGACCCTTCACCTCGTTCTCAACGCATCCGGGCTCCGCTCTCTCCGTCACAATGTCCGGGTCCTCCGACTCATAATTCCTAAAGAGTTTCCTGAAATCACCAAGTCGTGTAAGTGTTGAGAAATGCTCTGAAAGTGTCTATAATTACTTGTTTTCTGTGAGATTTTCAGCATCCGGAACATTGTTATTTGCTTTTCGTTTCAGCGACATTAGTCTCTCTTTTCTTTTCAGGGCATTTTCCGTCATGTGGCCTATATTCTTTGGCGTGCTCTTGTCCTTTTCCACCTGCTCACCTTCTGCAGACATTTCTCTCTGTGATATTTTACTAAAAACTCTGAGAAAAGTAGAAAAACACGGCAATTTTTGTTTACTTCTGCCAAACGTGCCAAACTATCTTGGTGTTGCCTGATTCAATTTTCTAAACAAATTATTTCTCTCACATTCCGCTAGAGGATTGCATTTTTGAAAGAAATATCGTTGGCCTAATAAAATAACTACTTTTTTCTCGAGTACATATGAGGAATTGAATTTCTGTGTTTTTCTAGATTCTTCCCTAAATATTCTTCTCAAATGTTTTACAGCGGCTCTTATTTTATATCAGTCCCAAGTATGTGCATGTTGTTCTAAAGGGTTCAAAACCTTCCACAAAAGGTCATAAAACACGTTTTTTCAATAATGGTCGAATGGGTCCATAAAAAGGTTAAACATCCCAAAACTTTTCTCCTTTCCACAGCTGCAAATTTGCCTATGCAGTGATAAATTGTTTTAAATTCCATTGCATGGAGAAAATAGCCCAATAAAACAATAAAATCTCCCTTAATTGCTGTGCCGTTTTTTACAATCTTATTCATTTCCGTGAATCTGTTCAATGTGGATTTTTCTGTTTCAAAACCCGTATGATTTACGTGAATATCAAAAAAAATAAGACAAGCTTTTAGAGTATTTAATATAAATTCGCATGTTCAAAAATATGGAAAATATGCAATTCTGCCTCAGATTCACTCTCGACTATTGTGAATGATTCACTCGAGCAGTCGCAATTTAATGGGAGTGGCTTCGTGGACTTTTCCAACGGCACATTTGCGCCAATCAGAATCCTTCTCTGACCGGAGTTTCAGTAGGAAACAGGGAAATATATATCATTTTGCCATTACACAGATACTTCACTTCCTTCGGCATCGTCATTGTGGCGCATATCATTTCAGAGAGTGTAAAATTCACCAAAAATTAAGTGCTCCCAAAGTGATTGACTGCAAATGCAATTTCTTACCAGAAGTCCGTCGCTGCACTTCCGAAGAGTGATTAATTGATCAGTGTTTGGGTGTTCGTGGGTGAGGCAAGGTGTCTTTTCGGAATCCATGTGTAATTTGCAAAAAGTGATTACAATAATTTTTCTTTGATCACAAAAATGAGTGAAGTCACAAAGACAAATTGTGTGAATCGTCCTTCATCACCGAGGAGATTTTTTGAGTATCTGTACGGGAATTTAGATAGGAATTCATCATCCTCGAGTGAAATAAGCAGTCCATCGCCCGATATTGAGGAAAAATCTCGACATTCACAGCAAATTAGTGAAAATCCTGTTGAATTTTCACCCTTTTTGCCAACATTCCACCAAACAATTGTTGGTTTCGGTTCGGATTCATCGTCATCGCATTTTCCATTAGGATTTTCCGCATTTTGTAAGTGTATTTATTTAATTTCGGAACATAAACATCACTAAATTTGTCACAATTAAAATATCAATGATGCTCCATTGTGCGATTGTGGGAATTTTCAATATGGAAGAGCTCTAAAGCTAAAGGCACTCGTCTGTAAACTAATCCTATCATTATACTAACAATTACGCACTGTTATTGTCTTTCTCTCGACAAGTATTTTTCACGAAATTCTCCTGTCCGAGAAGAAAAGTCTCAAAAATATGAGACAATTGAGGAAAATTTTCAGCATTTTCACGCATTATCTCACGCCAATGCGAATTTCCTAGCACCTGTCCAAGCATTCTTGTGAGGAGAAAAGTCTCTCAGTGGAAATTTCACAGATGTCGAGAGGATTTCAAGCGAAAAATTTTGTGGGTGTTACTTTAGAGAACGCTTCCCTACGCCAACATTGTCATCACCATGAAAACCACGGCACACAATTGTGCACAAATAACAATAATCATAAGATTTCACGGATTATGTTTTCGCTGGGAGTGTTTTCAAAAGAAGCATCACTCCTCGGCGCTCCATGGCAGGGAATTTGTCGCATTGAAATTTCGAGAGAGAGAGACTGGAAATCAGGACATTGAGAGACTGCACAAATTGCGTCTTTCCCACACATTTATCGGCACTTTTCATCGTACTTTCCTGTTCAGTTGTCAAGGGAGCAGAAAGTGAAAGATTTTACGGGAGATAAAGTGCGTGATTATGTTGTCAATTAGTCACTTTTGCGATTGCTTTTGGCTCTGGGTGTAATTTCTTCCGATTTTGTGGTAAATTTATCAATCATTTCAGCGGATTTGTCAAACCAGCGTAAAATAGAATAATCCTGTGTGATTTTCTAACCAGTTTATCTGATAAAATTTATGTGGATTTAGGAAATTTCTGAGAATCCAACTCAGTTTTGTAAAGGATATAAAAGGATGTTTACAGTGAAAGCGATTTTCTCGTAGAAAAAAATCTGCAGACATGCTAATTCCAGGTTGTTACGCACTTTCTGGGGTTTTATATTTAATTTTTGGTGTTATTCATGAAATGCGTCGGTAAGAATTTGGTATTTCTGCGGTTAACCTAATGGAAATATAGTTGTCTGACCTCAAATAAGAATTAAACAAAGTACCTCTTCAAGGGTTTCAATTGCTTGGGGCGGAGAAGACGACAAAAAGTCTTCTTCAAGGGATCGGTGTACTTTCAAAACAATTTTTTGCAAAACCTCCGCCAGCATTATTGACCGCTGTCTCTGGCTCGGTGTATCCGATTTCAGTGATTTACTCAGCCAGGTAATCTCCGTTTTGTGCACAAAGAGAGGAAAAGGTGGTGATTTTGTCCGCTCCCTTTTGCGCCAGAAAGGAAGTCAAGTTGATGGGCAGAGCGCGGTAATAACGTTTAGTCATAAAAAGACATAATGGCAGATTTGTAATTGATAAGTTGAGTATCACACGGAGCTGTTCAAGCGACGGCGAGAAGCCCCTTGAGGCTCTTCGGCTGTATCGAATGGCGCGACCTGTGGAAGTGACCTGAGTCGGAAATCTCCGCCCGTCGCATATCAATAATAATGTAATGAGGTCTCTATTGTGTGTTTTAATACCGTTTATGCCCAAAATATTATCGTTTTGCCCACGAGATTGCCATCCAGGGAGGGAAGATTTAATCGCCCTCGCATTTACCCAATTACTCTCACCGCCTGGGAATCGGACGTGCCAAGGGATGATTCTCACAATGATTTTATTACAAGGACCATATGGCTGATGAATAACTCGATTGCCACGAATTTGCTGTCGTTTCAAGTGGCAAGACGACGCCGGAAAGAGGGAAGACCACGGCGGCAGCGGACAACGTTCAGCAGCGAGCAGACACTGCGGCTCGAGGTGGAATTCCACCGGAATGAGTACATTTCGCGCGGGAAACGCTTCGAACTCGCTGAGACGCTCCAGCTCACGGAGACTCAGATCAAGATCTGGTTCCAGAACAGGAGAGCCAAAGACAAGAGAATTGAGAAGGCGCAAATTGATCAGCAGTATAGGTGAGAGTGCACTAATTTGTACAATAAAACATAACAGCAAATTTACAATATTGAGTATGTTTTTCTTCTTAGATGAAATAAAGTTCTAAAAGATCAATTAATTGTTCAATTCTGTTACCTTGAATTGCTTCACTTTCTTTAGAATCATCATTTATGAATTCCAGGAACTTCGTGACCGCCAACAGAATCATATCGCCCTTCAATTCCAGCATCACTCATTCGCTGTTACCTCATCCGTCGACGCTGTCATTCCAGCCGCCGGCGCATCAAATCAACTCCTATCCCAGCCCAGAAACTCCTCCGGTTCTGCTCAGGAGTCATCGCATAAACCCATGTTGAAGCCTCATTAGTACATTGTTTGGCAGAGTTTCGGTTGCACTATTTCATCAAGAGTTTACTGATTTACGATGGACACTTGTACAGACAAATAGAGAATTCACCCCCCTTAAGCTGTTGTTCAATTGTGACCAAACATGATAATTCTTATATAATAAATGATGTATTTAAAAGGTCACGCAACCACTCTCTTCCCATATTTCCCCGCGTCTTGACCACCGTTGGCCAGGCATTTGGGGGAAAATTGAAATAACCAGAAGAAAAGGTGGGCCAATTAATCAAGCCACGAATGGGTATTATTAAAATGTGCATTCGAGCATCATTTTCAGCATTTTCAGTGAATCTTTCCAGCATGAATGCTGGCCAATAAAAGATGAATACCGTCTGCTTTCAGCAAATACTCTTTATTTCATTAGTCTCGATACAAAAAACGTATCTTATACTTTAGTCAGCGGCTCTTGAGAAAAAAGCCATCACTGGAAAATTACTCTCGCGAAGTAATCGCACATAAACTTACCCCCATTTTCCCTGATATTTTCTCATCATGCAGGAAAAATGCTCACAGCCTCATTGAGTCTTTGGCGTTCGTCGTGGATAAAAACCTCTTTTGCGGGTTTCTTCAGTCTTCCGCTACAAAGTCCTTGGATAGAAGAGAGAATGAGAAGGAATATTAGAACATTTCGCCTACAAGATTTATCACTACAATCTTTGTAAAAGATATCAGTGTTTGTTTTGTGAATGAATTATAATTTTTTGATCATTAGGTCTTCCTTTTTGCTCGTCAAATTATAATATCATCCTGTTCTATGTATATTGTAATTATATTAATAAGTAATTTTGAATATACTGTACCTAAAATCTTTTTCATTTATCATCTATCGGACGCATTATTAGTTTAACTTTTCCTGCCTCTCACTTCCTTCGCCCTAATCAATCTCTTTCTCTCTCTCTCTTATTTGTTTGCTTTTTCTGCCTGAAATAAGTCGCCTCTTCTCTAGTTTATTAACTTCATTCACGATAGTGCTGCGGTTCTGCCTTTCAAAAAAACCTTGCAAATAAAAATCTATTATATTTACTCATCATAAATCTATGAATATTACTTTATTTTACGCTTTTATCTTCCTCTCAAAGAAGTCTACATTCAAACATTATCAATTCACATAAGCTGAATCTCTTTTACAAAAAATTCCATTTCTATGCCTTATATTCTTACTATTACAATAAATAATTGATTTAAAATTGGATGTCATATTTCTTCACACACTTAATTCGTTATATAGTACAAAATAAATTCTTGGAATCAATAAAAATATATTCTTTTTTTGCATTAATAAGAAAATGTTGCACGAATTTTAAAGTTTTCTCCTTATCATAAAGAAATAATTATGATGACTAAATGACGACGAAAATCGCGACAGATCAAAGAAATAAAGGAAAAACCAAGGATGAAATTTTGAAAAATATACTTTGCATTAGAAGTTAGAAAAAAAACTCTTGCTTTTCTACTGTTTTCAAAATATAAAGTATGTTTTAGTGTAGCATTTCCTTGAAATACAAATCTAGGGTTTTTTTTATCATCTAAGAATATTATTTTTTGTATTTATTTCTTCTGTTAGTATTATTAAAATCAGTATCTTTATTATACGTCAGTTGAGTTACAAAAAATGAAAATCTATCTCGTATTTTCTTCTCTTTTCAGCATGACTTTTGCTCATATATAAATCCTCCTCTCTTCAGGTTCTTTCACATCGTTTTGGTGTTTTTGATGAATATATGAATTATAAGAAATTTATATTTGTTTGTGATTTCAATGTTCTTCCTTCTACCATTATGAAGATAGTGTGAAGTAACATCTACATTAAGAACTACTTATTATCTATAAATACGTTTAAAATAGATTGATCATACGTCTACGAAATCCCCATTCTCTTCTCTGTGTCCCCTTCTTACTCTTCTCTCTTCTCAAATCTCGATCTGTCTGCCTATCTGAGTTCGCCCTATCATGGGATGTTTCTGCTTGATACTAGAGTTTAGCTATTCTGTTTATTTTTCTTATTCGTCAGCCTATTGAACCTATCAATGAAGGAAAATTTATTAGTCTATACACAAAATTGTCAACTAACACTCATTTCATATAAAACGGTAATAGAGAGTTTTTGTTACAAATTATAAAAGAAAAAAATAGAAGCACCAAAATAATAAATAAAAAACTGGGTAAAGAGGAGAAGTAACACGTGTATAGTTAGGGGTTAAAAATTAAGGGAACTGTACTACTACTATCGTTTAGAGAGTATCTTTTTTTTTTGGAAAATATCAATCTAGAGATGGATTCAGTGGGGTTGAATTGTCATCACTCACCTGGAGATGGATTAAATTTCAATATCGCCGATTGCTTCCACCGCCCATGCTGTTGCTCATCATGTTGGTGGATCCGTAGCCGCCGCTCTGATTGTTGGAATTGTATCCATTCATCCCTGCAAAGACAAAGGCGTTAATACACATTGACCTCTTCACCAAACAAACTTTGCCAAGTTCCTGTCGCTTTGGACTATGCATCGTTTCTGCATCAGAGAGGCAGAACAACAAACATTTATCTAAGCTGTAACTTTGATCTAACAGTTAAAAACGCCATGTAGAACCACTTATGACATTCTAATGGAGCTGGAACTGTCGAGTCTCTCAGTACGATATGGTGAAATATATAGATTTAATTCTGTAGCGAGGCAGCGAGTTGGGTCAATATTGCTTTATACAATGTAAATCGACACAACTTAGCGATAGCTCAGGCTAAAGCTTACTTTTACAGTCAGAGTTTACCTCGCAATTGTATTTCTCACAATTGCAGGTGCAAAGACTGTGGCTTAATCGAGCAGAATCACTCTGTTAAACTCACCATAGTTGCCTCCATTGCCGCCCATGTTGTTGCCATAAGGTTGCATTCTGCTGCCGCCCTGGCTGTAGTTGTTGCCCCTCATCGGACCGCCGCCGTAGTTTTGCTGGTAGCCGCCGCCGAAGCCATCATTGCCCCAGTTTCCGCCCTGGCTCCCGTTGCCGGAGTTGTAGTTGCCGCCCTGGTTCCAGCCTCCCTGATTCGGGCCGCTGTCCCACGGGTTCATCTGATTTCCCCAGCTGCCGCCGCTGCCTTGATTCCCGTATCCGCCGCCGTAGTTGCTGCCATTCGACCAGTTGTCGCTGTTGGACACATTCCTGTTCCAGTTCTGGCTGCCCCGGCTGCCGCCACCACCTCCGCCGCCCATGTTTCCACGTCCGCCGCTAGGTCTCCCGCCAGTGCCCTGATTGCGGTCCATTTCCTGCTTCGACAGCGCCTTCTTCACGTCCAGCAACTTATTGCGGATAGTGTGCTGCTTTTGCACTGCAAAGAACACACAAAATGCTGATGTAATAACAGTTCTTCGTTGAATTTTAAGAGGGTATTTGTCGCTTTGGACTATGCCATCGCTTCTGCACTAAAAAGCAGAGCAACATTTATTCATCTAAGCTGTAGTTTTTACTCTTACAGTTGCAAACGCCATGTAGAACCATCGAGCATGCTCTAATGGAGCTGGAACTGTGAAGGATAGTCATACAAGTGTGTTCAATTCTGTACTCACGCACTACTTTGTCCACCGGATCATAGTCATCGAACTCGACAAATGCGAAGCCCCGCTTCTTTCCCGTCTCCTTGTCTGTCAGCACATTGATGGTCAAAACATTGCCAAACTTCTGGAAGTACTCGCGCAGGTTCTCCTCGTCGTGATCGTCCTTCAGTCCGCCCACGAAGAGCTTCTTCACCGTCGCCCCGGCGTCCGGACGCACGATGTCTTGCCTGGGAACCGCTCTCTTGGGCTCCACCACGCGCCCATCCACCTTGTGCGGGCGCGCATTCTGGGCATCGTCCACCATGTACGCGCGCGAGTAAGTGATGAAGCCGAAGCCGCGGGAGCGCTTCGTCTTGGGATCCTTCATCACCACCACATCCACGACCTTGCCCCACTTCTCGAAGTGCGCCTTCAGCGATTCGTCCGTCGTCCGGTAGTCCAGGCCGCCGATAAAGAGCTTCCGCAGGTGCTCCAGCTCATGCATTTCGCCCTGGAAATCATCACAGTATGCCTAATTTAGGCAAACTCGGGTTTGTTCAATGTTCACGTTAATGGTGGCCACGCTTCGGCGTGACAAAAGCAAAGGGAACAAAAGCCGCCATTCAATATGGCGGACAATTCATTTCCCTTCACGCACGAAAAATCGCATTTTTCCTGTATTTCCACGAGCATAAGCACTTAATATCACTTCATGCCAGTGAGATGCTACTCCTGATGGGTGAAGAATCCCGGAAAGTGCAGGAAATATGCGAAAATCAGTCAACTCACATCCTCGTGGTCCTCAAGCCAGTGAGAGCCGTTCTGGTTGTCTCCGTGATCCATATCTTTCTTTGTAGACATTCACTGCTTAATCAACTGCTAAAAAAATACGTGCGATCACGGGTTTTCACTTATTTATTGGACAATTTCTTCTCAGAAGCACAGAGACGCGACCACCACCAAATGACCACACAAAAGCCGAAGTGAAATGGCCGGAGATGACGTTGACAGCCGATAGCGAAATAGTGTTGCCACATGTCCGTAGTCTACGAATTTTCGGACTCCTTGAACCTAAAATCAGAACGCGAAAACATTTAGAGAAAATCACGCTTTTCACACGCATTTTCACGAGATTGCCGTACTTGCACTTCGTACATGTGTAGAAGACAGTTTGCCCCTCATCAGCGGAACGCAGCTGAAGAGTGGCATAGCTCATCTTATCGTTGCCGCACTTTGGACATTTCCTCTCAATTATTGGACCTTCGGCTTCATTATTCGCTTCTTTCTCTTGTTTCAAAGCATTTGGCTTAAAGGTATTGAAGTGAATGGTGTATTCGCTTTCCATTTTTCCCAGGGCTGCAGGTAAAACAATGTTTTTATTAAAGATTTTAGGGAAAACTAAATGATACACTCACATTCTGGATTCATGCTATTTTTGCACGTGTAGCAGCTAATATTTCCTGATAAATCAAGCAAAGGTAGGATGGAACCACACACTGGACAAAATCCAGGATCTCCTTTACTTCTCAGCATTATGTTAAAAACTCAAAAACACTATATTATGCAGAAAGTAAACAAACTCACGTGCAAGTTCGAAACTTCACTTGCGACCGCGTCGAAACAGTGCGCATGTTGGTTTGAGTCACAGATATGTGCTAGAAATGCTATAATTTCAAATCTTTAAAAACGTAACTATCACCGAAGTTTTTTAACATTATTAATATTCTTAATGTAAGTAAATTTTCTAATTAAAATTTAATTAATCGATTCACACAGAATACTGTAACATGATGAATATGTAGAAAGTGTATTAGATGAGTTGGAGACATGCGAGATATCAATTAATTCATTTATTGGGAGCGATTTCGTCGAAAAGCGTCTGAAGCGGTCAAAATTTGCATGCAGAATGGAATTAATCGATGTCATTACGTGGCAAGGGCCAAGGGGCATTTATCCAGATGCCCAAACTGGCCACAGCGGCACGAATTCCCGTCCGACGAGGGCAATCGTCAGCGATTCATTGGAGCGTTTATTTCTCATTCTGGAGACCGCAGCGTGTTCAATCACACGGTGTCACCTGACCAGAGAGGAGCACAAATTAAATTAATGAACATATTGTCCCTTCTCCGGGGAATTTACGGCCAGGCAAAGGCTTCGAAGCCACTAAGTGCGTGAAATTTTAGATGTCGGGCATTTTGGCTATATTTTATCACCTCGTGAACCCCTTTTCTTGGAAAACCCGCAAAAACATTGACCCAAAGCGCTCAGGGTTCGACTCGTTAGTCAATTAAAGTGGAATAAGCCCTCCTTAAATATAGATTTCTATTGGAGGATCTATCAGACGAGTAGAGATTTATTGATGGAGAGCCGAATTGCCTTGATTTTTGAGAGGCCATGTCTTGAAGGCAAGAGAGTGAATAATGTTGGGATCACAGCAAGTCTCTCAAATGACACTGACGCTCTTTGTGACGTGAAATCTCGTAATTTCCTCCGATATATGTACATATTACAAGTAATGTGGAAATAATTAATAGGCTGGAACCAGATGCCCTCCGCTCTGTAAACAGAAAAGCCACCTAAACCAGAGTGATTGTTTATACAAAGTAATATACAAGAAGATCGGTGGTCTCAGACGACGAAGATCCGTTTATTTCTCCCGACGATTTCACGGAAAGAGCACATTTAGAAATAATTATCACGATATGACTTCTGTATATCGTTAATTTCTTAACACCCATCGCGTAGAAACGAAGGAAATAACTGTCAATTACCATTAACACATTGTGGCGTATAGTCAGTCTCGCTTCTTCTCTGTGAAGTGCTTGATGAAAAGCATTTAATCTACAATTTCATTTCAGTTGCACTGTCTGCAGACAGAAAACTTGCCTTTTTTGGTTTCGCAGCTTTAAAGAATACATGCGAAGGGGGAATTCCAGAAATGGCAGTTTTTTTTGGGGTGAATGTGAAAAAAAATCCCTTATTACTATCACACTCTTTGGAAGTGCCAACAAACTTTTGTATGACACTTTTAATTGTTGGATTATACAATAATTAGGTATAAAACAAGTTCAAACTTTTCACTTTTTGCGCAAGCACTTCTCAGAAAGGCTCATTTGGTATTTTTGAGATGTGGTTTATTAATAATTTATTTAAATCCTTACATACAGTGTGTATAGGACGAGATGTGGTTTATATTCCTTAATTAGGATTTCAGGGCTTCTTTTTTGACTCTACTTCACTTCATGTTAGCGTATAACATAAATATAAAACACGCGTTGGCATTAGTCACAATATCTTGATAAAAATGATTTCTCAAACATATTTTCTTTATTGCTAAACAAAGCGATGGCTTCATGTCTAAATGATATCTCTCTCTCTTAATCTACTCAATTACAAAACAGAATTGATTGCCCTGAAAGAAGAAAAATTGGAAAATGTAATCTGTTAAAAAAACATTTTCTCCCATATTGAATTGTCCTCTTCATCAGAGCATGAACAATGCCCATCGTTTCGTATCATCTCTGTATCCTTTGCGCGGTGTTTGTTTATTTTTGCTGAGGGAGAAAGAAAAAGCCGAAAGTCCCCAGTTCAGAAGATTTTCCCCAAACATATATAGTTGAGTCTAAATATATGTATGTTTAGGAAAATCAGCAGCTGCATTCGTTTTTATCCGCTCCTTTTCTCCCTATAGATAATCTCATAAGATAAAAGAACATCCAGTGAAGTTTGCGCGAGTGTGAAAAACATGAAAAATAAACACCCATTATTTGAATCAATAATTATACAAAGCCTCTTGAATTAGCCGGCAAGACCAAATATCTTATGGTAGCTCGAATCACTCAGCAGAAAATTCGCTAATGGAAAATCCTGATGTTTTAATCTATGTATAGCGTCTTTCTGCCTCCATCAGCACACAATCTTAAGGGGCCGGAGTTGTACGCTTCGCAAAGAGCATTTTCTCTGTGAATATTTCAGCATAAAATTAACCAGATTGGCTTTGATGACAAGCCATTTACCTGTATTCGACATTACTCAAAACATATTTATTTGCCATTCTGCAAATTTAGCTCCACAATGTCAATCATGGGGCGAAAATAAAATTCAACTAAATTGCGTGCTGATTGACTTTTAATCTTGCGCAGATTTCACGAATTGAAAGATTAACAGTGAATATTGTGAAATTTCATGCTTCAATTCAGTTTGAAAAAAAAGCTTTTGATTTAACATTTCGAGGTGTGATAGATTTATTATTATAAAAAAGAAAACGATTTGCGGATTGATACACACTCACATCGCAATTTAAATTAAGCCGTTTGAATAAATCCATTCAATTTCAACTTGCAATTTGTTAAGCACATATTCTGTTAAGAATGCACTTGTGAGATGTTGTGAGTTGCCAAAGATGCAGAAAGGAAAAGTTTTGAATGCTTTTGTAAATGTTTCCATAAACTTATAAGTCATATCAAAAGTGGGATTATCTCACATATGTAACATACATTTCGGTTTCATAAATTAACGCTAGAGACTTGATTGTTTTCCCCTTTGGGAAACATTCAGATGAAATTGTACAATTCAAAGACTTGTCTGAAGAAGTTTACAAAATTAATCATACGATTTGTTTAAGTTTTGAAATGAATGCAATATGCAGCAGATCAGTTTGGAGAAGTTTGCATAAAGAAAAGGAATTATCAACAATATTTCCTAGGCGCATTGAAGCACAGCAAGAAGACTAACGTGGCTTGAAGCATTGAACTGGGGAAGATCAAATCTAAACAGCTGCAGAAAACCACACTGAAAAGCAATTTATCATTCTTACTTTTGTTGCAAAATATATCCGGGGCTTTGAGACAAACAGACGAGCTGAGTACATGAGGTATTTATGCAGATGTGGCGGAATGTACATAGCACATTTGAGCCGCCACCCAATATTAGTCGAATAATAGTCCAATATGTAGACAAGCATGTATTACATGCATATAAAAATGCTAGAAGGACATAAAAGGCGAAGCTAGGAATTTCTGCTAGTCCCATTTATGCCCTTTATGTGAAACAACAGTAGCAACATGCTTGCATTCGCACATGCACATGCAATACGTGTGAAATAATGAAAGGTGCGCATATGAGGTACAAATGTACGATAGTAGAATTTGATAAACGCTCTCTGTGGTGTGAATCGCTCTGTAGTTCGCTTCCACTCAGTAAAGTTCAACTGTGTGTGGTGTTATTAAGCTGAAACATTTATTCAAGGGACCCACAGCGATTGGGAAATATTTATGAGAAAATTGCACATCCAGACACATTTTTTCACATATATTATGCATGAATATATCTTTGAAATGCTCTGCATTCACTTTTTCGGGAAAGACATTTCCCACAAATCCACAAATTTGCAATATTAGCATATATCCCAGGTCAAAACAAGGCTTCCAGTATGTTAAGAGTGCTTGACTTCATGTGATAAAGAATCACAAATATGTATATTGTTGAATATATGATGTAAGGATAATTAATGAAATTTGGTCTAGTATTGAATTTAACTCTGGTACAAGCTGTGGTTTCTATCATCTCTACACTTCTAATGACAATATGGGAGTCAAGAGATGTGGAAATTCTTAGGGAATCTCTGCAAATGAGCATTCGCATTCTCAAGATTGTTAAATTCCTCTCTTGAAAACAGAATACAGCATTCATGTTCTTTAGTTTTCCTTTAGTGATATTAGAGGTGGAATTCAATAAGGAAAGACCAGGCTATTATGTGCAGAGACAGCTTATTCCAAGGTTCGTCTTTTCAAACTTTCAGACCCTATTCAAAACACTTCATTCTGCACACTAACGATAGAATTGGAACAGGCAAATTTTTGTAGGATCTCAAATACAGTTCGCTCACTAAACTTCTCTCCCATATCTGATCGTAATAGCTCAATTCTCCGCTATAATCGCATTGTTGTGCACATTCTTGAACTGTCTTAATTACTTTCTGCGAGATATCTGTGAAAAGCATTCTTTACCTTTAGCATACGCACGTGTAATGAAGAATAAACATGTCATACTCACAATTGAAATTTTGATATTAGAGTTTACATGTGATAAGCGTGTGTGCTCGTTACTGAGAAGTTGAGTTTGCAAGGTTTATTTTGGCCAAAAAATGGCTCAAAGCATTTTCATGATCCCTTAAACATGAAAGACTAAACATATATTGCCGGCCTTGATTTTTTTCCACTGATTACAGTAAGAAAAAAAGCTCTAGTGTTTCACTGAGATCCCTAATTGCTCAATTGATTGTTCACATCTTGTGTAAAACATTTCCATTTGGCCATATTACAATGTGACGAAGCGACAAATATGACGAGACGCTGGAGTGCTGCCTTATTTCGAGTCTAATTGCAAAACGAGATACTTATTTTCCTCTGTGACAGCGATAAAATTTCAATTAGACTCCATTGCATGCGTAGGCGGGGGCGGAGAGGGCGAAATATTGGATGTGTCCCTCCACACTTTTCGAGAAATATAGCACGTTAGCAAAATTGCAAAGCAATTCTGGAACGACACTCTAAATAGGAGTGCCATGGCAGAGAATTTCCATCATCTGTAACATGGATTGTCGCCTGCCGTTCGGGATGTCTGTTTAATAAGCGCCCAGAATTGGA